AGATTTTGTGGCGTGAGTATTAAACTTCGCGGGTTTTACTTCTTTCCGCTCTTCGTCAAAGATGACTATGTGGCAAGAGCCACGTCAAAGGCCATGCTTGCCACCTCCGCATTCGAGGAGCCACGTCAAACTCATGCTTGCCACCTCCGCGTTCGTGGTCTGCTGAGAATGATAGACGTCTTGCGGGCAGTGGATCTACTCGCTCTTCACGTGCTTTTGGAAGGTCCGGACCTAGGGAAGGTCGGCTACATCAACGATTACCGCCATGTGCCAAGCGAACATGTTTGTCAGGCAGGTCAAGAATCAGCAACCTGTCATGCACATTCAGAGGAAAGGAGGGAGAAGAGCTGAGGGCAATGCCACTGCCTCCTTTCTCTTTCTCTCTGTGCCGGCCATGCTGCGCTGCACATGCCATTGCCGACGATCAGGCAAGAGAGTACGAGAGCAACAAACTTCATCCATCCTAAGAAAAAGCATTCACAATGGACTTTGAACGAGGAGGTGACATGCATGGGTTTGACGTGGCTCTTGCCACGGCGTCATCTTCGACGAAGAGCGAAAAGAAGTAAAACTCGTGAAATTTATTACTCACTCCACGGAATCTTTAACCTGGCGCCACCAATGAATGACCAACGTATAGTAGGGTGAGTACTAATTAATCCAAAGTGAGGGATAACTAGCTGTACCAAAAATAAATATCATAATTAGTAATATTCTTCACGTATCTTAGAATCTATATCATTGCTTTCTACAGAGTTAAACCCTCCGATAGTGACATATATTGATATTTGGATTTTATGTCACTTTTGTAAGTTGTCATTCACCAGAGTAAAGTGTGTATAACCTCCTAATAGTAACATACATGGGTGTTGATGTTAGATGTCACTATTGAGAGATGTCACTTATCTTCTTATAAATCTCATAGATTTCTTATACTACATTATATCAATCTGTAACACTAGGGTTTAAAGAGAAGCTCACTCAAAGATAAAAACTTAAACTCTGAAGATGATGGATACCAACAATGGTTCTACTCTTCCTTATATAGCTCTCACCAACAAGTACAAGGAGATAAGATCTTATCCCCACCATCTATCCCACGCCTAGTGGATAGATGACGTGGCGGATAACCCTAACAAGCACACGGATCGCTGACGTGGCGCTCCCAACTAACACACTCAATCCTTACCTACAAGCACACGGATTGCTGACGTGGCACTGTTAACTAACACATCCACTATGTACCTACCAAGCGCACAGATCATTGACGTGACAGCTATGACTAGTGCACATTAAAGTATCTATATCAATATTTAGAGTAACCTCTACTTTAGTTCTAACTAACTAAAGATGGTTACACAATCATAGTACAATCTTTAAATGTGTTGTTTGGTTTCAAACTCATCTTCATTTGCACATCTGTATTGTTCACGACTATTAACCTAGACATTATAATTATGTTTGAATTCATATTAATACAAAAAAATCTGAGTGAAAAACTTGATGGCAGTATATGTAATGAATTATTTTACTAAAAGAGTGAATTGTTGAGCTATAATTTATCTTAAGTCTCATACCCATGTATTGTGATCATAATATGATTTTTTACTCCCAAATTATACTTGAAATTGTCACTATTGAAAAATGCTATCTCACTATTGGGAATAGTGACTTACCGTTCTTTTTAGCAAATTTACAAGTTAGAAACTAATGGTTCTGGAAGTTTACGTCACTAATGAGAGGATGTCACTCATACGAGGTGACACTATTGGGAGGTTTAACTCTGTAATCCATTTTTTTATTTGACTCATATTCACTTTATTTATAGCTAAAGCAATGTGAGCAAGCATGCATAATTTAGTCTACCGTATACAAAAGTGACTAAATTACCCAATTTAAGACTCATCTCAACACCTAAATTAATTTGGATGTGCCACCAATGGAAAAGGTCATCAACACGAGTTAATTTTTGTAATAATGAACGTTTAAGTTTTCGTTTGTAATCTTTACATGATGTTTTTTGGAAAATTTTTGTGTTTAGAGATGGCTCAAACTAATCAAACAGTTCGCAAGTCCACTAAAGTTAAGATGTATAGAAAGCACTTGATAACAAAGTCTGCACGCAAGTTGGTTTTGCTACTCAAGGGATGAAAAAGCCGCACAAATACAAGATTGGATAATGCTAGATCAAAAGATTTCAAGATTAGCTTACGCATCAAGTTACTTTTAAATATAATTTCACGTAAAGAGTATAACATTTGTCGAAAAAGTCTAACAGACCCTTAAGCTCCATAAGTTTCCTTTGAGTTCTCTTACGTTTTTTATTTTTTTAAGCATCAAATTTATAATCAATTTGACAAATATCTTACATCTACAAACAATACTTTCCAATAACAATTTTAATATTTTATCTTAAACTATAATTTATTATCTTATTAATTAATTTATAATTCTATGAACAATTAAATAGGAAATTTTATAATATGTTGAAAATTGTAAAAATTTTAAAAGCATAATTTTTTCACTCATATTTAATATGTTATACAATATGATATATTGAAAAAAAACTAAATTTTTTTTATTGAAAATGATTTTTTTATTTTTCACACATGTTAACATGTTAAATATAAAATATATTGTTTTCAAATTTTTTAAACATATTTTTCTTAATTTTTTTACTTAAAAATTTATAAAATTATGAAAACTAATCTTGTCAAAAATATGATTTAAAAGAAGATTCATTTATTTAATATCCATTTTTACAAAAAAAAATTCTAAAATTAGGATCATGTTCAAAATTTTTAGTGAGATGTGAATGAGTAGTCAATAGACATATAATTTAATGTATTTAGATTATATTTTTGTTGATTATTATAACTTAATGTATTTAAAAATATTTTTTGAAAATATAGATTGAATATGAGTTGCAAGAATATATTGATATATTTGAAATATGAGCATTAGAGAATTAAAGCTTTTGGTTGTCATGCAAATTGTGTATATTTTATAATTTTTAACAAAAGTCATAATAATTTTTGAAGAACTGATTTATTAATTTTAGTTGAAATATAGTATGTTTGCATGATATTCTTTAAAATTATTCCTAATTATGCTTAGTGAGGTGTAAAATTGAAAATTTTTTAGATATTGAAGATTGATAATTAATATAATCATTTCAATTCATATTCAGATTTCAAAAAAAAAACAAAAATTAAGATAAATTTAACTTTGAGTAAAATCATCAATACCTGATTATTTTTTTTCCAGAAACTGGATATTTAAACAAATATAAGATATGTTATTGTTAAGTTTTTAAATTCAACATCTTGCCATGTATAATATTAAACAATAACTTATTTATTAATTTAAATAGATTGTGTAGAAATATTTAAAATAGCATGAAATGTTAAATTTTTATAAAATAAGATGTTGTTTCAAAGGCAATTTATGCATATTAATTGTAAAATTTTGATTGAAATGATCAGATTCATAATATATACAAGAAATGATTAAAACCTTGATATTTCTTAGAAAAATCATTTGGAAAAATTAAATAAAGGTTTTCCTAGAATCACAAATTAGAGTAAGAAAATAAAAAGTAAAAATAGAGTAGATGAAAAAATCATTTCAATTTGTAAAAAAATGTAGAATTTTTTGGAATTTAGTGAAATAAAGTGACATGCTTACTTCTCAAAGAAAATATAATTTCAATAAGTTAATAATTTACAATAATTTTTGAAGTTGTTACAAATGTATTGTTGTTAGTATTTCATGTTTTAAGATATTTTTTTTGGGAAAAAATGTTCAATAAATAAATTTAAGTTTTTACATTTAAAAATAAGGTGCTATAGGTGCTATAATGTGCAAACAACATTTATCAAGTAAGACTTTATATTACATTGATTGAAGATACTTGACAACTTGACTATATAGTCCCTATTGAATTCCGCGTTTAGCACACCTTCATTATCATAATTCGATTTCACTTTATTTTCAGGTTCTAGAATCGGAGTGGAGTATTCAAGTTGGTCTAACATCAATACTTCTTCGAAATTTCTGGAGATCAGGTTTAGCCAAACCCAAAGTTTAGGCTTCGATGAAAGCTTTCTTCAGAGCTCGAGTTGCACGACCTCAAATGAATGTATGTAAAGATTATGGGAAAGCATGAAAGAATTCGTTCAGGGTGTAGGTTCAGCCACTTCCAGAAACAGTAAAACCTTGCTACCGACCGTGCCTTACTGTTTCCTTAATAGACGTTCAACTGAGAAAACGGCTCAGTTTAATCGCGTTGGGGAATTCCTGGTAAAAACATGTTGAAATTCACGTGTTGGAATTCATTGCTGGCATTTTGCTTTCTTTCGTTATAACAATTTATTTGAATACTTGTGGAACATATTTGTACCTTTTTTACGAACTCTACACTTAACAAACAATTTTAGAAGCGTTCCACTCATTAGACAAAATACGGGAATGTTAACCATCAGAGTAGAGTTCTTATTTCGAGACAGAACTCCACATGGGAATCAACAGATGAGCTCCTTCAGTGGTCATACACTCAAATGTCATTTATTCTACGTTCCTTTACATTGGAAACTCAGAATAGTCTTTTGTTCTCCCGATGGCATAAGAGATTCAGTGGCAAGAGTCTTGTGCCACGAGAAACCAAAGTGGTTAAAACCCGAAGCAGGCATCTTCACAGTAATGTCATTTCCTTGGTTCCATTTCATAACAACAGTATGCGTAATGTTAAGCGTCGAAATATGGCACTTCAGTTACATGCCCATCAGGTCTGCATGCATGGCACCTGTTGCGTGGTTCTGTTACGTTAATTGTTCCCTATCGTGGTATCGTAGACTTCTTGCGGGTGTGAGTCAGTCAGTCCGTCAGTCCACATCCCAATGCTGAATTTTACACTCGACGTGACGATTAAAAGTTGTCTGAAGAGTCCAGAGAAGGGCGTTGACTTGCGAAAGTCATGGAATTCACTCACCCGTTGACCTGGATGCGCCATGTATTGACCCGAAAAAGATTTGAGCGATGTGAATGTTCTTGGAACAGGCTCAAGTTCTTTCCCATTCTCATAATCCATCTTAAATCACAAGCCAAACTCGAAGAAGGTATATGTGTGACAAACAGCTTCGTATGATCAAACGTAAGAGTAGGAGAAGATGGAGAAGGTGGAGAAATGGCCACCCACGGTCGGTCTAAAGACTCCAATCAGCTAGACTCCACCGGCCCATCCATCCGTCTCTGCTGCATTACTCGCTGAGAAATTGTGCCAGCAAGCGACGTGAACTTCACTCACAGCTCCTAATTGAAAGATCGTGGTGCGTAGTTTAATAAAGAAAGAATGAATGAATGGTGAAATTCGCCGGAGTTGAGAAACGAGAGTGACGAGAGGTGAGGAGAGGTGACAAGGGGAACCCGATTCTTCGTTCCATCGATCGGTGCTGCAAGTCCCGACGTGCGCGGACATGGTGTTTATTCTCCAGACATGGGGAATGGACGGGAAGCTCCAATAGTGTACACTAGAAGAAAACCAACGTTCCTGTACATTGAATCAGATGGTCAAGCACATAGTGAGCCCGGGCGGCCTACTACTACTACGACTATGACTACGATGGGACTGCGACTGCGACTGCGACTCAGGGAGAGGAGGAGGACGAGGGACGGACACTGATTGCGCGCACATGAAGCTGAAGATCGGGGGCGAGAATCTATGAGCTGGAATTATGAGAATTCTGGTAGAAAAAGCTGGCATCGCACTGTAATAGCGTAGCACCTTCATGCTTCTAGCTCGAAACATTCATTCATTGTGCGCTTTGGCACTCCAGCATGGTCTGGTCTGGTCTAGTCCCAGCCCACGAACGATAGAACGCCAGCTTGCGGCGCTGCTGTTGAGGTTGTGGGTCCGAGTGAGTGAGTGAGTGCGTGCTTGCTTGCTGCTGCTGCTGCTGGCTGCTGGCTGCTGCTTTGTAGACTTGGCATCGTTCTCGTTGTTATTATATGTTTCTTCGTCTGAGACCTTAACGTCGGGATCCGTCTGTGGAGTCGTGCTTTCGTGGCTCAGAGTTCTTCCAGAACTCTGCACGATTCTCCACCCTCTTGACAGTTCTGAGGATGGTGGACGCTTGAATGTCGCCTTTGACGATCACCTTTTGTGTTTCCATATCGACGCTGATCTCGTTCACTCCTGTAGGATTCGATCCATCGAGCACAAAATAGCTGTCAGTGAACTGGTATGACAATATCACACGCACAAGTTCGGAGTATGATCGATAAAATTTCTCGTGGCGAATTGAGATTTCTTCCAGCACAGCTATTTGATGTACACTTGAAAACTCGTCACACTGCAAACATAACTCACCATCCAGGGATGTCAGCTCGAATCGCACATTCTCTTCACATCCTTGACAGCATAGAGGTACTTTTAGCTCGACGACCTTTTGCAGCTGCAGACCACAATACGGTACACACCAAACTTTAAACTGATGAAGAAGCACATTGCACAGCAAAAGTACAGGGAAGTCTGGAACCTTCATGACAGTATGCTGGACATCAAGTATTTGAAAATGCGAGGGGCCAATCTTTGAGTGCGTTTTGTACTCCCAGGGATGATGTCAAACTTGAAGCCCCAGTCACCGACGACGATATGCAATTAGATGCTACGAGCTGGAATCAAGCACAAGCTTAAGCAGGCACGTCACGGATTGTCGAAAAACATCACTCAATGCGTCGTCAGGTGGGCTGAACTTACATTGGGAATGGTGGGAGGCCGCCCATTCGAGTGGACTGTTCGGTTCGGCTTGGAATTCGCGGTCGGCACAGCTTTGTTGCCGACTACTGAAGTTGTGTTCAACCCTTGGCCGTAGCTCTTCTGCTTCTGAAGAAAACGCATCACAGAAACGTCTGAATGAATTGCGATAACATCGTAAGACGGCACGAAAGTCCTCACAGAAGAAAGGACATTGAAATATTCCCAGCCTCTGCCAAATTTGTCACTTGGCTGCAGACAGACTTTCACTCTCGAGTCGGATCATCTGAAATCGACCAAAGTCACTCGAGACCATCGACTCTTCCAGCACATTTCTTCTGAGCAACTTTTGCAAGAACGACTCGGGAGAAATACTCGGGAGGTTCAGGGTGAACAGATAAGATGAGCTTACTTGGTTGTAAGCAACTCCTGCTGCCGCCATTCTGCGCGATTCTGTCAGAACCGGAAATTGGCGATAAATGCCGCGGTCGAGGTGAATTTTCGTAAATCCTCGAGAAAGGGGACTACCACCTTCTTTCCTGCGTTATATCCTGGCCCGCCGATGCAATCTGAGAACGAAGTGAAGTGGACATATTGAATGGATGTCGAGCAGCTGCTGCGACTCCCAGATTAGTGTTCTCCATCCCGCTCCTCTCTCTTTCTCTCTCTCTCTCTCTCTCCCCCTCTCTCTCTCGCTCTCAGTCGTCGTAAATGCAAAGATGTGGAGCGAATGAGTGATCGGCAGGAGACCTCAACTTGTAAGTCTCCAAAGCCTCAAAATCTACCAGAATGTCGAATTCTAGAAGCATATTTCCCGAGAGAGGCGTGATCCTTGCAGCTGCAAAGGTAGCGGTAGTCTCCGGTAGACCTCGTCCATCTGCTTGACTGACTGAGAAGAAGCGTCAGAGCGACATAAGCTATTCTGTTGTAATCGCTCGGGGAATTGGTACCGAGCAGGCTGAGCTAGTCCCCACGAAGGGGCCCGCGATGCCGCGGTAAATTCAGCCACCAAACTTCTCGAGCGTGGCAGGAGCAGGAGTGGGAGCGAAGTGAACTTGCAGGATACGAAAGCGGAGCTGAATTGCACTCTTGCGGGATATAGCGTCCAAATTAGCAGCAGCAGCAGCAGCAGCCCGGACCAGACCCGGAGTTCGGAATCGTTGATCTGGGCCTTTGCGCGTCGATCAATTGGCTAAATATGGCGCAGCCCCGGGATCTCTGCAGTGTCGCGCCAGGGAGTCTCAGATAGTGGGGCTATCATGGGTGGACTAACATGCATGATCGTTGTAAGCCCCAGTTCATGCTGTACAGTCCACCCGCACATGCAAATCTCAGCACTGACTGCATGACTCGTTTATCTGAAGCCAAGCATTGAGAGCCCTCGGGGACCCTCGGCCTTCGTTCGTTCGTTCCTTGTTTAAAGTAGACGGCCCGACGTCTCTGTTTTCTTCTGGGCTCGATCGCGGGATCGGGCCCACAGATCCTGAGGGACAGCTCGAGGACTAGCTTGTGAATTTCTCCTCTCTCTCATCGGGGCCTTCGCATCCTTTTTGCTTTATTACTACTCGGGGCCCTTCCATTCATCTCTAGTTTAGCCCTCGGGTCGAGCTGAGCGCAATCTATCTACCGATTTACGCTCTGCTGTGTGGAAAGCTCAAGAATGTCGGTCCCCCACATTGCCAGCAGCTTCTCTGAGCTTTGCCTTGCTGGTCTGATTATAATCCGTCTTTGGATCTTTCTTGCACGAGAACGCAACGCGTTTTCAAACAGGTGCTGGTGGGATCTATGGCTGCCGGGAGGGAGGGAGGGAGGGAGGGAGCATGGATTTCTGGGCCCCACCGCCTCGCTTACTTCACTACAGCAGTAGCTGCTGCGCCTCACAAATGTATGGCCTCGTCGCTCAGCTCACTGTGAGAAGAGATGGCCATTTTGTCCTACATAAATGTAGCACACGCTTACAAGCAGTGGGTGATATAATCGTGATGCTGATGTTACTCTCCCCTCCCCTCTCCTCCCATCTCGTCTCAGTCGCCATCCTTGTGCAGATGCTTTTTGATGACCACTACCTTTCCTTATTCACGCCCTCCCAATTTCCTGCTCTATGATTCTCCCTCCTCTTTCTGCAGCTATTGCTTTTCTATGGGTTTCAGCACCTCCCTCGTCGAGCGAGCGACGAGCGAGTGTTATGTTTTTTACGTGTTCGCTCCGGGGCCAAGATAGCAACAGGACACGCAGGCCGGTGCCGACATCAGGACTCGGACTGCGCTATCTACCTCTCTCTCTGCTCTGCTCTGCTCGTAGGAGGCAAGCAGGTCAATTGACCATTTCGCGCCTACTTCTAGTGGGAGATGCGGGTCTTACACAACCAGAATCAGACTTTGCGTCCGCCATTTGACTATCTCATGATGGAAGCCATGAAATTCGCCTTTCAGCAGTTTTCACCTCGCTCCAGGGCTTAGCGGGAGAATCCGAGGGCTTCATCGTATGCTGCTGTTCTTCTTTCTTCCGTGTGGGTGCCATCGCTGGGAGGCTCGAATCATTCGAGGCTCCATTCCATCATGGTCAGTAAAAGCCTCGTTTGATTTGTGTTCAATGTGCGTATTCTTGTTTGCGAGCTACTGGACCTACTTACTTAAAAGGTGCGGGCGGACCTTCTTACTCAATTACCTGATGTCATGAAAGATAATGGAGATTAATTATAGCAGGAAGCATGGAGGACCCCATCGAGTAGTATGGGGTGAAATTAAGGATTCGTCTGGCCCCATAGCCTACCGATTGAAATAACTTAATATGCATATAATATGTTCGAACTATCTCCATCAAAAAGACCCATGAAGTATAAACTCATCCCAAGAAGCATCAAATAACATGGAATGCAACTCATGTATTCATTGATTGACGTAGAATCCACATCCTGCAGTTCATAGAACAATGCATATATGTCGACAAATTTGAATAAATTAAAGTAGACTATATTATATGGTTAAATGTAATAGATCCATGTCATCTACTATCGTGGAACAATTCTAATCTTTCAAGAAACAAATTGTTTCCAGAATGAGATGAAGTTGCTAATTATAGCTCCATATAGATACCTATAGATTTTACTTCTTTGCATAACTATACTTTCCAATAACCTTTTTAGTCTATAAGAAGCAACATATGAAGAAGAACATCATACATATCCATTATTTTTGTTTTGAATGTTCCATGGGTCATATGAATTATGTCCATGCGATCGTATTAGTTCTATAGAATTACGAGGCATGTATAGATTGAGTAAGGAGTGTAGGACATAAGATTGTCGATACATCAAGGTAATAATACTTCTAGTCGTGTTTGTGGACAAACATTGGATGGAACCTCATGTCGTGACTTTGATCACAAAATGAATATCATCTAACAAAATAAGATTTCAAGAATGACCATCTATACAAAATACTTGATAACCATCACGGAGAACCCTATGCATTAGACAAAAAAAAGAGTACATTTTTATTTTCAGGTCAAATTTTCTATCACCATTCAAATCAAATGAATTCCTTAAAGCTCTCGTGATATTATTCTAACGGTTGTTAAGCGTGTCATAGATTGATGTGATAGAGTTCTAGTTTGATCAACGAGAAATTATAGAGAGCTCAAACTAAATTTCACATACAAATATTACAGCAAAAGTAATACCATCTACATGTACTACATACTCAGCAAGAGTTGTGTCAAGTTAATGTTAGACGAAATTACTGGAACCAACAACAAAGTATAGGATACGAAAACTAAATTTTCTCAATGAAAAGAAAGGAGAAGGTTATTTGTAAAAGTTTATTGAAAAGGAATGAGGATAACTAAAGTTGCACTAGCTTATTTAAGCTATACAAATATGCGCATCTATGTATAGAGAATCTTAAGATATGTGCACATGAGACACTACAAAAACTTTAATTGAAGGTTATGTAGAATTGATATAATATCCAACCGTAACGCCTCAGCTTTTATTTAGGTGACTCCGAGGATGGTGTGGAAAATAATGATGAGGGAATGGATGATGAAGGTCAACAACACAAACAACAAAATCTCTCCACTATCAATCGATCTAAGATTACCTTGCAATTGTTTATAGCTGTAAAGTGACTATCACATAACACTTGAAACTTTACAGTTGAAATTTTCTTCTCGTAATTAACGCAGTCAATGAAAACTTGGTGAAAAAGATTGGACGTATCATCATCCTAAATGTAATTTCTAAAAGAAACTCTTGAAACTTTTTTGAAAATTGTATTGAGAGTTAGCATGGGGCTGTGTACGGAGCAAGCACCAAAAGTGATATCAAGACATAATAGCTTATCATGTTCATATCTAATACCTGGAATTGTACTATCTAGGATGTGGGCATATACAAAAGGTGTAAAGAAGAAGTAATCTCATGAGAAAAATGAGCCACAGACAAAATTATTTATGTAGGGCTCATCAAGCTCTGCTATACTCCACAGATTGCCCCTAAGATACTACATTGCAGCATTGGAGCATAAGCTGAAGTCACTCGTGGCTGAACTTGAATGGCTCGCCTGAAACTGGTGGCAACCGGGATGCTGACCACGAGGACTCTTACAGGGCAGCGAACCCTGTATACGATCAATGTTGCTACTGTAACTTCCAGTACACTTCTGATTGAGGTACTGTACTGTAGTGCCAGATACTGTATTATACTATATCGTACGCCTGTACATTGTGCACTTCGTTATGGCGTATCACTCCGGCTCCTGTAGAGAGGAGTGATCCCTTTGACAGTGTGCTCTAATACGAGATTTGGTTCATTCGGATCACCGGAAAATGATAAAAGTACACCGCCAGCAATCGTAATGGATGCCGTGTTGGAAATTAGGCCTCCTGCCCGATTTCCAAGTCCCTGGTTGCTCTATTGTCTGGTACTTTTGGAAAGGCAGGAGATAGAGAGAGGCAGACAGAGAGAGGGGTAGAGTCCAATGATCTACAGCTGATGATAATAATAAGCGCAATGGCAAAGACAGCTTGCAGATGTGACCGGAACGTTGTTCAAGCCTCGAAAGGCTTTCGAGCAGAGTGGCATCAGTTGCTGCAGCCAAGCTCAAGACAAACGCGTTCCCTTGCATGTCATGGGATGAAGGATGTTGGAGATTGTTCGAGATGCTAATTTTCAGCTTTTCTTCACCCAGCCTCTGACCTGAGGAGCCATGGATGGAGTGAGAGGCCCGTATGTTCTTTTTCGAGCGATTCTTTATTTCTTCTGAACAAAACCTGCGGCTTTCTTCCATCCTAACCAGGGAAGGAAACTTCGCTTGTCAGAAGGTTGGACACTTGGAGCTCATCAGAATAATGTCCGGGTTCTAGAACATGACGCTCTCCTCTCGGTGGTTGTTGCTTGCGGTTATGTGGTGAGAACAAAAAAGTCAATTCGGAGCAGCTTGAGCAATCACTTGAAATTGTTTAGTCAACACTCAACATCTTCCCAAGAAACGGCTAAAAATGTGTGGTGACTCTGACTAAGCCGGTCGCTGGAAATCAACGTCTTGAGCCTCGTTGTAAAGTGCATTTGCTGTGAAAGAAGATTGACCTACAAAGTCTTCTTCATTTTCATCCAATTTGCTACTAAGTACATTTCGTTAGAGTTGCACCAAAAACCGGAAGAAAAGTTCATCGTCAATCAAATGATGACACGAAACCCATGAAGTAAATCATGGATAGTGATTGTACACCCTTTGACTCGATGTTACACCAGGCAAGACCTAAAAGTAGGTTAGTCAAGCTCGTCAACGAAGTGAAGTAGCAGTGTTGTGCAAATTCATCTCGAACATAGGTAAATTGGAGATGTGGTATTTTGAGACCATCGCGTTGAAATGGCGCTTGCATAAAGTGGTAACTTCTGTTGAAAGTAATTCGTTCTTGTTGTCATTCCTGTCCCTTTGATTTCTGTGATGACTTTGGGTTGGAGTGATTGGCTCCTCATTCTCGTCCTTAGACCATAGTTGCTAAGTCGTGTCTCCCAGTTTGTCAAACTTTGACATTTGACTTCAGGTGTCTTCTCTTTCGTTTGGGTTTCAATTTCAATTCTTCTTTCGATCAGTCTCTAAGCTGCCACTGGTTAAGTTAAACCAACAACAACAAAGACTGATAGTCTTCACAGCTAAATGACGTGCGGATGACACTTTGAATGTCGGACTAGAGTTTGATACAGGGTTCAGCTTCTCAGGTGCCATCCAGCCTGATTTCATGGTTATCACACTGGATGGCACCTGTTTGCTGTTGGAATCGTCATGAGCTTGGCTCTGGACGCAATCACTACCATTGAAATTTCTTGCAGATCTGTCGAAGAGTTTTGAGTATTAGCTGCAGAATTCAGGCCTAGGACAGTTCTGGACAAGTGCGATTAAATCTCAATGTGGAGTCACATAAAAAGTTAGAAATGAGCTCACTCAGGGTGTTATTAGGAGAGACGAGTTCACGAGGTGTGAGAATTAGAAATGGAGAGCACAGTGGCAGAAAAATCATATAAAAGAATGAGAGGAAAGGAACATGGGGAATCCAGGGACAATTATTGTAGTTTGTGACCTCACTACTCTGACAAAGTCGATGTCAAGGAAATTTGAAGGAAGCTCATGAAATCGTCCTGTCACATATTGGTCAGAACATTTTGTGCTCAAATGGGGATCTGAAGCTGAAGCTAGGATTCTGATATCACCATGATTCTTCCAGCGTGTACGCGTTTGACCTTCCTCATATGGATTTGACCCATGACTTTTGTTTCCCTGATGCCTGCCGGCGTGTTGATCGTGACCGGCAGATTCTCCTCGTGTTCGTGCAAAAGAGTGGCAAGTCGCTCACTATACTCTGGTTCCTGATGGGAAAAAGGTCTTCTGGAGGGCGAGGGCAGTTCAAACTTTGAGCCGGAGAGAACTGACGATGAAAGTGACCTAACTACAAGAACGTCTGCTCAACAGAGTGTGACGTATCCGCAGGTTCGAGATCCAGGGTCAGTTGCAGTCATCAAGTTCTCTAATATGGCATTTATCAGGTGGAGTCCCCAGCAAAATCATGGAGAGCGAGAGAAACTGACAGCGAGAGAAAAAATAATCAAGGGCGAGTTAAAAGTTCTCACTTTTCCTGATCAAACAGAACAGAGCTTCTCGACATGCCCTCTTTGGTACTCTCTCTCTCTCACTCTCTCTCCTCTGCCTGCTTCTTCTGCCACTGTAAGCTATTTGTTGCACATCGACTCATATGCAGCTCATCGAGAACCTCCACAATGAACTGTCATTCACAACTTCGATGTGCGCAGCCGTCAACCACGGAATATAATATGAACCAACACCAAAACACGCGCATTATGCTCGACAAGGCCTGGACACCTTCTATTTCGGGTCGTTTAGAATACCGATGAGTAACAGATTACCCAAAGAACGACTCTCCCAAGCAGAACGTTATCAGCGCTCCAGTTGTCGTCAGTAAAGCCTCTTTTCATCATGCCATCGCTCAATCAAAATTCCTCGACAGTCAGAGCTCCGTGAGATTCTTGGGTTCTTGTTTGATTAGTTCGGGGATCTGCGACTCCAATCATTGAACCTACAGGACTCACGTCCCTCCCTAGCGATGGACGAAACTCTCAAGGAGACTCTCATCTGCAGGAACCAGGCTCGGTGACCGTCATCAAGCTCTACATCCATGTGCTTCCAAGTCGAAAGCTGGAGTTCACTTGGACGAGTACTTAGATCCTCATTTCCGCATTAGAGTAAGCACCAACCATATAAGGAGCAAAATCGTAAAAATTAGATCCCTTGAGCTAAATTTTCGAAAAGATGATGATTATGGATATTTTTCACCGGGCAAGTTCTGATGGAACCGGGATGAAGAAGGTCGCCAGCGAGACAATTATCGTTGGTGACATTCGTTCAATGTTGAACACACATTATTGTGAATGCTTTCAACAATCAGATGCTCATAAATGCAAGTGGCGGAGGGTGAAAAGTGAATCGACCGAAGTGAATCTGGGATCTTGCCTTCGGCATTTCACCCGTGGATTCTAAGTTCAATGCATGGCGCAAGTGGAATCTCCTTCAACGCCCATGCAGACATATCTTGAGGGAAAGGGGCAGATGACAGACATATATCCTCAGGGTAAGACTTGGAGTAGTTAAAGAGAACCTTAACGCGCAGGGAGCGCTGTTCTTACTTGTGAGCATCGTATCTTTACACTCCTCGCAAATAGTCAGCGACTTGACGTGCATGTCACAAACAAACACATGTTCAATGAGTGTGTACTGTAGCAGATGTTCATTTCTCGAATATTTGCAGGTGATGTTCATCTGAGGGTGTCCCAGAGGAGAGACGCAGAAGAAAGCCATGAGCCCATACTGTCTATGGCTGCACAGCCAGCCAGCCAGCTCGTGGCCATGAGCTTTAGAATGGTCTTCAGCTTCAGACCCCTCACTCCACCTGTGAATAGATTCCGCACCCATAAATGTTCACATGGTCCGCTGGAAAGATGAATGTCCAAAGGCTCTCCGAGAATTCACGTTGCAATCGCTTCTCTGTGAGAACTTACGTGTGGACCTACGCTTGCAGAAAATCGACATAATTGCGAACCCAGGTCCTCGTGAGGCGAAACTAAAAGAATGATATGTACAAAACCAAGAGATACTCGGCGCAGCAGCAGCAGCGCAGGAATGACACTCTGCTGCACCAGAGACCAGAGTCAGCCGACATGTTTGTACGAGCCTAGAGATAGATCTCAATGAAACTGACGTCTGACAGCCAGAACGAAGGGGTAGCCTTCTCCGGCTGCAGTCGTCTCAGAGCCTGCAGATGCCAAATGCACCCACCATTTTCAGATTTCTCTACAGTGGTACTTGAAGCCCTAAAACACACATTCTAGATCCATAACGGCGTGATTCTTAGATCTGCTGCTTCCGATGTAGAGCCCGACAGCATGCACTCAACGCCTCGTTACTCAAACCAGCCTCAGTGTACTGCTGCTGTGCTCCGGTTGGGGCCGATTTGACTGGATACTGGTTAGAGTGAGAGTATGTTTTACCTCGATGGACGCTGATTGGCCTCTGCAGACCATGCTCAGCTCACTGAGGAGGAAGCTCATATTTCAGCTCGATCCACTCCCCTCGACATGCATGCGAAAGTTGGGGACGCTCATCGGTGACTGGCTCTGTTGACTCCCATCGATCGATCCATCCATCCGGACGTTACATACGTTGAGGCTTTGACTGTCGAGGTTACGATCTTGACCTTCTCAGACGTATCGTATGATGTTTATCAGTATTCAGTCAATGATGCTCTACGATCCATGTTTCCATTCGTCGGTGGATGCTGACAGTCGACGATCGCTCTGCACACGAGAGGAGAGGAGAGGAGAGGAGGACGAACGAACGCGACGACGCTTTCGATGAGTCGATCTGGAGCGTGTGAGAAGGATCTGAAGTCTTGGACTCCGCATATTCCTCTCAGGATTGGAGCTACCCGTGCGTAGAAGTAACGCCAGCTCGTACCGCCATGGACTCGAATCATACACAGAACTGTTCTAGTCCATTCTCTCTCTGGACTCATCATCCTCGTCTGGATGAAATTAATACTCCCACCACCCTCGCATCATCGTCTCAGATCTTCGTCGCCTCACTCGCGTTATGGTGTTCCATAAATACGCCCCTTGAACACGCAGTCTCGACTTGAGCTGGCTATCTACTCTGAAGGACTACGTATTTCTTCTGCCTCTGCTACATTTGTCCATTACCGTATGTACGCCCATATTTTCAGAGCATTGCGTACTGTACTCTTCACTCAGGAACATGATGTGGAACTCAAGACACACTTTCGAGCCCACAGAGCTTGGGATCACATCTGTCAAATCCGTCGCTCCCTGAGAACAATGAAGCCGAAACATGTCTCTGCAATTCTGTTTAAGACATGGCCGTATAAGAAAGAGAGTGGAGGCATTCTCTTGTATCTGCTTACCAGTCCGCCTCCTGAATCTCAGGACTGTTTCGTAAAAAAAGAGTCCTCTCCTCTCGAGCTGCAGTGGCAAGGTTACCAACCGAAGAAGAAGGTTCTGGCGGTTTGTTAACAGGAGAGTGTCTTCATCTCTTTCTGAACCCAGACTTCTGTCTTTCTCGCCATCTTGACTTCGTCAGTTTTTCTGTCCCTGGACTCAGCAATGCATTCGATGGTCCCGTGCTGCTGAGGCCGAAGAGTAAAAGACACTCGCATCGAGGGGAGGGGGCGCATTGTGTGTAGTGCTTCGAACCCTGGCCGAGCAGAAAGGAAAAAGCTCAGAGAGGTCAATAAATCAACCTTTTCTTGGAACGAGACCATGATGGGAAGTACAAGGTATGTGCGACGGATTTCAGAACTGCATGCGACTCCAAATTTATAAACAATCCAAAATTAATGTGGGGAATGACTGGATTTCCTTCGGTCTGGCAGTGAAATGATGTGCCCCTCGAGCGGTCGAGTATAATTTCGCGCATGAAATAGAAACCGTGTCTGCCCCAGACGACGCACTCTGGAATTATTCCTCAAAGTGTGCAGCGTTCACTTCACTAGTAATGATCATTTTTGAGACTGCGATTTCGTTTTTGTGGTCGCTATCACATTCCAAAACTCAATGGAGTACCACTAATGGCTCCATTTCAGACAACTTGCGTGCATTTTGCCAAGTTCCCTGCTTCAATTGTCAGCATGAGCCTTCCATGGCACTACCTTGAGTTTACCACATGGTTATTACCAAACAAGAGAAATGAAAACATGTTGGGAAGATCAAAATAATTTTGGGAAAAGAAGCATAGGTACCACTATTTGGTCATTGCTATAGTAACTCCTTTGTTACATTCTTTTCTCAACTTTCTAAGTCATGGTCGAGAAGACTAATTCTTTGACCAAATTCCACTATAACAACCTACACAACAATCTTAGAGCAGACAGCCATTGAGATCACGGCAGTTACAATCAGCTAGCTCTTACAATTACTTGCCACCAAGAGTGAAAAACTAGCCTAGGTCTTGAATAAGAGGGACCGAGACTCGTTGGGCACTGTTGAATCCTCCATCAGCGGCACCACCTGTGAAAGCACCGCGTTATCCATCCGCAGATCGCCCACGAGCAATTCCGCGACCATGAGCTCCGCTATATCCATACCTAAATTTTTCTTCCTCGTGATATTGAAAAAATCATTGATGCTCACATTATTTTTTGATTTCTTTTCCTTCTCTAGTACCTCCTTTTCTTTGTTCTTCTTCTCCTTTTCAACACGCAATTCAATAAATACATTTTTCTCTGTTGATTTTTTATGGACCATTTGCATGGTTTCATAAGCCTTGTGAGCTTCTACTTTACTTTCTCTTGCCTTGCTTGTGGCAAGAGATTTGCGCGTCTACTCAAGATTCTTCTCATGTTAGTTCAATGTCATCTCTTTGTTTTCCTACTCTTCTTCTTTCTCCTTGCCATCCTTAATGGGTATCTACGTACGTCTTCTTGTCTTCACCGAGAATAACTACTTTTTCTCCTCTTTCACAGCAATCTCCACGAACTTCTCGTACTCAGATTCACAATGAAGATCGTGCTCGCGGCATCCTCAACTATCTTCATAGTCTTTTTCATAGCTACAATAATCTCTACAGTACTCTCCGCCTTTGCCCTAGCTGCCTTCAAAGAACTAGTTTTTTGCCATACACTCTACAAGGTGAGCTCTCATTTACACCATCAAAGCCGCTACCTCCTCTATCATCAACATATCCAATGCAATATTTTCACTAATTGTCATCACTGTTTCTTCGGTTGTTGTCGCGATTATTGTAGATTTCGCGATCCAGAGAAAATCCATCACGGTTCAGCGTTGAAATCCTCCATCGTGATCATCTTCATATCCATTGCAACCTTGGTCTATTTCACGACCTTCTTCATGTCCACTTTCGTTGAAGTTATTCTGTTCTGTCATCACTTTAGTTGATGGAGTCCGCTTCGTAGGTAGCCGTGTCAGAAATGTGTTGTGATTTCTAGGTAGTAGACATTTCTGCAAGGGAAAATTTGAGTGGCTCTAGCAATGACATCTATGAGTTATTTCTTTTCATAGTTGCCCAAAAGATCAAAATAGTTGAAACTAAGACTAGATAGAAGGTAAGATATTTATGCACGGATAATGAGTATAAGTTCAAAGTTAGTGCTAAGAGCAAAGTATTAATTGTCATCTCATCACGATTTATACTCCATAACAAAATATTACTTTTGAGAAATTCAATCGAATAGTGTTAGAGATAGTGATTAATATGTTTAATCAATCAGATATACCATAATTTTTTTGAACTTAAGCTATCAATCTCGCAATGTATTCAATATATCACTTTTCTTCTAGTGCAATTAATTTTTTAACACGGTTTGAATTGAGCCACAAACAAATGTCTTATTATAGTCGCTTAATAAACTTTGGTTGTATGAGTTTTACTCTCATACTTACGGAAAATAGGATCAAGCTAGATCTTGCATCCAAGACATGTTTTTTCCTTGTATATACTATTGGTGTGAATGTTTATAAGCTATGAAATCCAATAGATTGTAAAGTTATTGTTAGTATCGATGTTTCTTTCAATGAACTCAAATCATTGAAAGAGATGGAGAATTCTTAGACTTCATATAGTGACAAGAAAAAATTTCCAATCACGAATGTTGTTGAGGTAAGATTGATCATTATGTGATCAATGATGTGACACAAGGAGAAGCTCCAATATAGATGTAGCAATTTTCTAGACAATTGGTTTTAAGGTAGCAGATTATTGTTGGTGAACCTCAAATATATAGATCATACAATAGAGATCAACTAGATTTATTTACTAGTAGATTATCAAATCAGATTGATAATGCTCTTGCAAGATATGAATTATATATCAATTCATCTATTTTCAAAAATTATGATATTTTGTACAAAGGATGGTGATGGCATGCAATTGATATTGGATTAGAATAAACTTATACTCATAGAGAAGTTCAAACTTTTGTCAATAAACTCGAGTGAAATGCTAATATGACTCGTGAAATGAAATTGTTGATTGATAACAAAACTTGTGAACTAATGAAGCTTCTTAGAATCAAACTTTGATTGAATGCAAGTAGATATACAAGTTGAAGTTAATCAAGATGATGAGTTTTTCTAAATCACGTTGGTGATGGTTAGAGGTTTCACACAAGAGAAAAATGTGGATCAAAACAAAGTATTTTCACAAGTAGTAAATTATATTACAATTTGCTTGGTATTTGCATTTGCTCAAATATTCAATCTGATTATGGATCTTTAAATGAAATTTTAGAGTAAAAAATCAACATAAAACAATCAATTGGTTTTGAACAGAAAGTTCAAGAAAAATTGATTTGTATATTGTTGGAGTCATTATATGGAGAGAAGCAAATTGAAAATTAATGAAATGATAAGTTCATGAAAACAAAAGAGTTTTTCACGCACTATGTACAATCCTTGTCTATACCTGAAAAAGATGAATAATGAAAGTTTCAATCTTATTTTTCTAAAATTTTATGTGTATGACATTGTCATTTAAACAAAAAAAAACAATACAATGTTGACATATGCAAAAATTAGCTAAAATTTACATTCAAGATTTGGATACGTCTAAAAATATATTAGGGTGGATATTCATAGTAATTTGACATATGAATATCTACTATTTGACATATGAATATACTGTGAATAGTAATTTGAATGTCAAATTTATATTGAGATCGTCAATGAATGTAATTTGACATAATAGACATCACACTTCAAACTTTTTGTAGTTCAATATCCGATCAATATCATTGAAAAGAAAATATGTCATCAATCTCCTATGACAAAACTATGGGCAGTCTCATGTATTTGATGGTGTGCATGAGGCTTCATATTGCTTAGGATATGTACAATTGAACATGTATATGTCAAATGCAGAGAAGATGCATTGAAAAGTGGTGAAATATTTTTTTACATTTAAAAAATATTAAAGATTATGCTTTATTTTTTGATGATTTATTCAACGATTGTAAATTCTTGCTAAACTACATTGATGTTGACTATAGACAAGATATGAATCAAATAAAATCTACAACTGAATTTTTGTTTACTTGGTGTTAAATGCATTATTTGGAGATTTATCTTGCAAAAGTGCATAGCTAAGTCTACAACGGAAACTTAATATGTAAAACAAGAAGAAGCAGCAAAGTACCCTAGTTAACAGAAAGATTACTTCTCAAAAGTATCACAATTTGGATAAATCCCATCACTTATTAATTTTATTGTGATTTTTTGTCAACAAAAAAATCACTACAGCTGGATTTAATGTCAGAAAAATCGCTCTTGAAAATGCTACTTCATTGTAGGAGATTCTTGTCGATTTTGGGTTCTGTGGAACTTTCCGTTGAAGTTTTTGTTTGTTGTGCTGCATGGCGGAGTTGAAGACATCCGTCGTGAAATATCATCCTTGGTCGTCACCTGTCATCAACTGAAATGAAGTGGTTCTTTCTGACAAATCCCGAAAACAAGAAATGGGTGGAAGCTCAAGAGAAGCGTCACAAAGCCGAACAGAACGTTAAGGACGTTTCACGTTTGGTATGTCGTGAAATGTTTCCAGAACTTCACCCTGAAACTATCGAGTTGGGCTCGGAGGCAAGCTCTAGCTCTGCCCTGAAGGAGATTGTGATTGAGGCTCGTCAGCGGCAACTTCACCGTACATTGATGAAGGAGCTCTTGAAATCCTTTACAACAACAGGAAAACAGACCATTGCTCCGTATCGTACAAGGACTTGGGAGCAGAAATCGAAAGCCATATTTTTTTACTTTCACAGGTCTTTAGGAAACATGAACCAAGAACTATGCTCTCTCTTCTCGATCAACGTCATGAACTTTCAGAATTGGATCAAGCGAAAAAGGTATTTCGGTAAATGTTTCCACTATGTTGAGGCTTTTAAAGTCTCTGATATCCTTTCCGACGTGCCTGCCACATATCGAAAGGATTACGATGATGTGGACGCTTCCAGCCAGGTGCAAATCGATTCAAAGTTTTGCAATTCCACTCCAGGTCAGTAGTACGTTTCGGCCTTATCTGCCGATACTCGTCAAAACAATCGGAAAGTGGCTGGAAAATCTGACAACATCACATATCTTCTCCAAACAACCAAGACTGTCGGTTTTGGAAGAACAGTGAAATACGCCCAGCAAGAAGAATTCCTTATCTCGACTGTGGTGATGAAATGGGAGACATGCAACCCATTGAGCAAATCGGCAACCTACGATCTGCTCATCTCAACGTTTGGTCATGAACAGGAAGCGGAACGCACTGAATGGGAGGTGAAGATGAAGATCTATTCAAAGTGTATATCTCCAAGCCTTTCGCAATGGGTCGCCAGAGTTCTTGAGAGACATCGGTTTTTGATTCCGAAGGAATCAATCTCCCAAACAGTTCCTTTCACTTGGTTACAAATTTGTTTGGATACGATCTGTAACATCATGCGATTTGCTGGTGTGACCCGTTTGGTCAATGCCAACGAAATGTTTCTTCAATTCTACCCGAAAGAAACCCATTTGATTGCTCCAACGAATGTACGACGAGTTGGTTCCAACCGAGCCAAGGATGCCAAGAAAAGGTGCACTTTGATTGAGGCATGCGAGATGTTCCAAACTCAAATCATTGCCTTTATGATTATCATGACTGGCCAGCTTGACGGGACGCTTTCAAGACGATTATTTTCTTCGGATGGGCCTAGCAAAGTCACGTTCCATCCAAAGCATTGGATGGACAAAGACGAGTGCTGCATTTACTTGGAATATTTGGCGTCGTGTTATGCAGGCGAGAAGGTTGGTTTGATTTGGGACGCGGCTTCTAGCCATTTTTCAGATCAAGTCAAAGAGAAAGCTGCTGACCTGAACATCACGTGGGGATGTATTCCTCTTGGGTGCACTAGATTGATTCAAGTATGCGATCTGATTGCCAACAAACCGATCAAACAGGCCTTCAAAACGCGCCACGTCTCGTGGAAGATTGCCTCTAATCGTGATCCTAGAGGCAAATACAAGGTCGATCAAAAGGACGTCATTTCTTGGCTAGAACAATCGATCGAAGATGTAAATGCCAGCATGTCGACTTGCTCAGAGGTTGCTAAGGTCTTTGTTACCTACGACAGGATTTTCGTTGTGCAAATCAGTCTGCACTAACTGAGTACTTGGCGAAACATGAGGAGAACGATGTATATCAATCACTAATCGACAATCAGCGATCTTTGGACATGGAATAAAGCTTTTCCCACTTGTTTTAATTTTGAAAATGGTGCGTCAAAAGTTCACAAGATAATCACAATTTCTGATAAGAATCGGTCACTTTTAATGTTAACTCAATCGCAATTTGAAAATACCTCAATTAAGCTTTTTGTTAACTACGATAAACTATTTTGGTTAGATAGATTTATCACTTACATGGAGTTAGACATGAGGTTGTCAATCTTCACAATGATAGTCAAATTGTATTACATCTTGCTGCAACCAGATCAGATGGTCAAACCTTAGACGTGCTAGATTGGAATGATGGATGGATGAGTAGGGTGAAACACATTGACATCAAATATCATTTTATGAAACATATAGTTTCTAATATTAAGATTAAGCTATTCAAGATTGGTAGTAAGTTTTATCTAGATTAAGCGTTTATCAAAGTTATTACTGTAAAGAGTTTGAAAATACATTGAACTATAATGCAGTTTTCACATGAGGAACACAAGTAAAGTTTATTAGCAATTTTAAATAACTCTATATTTTTTATACTCTATTTTGTTTTGGCTACGGCTTGGTTTAAATCAGTTCTATACTAAATAGTAGTTATTGTTTAAATACTATTAACTTTATTATTATCTATTTCTTTCTAGGTTTTCCTATAGAGTAATCGTATAGTTTAAGGAGTTTTAGGTACCCGACATGTGTTAAGAGGGAAATTGTTAAGTTTAAAAGAATTGTATGACGATAGACTGTTGTTAGGATTTGTATGTGTGTAAAATGTGATCTACTTGTCGCCTCAAAAACTATAAGTCTTTTGGAAATATACTTATAGAGTAAAAATCATGTATTCTTATTTACTATTTTTTGTAAAATTATTGTAATCTAGTTCATGATAATTTCTTTAGTTGCAACACTTATACATTGCATCTGTACAACAAAATTCACTAATAATATCTTACTGTTTTCACAATGTGAAATTGATAATATAATCATTCTTTATTTATAAAAATTGTTCAACTTAATTACTGTGATAGTGATATTTAGTTTCATAATGAGCCAAAAATAAAACTGATATCAATGCTTTATCTATATTTGTTTCAAAATTAAAGATTATTAAAAACTCTCATCAAATTTTATCTTAAAAAATCAAACCATATATAACATCTATCTAAATATTGGATTTTGATCATGAATAAAGAAATATGTTTCACATATCATGTGTACAGAATCAAAATACAGAATTAAAATTAAAAATTAATTAGAAATACAATTTATGAAATATTGACATATCCTATATTTCATATATAAAACATTATTTTATGTCTAGAAAATATTTATTATATGATAATATTTTCATAAATGATTCAACATTTCTTTCAATGTTAAAAAATGTCAATTTCTGTAAATTGAAGTCCATATATTTACATTTATGAGCTTCTTGATCAATAAAATATATTTCATTGATAGCAAGACAAGTTTCAAGTACAATTTTCATCTTTAATAAATCTAAAAAAATTATCTATTTTATTTAAATAAAATTAAATTAAAATAAAATAATTGTAAATTATCATATAAATTCTTGTGAAGACATATCTGTTTAAATTTTTTATCAAGTAAATAGTTAATGAATTAAATATTAAGCTTTATATTAAACTTATCATATATGAAATAATTATCAATACAAGCTATTACTTCATCTAAGCTATGCACATACTTTATTCAAATACATCTTGTAATGATCCAAGATCCTTTTAGACAAGAACTTGAGCCGTTGAACTTATATATGAGTATTTCAAAATTATTTTCTTTAAATATGAAAATAACATGCTATATATATGTATTTTGATTTTATTGGATAGAAAAAAATTTATCCATGAGAATCAATAACGTAACAATGTACCACTTATAGATTAAATGTTTTGACATATTCTCATTTCTGATTTTGTTTCATGTAATTTCAGAGTTCTTATTTTATTGAATATTTATGACTTGAAACTTCGTGCAAAATTCAACTGAATAGAAAGTTATTGAATACAATTATGCTTATTGTGATTATTCATGAGTCTCAAACTAAATTTGGAGCAGTCATATTCTATTTTGCAGTTTCAATCATTGAGATGTTTGAACAAGGTTGTATTGAGCTTAATATTTAAGCTCAATATAATTTATATAATTTTATTTAAGAATAATCTTATCACAAAATTAGCCAAGAACCTTCTCACCATAAATTTTACTTTGTGATACCAAGGAAGTTGATTGTTTTCACTTCTCTAGTATCTAGGAAAATCTATTTTTGAGCCAAAGTCATATATGAAAACACCATAAATTTGAAAAAAAAAACTAATATTTTTCACGACTTTGAAGATAATGGAATAGATGATAAATATTTTAACTTTCGATTTCTTAGATCATTATTGATATTAGGTGAAAGGAAAATTCGCTGAAAAGAGCTTGAAGACACATATATACAATTGAGACCAACATTAGTCATAGAATTTGTTGTGTCGGTTGTTCAGAAATTTTTTTGGCTCTTATCTTGAGTAAACATCTAGGTAAACATATCTTCTCTTCTTGTCAAGGACATACATTTCGATGTGATCGTGCTCTCTTGTACTAAATTTCAGTCTCAGTGAGAATCATGCTTACTGATTTTACACCATCTGTTCGAGACATCAACCTTAAGCAAGCATTAAACAAATTTACGATGACGAATCGAGCACTTCATGAAACAGATGAGTGCAGCAAAGGAACGAACGTTAGGGAGACTTGATCATGGCTATAAGTTGGAGAATTCGAAGACCAAATTGGCGTTCGATCATCTCACTATTGTACTGTTGACTTCGACCATGATTACGAGTAGGTGTACACGAGCTGTACATCCGAACCATCACTCTGCAATGAAAATTATAGAAGGTCCAACTTCTCAGTATCGACATGTCTGCTCGAATCAGTTGTGACTGTAAAGAAGTAGATGCGAAAGCAATAGCTCTCTAGTCTACAATGTCATCATTTCCTCGGGCGTAGTTCGGCAGATTAGGCTGGCTGAGTCTCAGTCGGAGGGATAATGCTCACGGTGTGTCTTGCACTTGTAACAAACGCGTGAGGAGGATTGAAGGACGAGGGGTTTGATAGCAGAGTCCGTCTCGTCCGGCAGGCCTCTGAGGTCCCCCCCGGGCATCAGCATGACAACTGAGAGGATGAATTTTCCAGCAAGACTCCACTGTCCTCAGAAGCTGTACAGGGCATCTGCACACGGTGAACTCTTTGACAGTCTGAGCGCGCAGCTGTAGTCCACTGACATCCCGACTCCACCGTAGGCACTGCACAAATGAGGAGCAAACACCAGTCAGTCTGTCAGAAAAAAATTTGAGGACAACAGAGATGGTAATCTGTGGAATGGTATCGCATCTGCCATGTTCGTCTGTCACAGTGGCGCATGGCAAGTGGGAAATAAGAACTGAAGGAATGATTTCATTTGTCATCCATGTTCTCGATTTTAGCTCTAGAGCATGTAACCCAGTCCCATACTTTCATTTGAATGCAGAGGTTTAAAATATGCAAACCTCCTGACAACCTCGAAGACGATGTTGAAGACGGGAAAATTCAATGGATCTTCTACGATCTTGTTCCCTTGGATGACGCAGATCGTAAAGATGACGACACAGAGGTTGGCTGAGTCCTTGGCAAGGAGCTTCCTCGTCTGAGAACTCAGGCTGTTATTGGGGGACTCTGGCTTTGTGACGTGGAAACGCTCATTTCTACTTCTTCATATTCGCTGGAGTTCTGCCTCAGGAGAAAGAGAGGGTGTGCTGCAATGTACCTGCTTGGCCAAACAGAGAAGGACCGGTTATTCAACTGGTCACTGATTTAAGCCCTCGGTTGGAATTTAGTTGAGAACAGCAGCTCTGAAGTTGATGACTATTAACAACTCGTCAGCGGAAAGCTTTCAAATACATTCGTTGCCCATGGCCTTAAGGCTCTTAAGCTGAAACAGTGATAGACAAGGAGCTTTAAGAAAATGCAAAAAAATTGACAACAATGGAAAAAAGAAAGCTTGCACCCAACTCTGGATTTCAGATTAATTTTGATTTCTACAATTCATTCAGGAGACGGAAAAGACATCATGTCTAACTTCTCGGCAGCAACTCTGAGAACTCTCACAGAAGAAGAGGATCCAGCTTAAATCATGGTAACGTAAAGCACCAGCACTGTAGGTAGGAGTCCACACCTCCAGAGTTCTGCACACTTACTGATTGATAAACTCCAACGATTGATTATCTTTGAGAGTGGACTGAGGTTGTTAATGCAACTGGATTCCAGTCTAAAGTCCAGATGAAGATGAGCTGGACAGCAGACAATCGCAGCAGTGTGAGCGCCAGCCATGAAGTTTGCGTGGCCGAAAACAGTTGAGTGTAGCATTTTCGAGGGTGTTCCAGAAGGTGGTTGAATACTTGCTTTCTGGCCCTGATGATTTCCCTGGCAAAAATAAATCAAAAAAAGGAGGCAGAGTGGGTAGAGAAGATTGCCAGCCAAGGAGCAGGCTGTGTAGAGCAGTAGAAGACAGTTCTCTCTCTAAACGGTATTAAGTTGTCGGCAGGAACTGCTGAGTTTGTGAAGGCTGAAACTGAAGTAACAAAAACAGGAAGAAAACAGAGTTGACGTCTCTGACTCGCAAAAAGCACTCTGCTTTTGCATTCACGGCAAAGTAGAGCTCGTGAGAGCGGAAGCCAAGAACTTAACGACAACGATGTAAGTGGGAATTAGTCCACTGAGAATCAGAAGGATTTCTGGAGCTTAGGCTTCCTCGAGACTGTCACACGAGATGCAGGAACATTCTAGAACAAAGTTTCTATATGGTTTTTGGTATCATGTACTTCGTCGACTGCTTTCGAAGACTCTGACGTTCCGGCCTTCCAGCATCAGATGCAGTGACTAAATGTCCTGGAACCTGTACGAGATGTAGGTAATAGGTCTTATCATTGCGGCCATCTTCGGACAAAGTAGCAGCTGTGTGGATCTCGTGATCATTGACAACGCCGTGTGGTCCTGAAGCAGCTGCAGTCTCATCCAGCCCTCCGCAAACAGAGTATCTTCTACGTCCAAGAAATGTGCTGGTGATCGATGTGGATTTTGCGACAGCCTTCCTGGTGGGATGGTCTGCGCCACAACCACATCATCTTTCGGAGTATGGTCACGAGACCAGTCTTTCCTGATCTCTTGAACCAAGCCGTTTGTATCGGCGATTTAAATGGTAACATCTTACGAACCTAGGCAAAAGTGAAGTGAATGGATGACTTCCTACATTCATCGAGGCCAAGGAGAGTTCCCCCATTATTATAATGACAGTGGATATCGAATTAAAATTGAAGGTAGCACCCACGATCGAGATCTGCTTCTGACGTTATCTGTGAGACAGCCATATAAAGGCACCCAAAGTTTCTAAGCCCAGGAAGTATGACTCATGGAGTCGGTGGAAGGTTAGATGTGCTCTTACCAATCTGGATTCACATATCCATTCGACTCGGGACTTATAGGACAACTCGAACGCCATATCTATTAGTGAAAGCACCTCACTTTCCTCAGCACATTCCGGACCCTAGCCACCAAACTCTCCATTGAACAACAGGATGAAATTGGAGATTGAGCGACTCAGTGGTCCCTCATGAATTATAAAATTTGAAGCAAAAATAAAGGCAACCGGAGATCAAGCCATGGGACAAAGATTACATCCCCGTTGCACGTTCTGGCATCTGCCCTGCTCTGGATGCGCTCACGTGAAGATGGGTCCTTGAGTGTGATGCTGTGAGGTTTGAACATACTTCCAGTGTGTCGGTTCATGGACCAGACAATTTTTCACAGCCTTTGATCTTTCACCATCACACGTACATGGAAGGCCAAAGGACATGGATACATTACTGGTGCTCCATTCCAGCTTTACAATGGTGAAGGCTTTTCCCTCAGATGTTAACGAGGTCGAAGCCATCTGACCACTCAGCCACATTTCTCCAAGGTCTTCCGTGAACTTGGACAATTATTGGGCCGGACCGGCCACTGAAGCTGAAGTATGCATGCGAGCTCCACATCATGATTGACTGGTTCCTTATACTATCTGAGAGAAAGCAATATATGAGAAAGTACCCGACAGTGGAACCAAGGGACGTAACAAAGTACGAGCGAGGACGAGACAGATGATTCATGTCATGTTCGCTACAAGAGCGGCGATACCAACACGTGAGATCAAGAAGACAAAAAACACAAAATTAGGTAGAATGGGTAAGAAAATATGAATCAGTCATGGAGTTTCTTTTTTGCAGCCAATGTGAATGCACCGTCTTTCGGAAGATACTATACCGGTCAATGTATACAAGCATTTTGACTTTCAATGAACACACAACTGTTGGACTGGAACTTGATCTTGGAATGTTCATAAAACAGAAATCCGGATCCTAAACTCACTCGAGATGGAGGCTAAAAACCGTCGAGTTGACATATACGCTATAATTCTGTATGATAATTTTTTCCTTAAGTCCTCAAGGGCCTGACCATCAAATGTCTGTACTCTACATTCAAGCACTTCGGCGAGGCTCTTTCAACTTTCTTACAACTTCATTAGAGCCTGAAAACCACGTGAGGTTATGTGTTCCTTTCGCGAGTTCTGGATTCGACTCAAGTCCCGGATTGGAGATTCTACATTCCACGAAAGTCCCAGTTAGGAAGTTGAGCTTTGGGCAACTGAGGGAAAGGTAGAGCCAAGCAGCTAAGAGACAAAAATTATTCCCGGTTCCTACATTGTACGCAGGTTGTATTCAGCTGGGGAATCCAGAGCTGATAATCATTGACAGACACACAGAAAGTGCAGTAGGGAAAATTTGTCAATCAACAACTACACCGTCAATGAGCACAGCTGATTCTATCGTGAACAGCCAGACCATGTTGGGTGTCGAGGTCAACAAGCGCCACCCCCGGCAGCGGCAAAGGCCCAGGAGGCTGTGATTCTTCTTCCCCGCACCTGCTGCACCTGGTGAATTCCCTATCCAGCTGCACATGGGCGATGTTTGTATGATCTCAAGGCAGTATATGACGAGGCTGATGGCATTGCTCAGAAACTTCATGCTGTTCACATTTCTAGCATTCATTTCCATTCTGTTTCGCCGTCCTTGTTAGACCTAGCTACTCTATCTTCCTCCGAGCATTTTAAGATTATCGAGTATGGTTATACTAAGGTATATAAAGTAGTCGCTAGTACTCTTTGAGAACGCAAAATCAGATGGCAGAGATAAACCACAACATCAGACGCATATGTGGGTTAGTTCCTAGTGATACCAGACTCCTCAATGAGGCTGTGGTCTCGATCGCTCTGTTATGTTGAGAAACTGCGCTAAGGGTCAGAGGCCAACATTTTACTTCAAATCTATTGATTATGCATAGCTATTGTATTTATTTTTTATATCTAATATCTTTTTTCTAAAATGAATTTAACATGTTATTTAAAAATGAAAATTTTCATTCAATGTAGGTGTCATGATAAAAAAAAAGGACATGTCCAGATTTATTAAAAAAATGTCAATTTAATTTTTGAATACGATTAGATTAACTTTTTTTATGAATAATCTTTCATGTTTGTGATATATATTGGTTTTAAAAAGTAAAAACATAATGATTTTTTTAATAAAATCATGACATGATTAATGAACATTGTTGAAAGAATCTTGAGAATTATAGAAATCTATTCAACATTTAATTCTTAATAATTTTATCACTTTAAAATAACATTTGTGCTTGGATAAATTTATATTTACATAATGCATATTGGATAATTGACTCTAAAGATTGATATAAATTTCAAATCCAAATAGCTCACACATCAATATATATTTTTAATGAAGTTTTTAATATACATATACAATTTTTTAATGTTATTGAGATGCATGCATCTCAAGAAAATTTGAGATATTATGAAATTTGAGATATTAATTTGATAAGAAAGCTTCATATATTAATTCATATATTATGAAAATTCATAAGAAAACTTCATGTTTATAAAGAACGTTAATTATCATTCAGGTAAAAACCTGATAAAATGTAACCATTTTTAGTCAGTTTTAATTAAAATATAGATTTTTTAAGGGCTTATACTTAGAGTTACTCACATTTTTTTATTTATAGTTATTATGTCCACAATATTTGTGCTTGATATTTAGACATTTAATTGTGGTAATCAAGAATAACACGTCAACATCTATATGCGTGTAAGATAAATATTCAGAGAGATTATTAATGTAACACTTGAAAACAACACATCAGTCATCAGTATGCATGTGAGATAAAAAATTAGTGTGATAATTAGTGATTAAGTTAAAACAACAGGACAGCAAAGGTGAAAAATTAAGTAGATTGATGGATCATACACCGGCCTGTTAAGTCTAGTCGGACACCTAAATTAGCTCAATTTAGTCGTACGAAGAGAACTTCATTGAGACTTAGTTTAGTCGGTGGGCAAATATGAATTTTCTTAGTAATTTAGAGTGCATAAAGTGGAACCAGGAGCATTTCATTGTTTAGGCAATATGATCGCCTAAACTAAACAGGCCGGATCGTACATATCATCAAAAATTATAAAAAAGTTATGAACATATTTAAGCATGAAAAAAAACTCAAAATTTGATGTTTCACCAGCAACAAATATAAATTTTTTAATATAAGATAATACTAAACTAGATGTTTTAAAATAACTTGATGTATGCACAACAAATCACATGAAAAAATGAAAAATTCTTCTATAGCAAACAGATTTTGTTAAGGCCTGAATAATGAAAATATGTAGAGTCATATGTTTGAATAGATAAATAAATAAATAACTAAATATTGCTTGTTAAAAAATCAAAACAATTGATCAAACATTTTTTAAATTTCTCAATATTGATGATAACATGTCATTAGAATGTTTTTATTTGAATTACTAAAAACCGTATTTTGTGCATTGTTTAATTATGATAAAAATGTAAAATTTGAGATGAATAATGTATATCAAAATAATTATATTTTATAAAAAAAATTTAATATATTGAATTATTTGTGAATATTGATATAGATATAAATGGATAGGTTCTAATGTCTTCATAAAAATTTGATTACTTTTTTAAAAATATATTAATAATATTCATTATTTCTCATACTTAAACCAATAAATAAATGAAAAATCCAATAAATTGTTTGAAAATAAGATATGTGCATTCACATTAGAAGAACAATAAAAATGTAACTTTCTTTTACACCTGGTGAAATTTTCATTTAATATTTTTGGTAATTTTGATAAAACTTCAAAAATATTTACAATTTATATTCTAAAAAATTCACATTTTTTAAATTTTATTGAATGAAATGAAGACTTCAGAAGAAGATTTTCTTACCAAAATAGTAATTATTAATACTGTGGAGTTTGTTTATGAGGTAGTGCACCAAGTTAATATGATTGTTTAATATTTACAAATGCTAATTATAGAAAATTGAAATTTTGTATAAGAAATTAGAATGGATTATTTACAACAATAAAAATGCTTACAAGAATTTTTTTGATATTGAAACTTGTTGATGAAATGACTCACAATTTGAAACTTTTGTTATAAATAACACACATCTTATATTCATATATATCATAATTTTATTAACATCATTTTTTCAATAAATCTTGATAGCTAATCATGAATAATGTGAGGTTGGAAAAAAAACAGATTGTAAATATTCCATAGTAACTTATTTAATTCAATGGGATGTATATTCATTATATGAATCAACTTTGGAAGTGTAGATTGTGAAGTGTAAAAAGTTAAGCTCTGATTATTCAAGATATTGAATTCACCAGCAATTAGTACCTTGAAATCTCAAAAGAAGAAAATTAAATAGTCATGTTCAATTACTTGATACTAAATTCACTCAAGATGAAGACAAAATTTAACTATTGAATTTCATGGTTGTCATGTCATAATATGTATGTTTAATGCTTAGAATATATTAGTTGAAAACTACACATCATTAATACATGTGTTTGTTTTGTATTTATGAATATATATTTACAAAGAGTGAAATGAATAAAAAATAAACTGTATTTTTTACATGTTGAAAAAATATAATTAAAAGAATAATATTATTGTAACCATTATTTATTTTAATATTTTTTGAATAATATTATGTTTTAAGAAATATTTTAATTTAAAAAATATGTTGAGAATACTATATTACTTTTACAATGAAGTATCTAAGTATCTTGAAACTTAATTCAGAAATGGAATCTTTGATTTTGTGGTAATGTTGTATAAATCATTTCATGACATGCTATGTTTTAGTTTGTAAGTCTATAGTTAACAAGATAAGGTAAACATTTTGAGATAAATTTTTCGTTTCTTCTTCAAAGAAATCTATGCATATAAATAATTATGTGATTAAAATTTTATTTGTATATATATAATTATTTAATAAACGTAATCGTAAAATATATTAACTTTTCATATTGGTTACATGATTATATTGTAAAATCATTTATTTACTCAGATCAATAATGAATTTCTCTTCAATTTACTTATAATTTCAAACATACATTTCTATTGTGAATGAAATTGAGATTTTCTAATCTAAATATAATCTGTCAGAAATTTATGATTGAATTGAATTGAATTGAATTTATGAATGTTCATCTTTTGTTATTCTATAAAAAATTGTAAATAGAAATTCAGAAAAACACATTTTATTATTTACAAAAGTGTATTGTTTTATTTGCCATTGTAATATGTCTTTATTCTAAACTTATGCTTCTAATACTAGTAATTTTTTGAATGTAAATGAGTTATTTTGAGATAATAATTAAAATAAATCATTGTGAAAGATTTCAGATTTAAACGTATGTAGTGTATTTCTGTTTATGTATGATGTAAATGTAAAATGAATGGTTATTGACAAAAATTTACATTAAGTTCACTAAATCATGAACAGCCATCGAGTTATTATCTTTTTCTAAATACATCAATACTTCACAAAATTAACTAGATTGAAACGTTCATCAAGCTCGTTCATCAAGAGTAGTCTCTCAATTGTGCATACAATATACCAAATGCTCAATCACCATCCTCTTCAAAACTATCGATGTACATGTGTAGAGGAGAGTATGAACACATCAGATCAAAGCAAAACTCGGCAGTGAATGCAACCAATCTTGAACAGAAAGATGACACCGATGTGGTTACTTTCAATATATGCCGAAGAGGAACTTGTCTAGTTTTGTTGGCACCTTTAGGGAAATAGTAGAGAGTCAGAAGAGTCCGACTTCAGGTTTACAATATCATGCGATGCACTTTCTGCACTTTATTGTCAACTGTCTTCCACGAACGAAAAGCGCGTCGTTTTCTTCTCTACTCTAGCGTCTCCTCTCGAAATATGCATTAAAATACGAGAATTCATAAGTATAATTTAGGGATAAGTAAGTGTCCTTCGAAGTAGAACTAGTCGCCACTTACACGTTTGTGACAAGCCGGTTGTTCAATCATGTTTCTGTTACAGCAGGTTAAGGTGTTGAAGGCTTTGCACGGTTTTCTTGACGCTCTCTTCTATCGGAGTGAAGTTCACGCCCAAATGCCTCATCTTTTCATTCGAGAACTTGAATACTGGCTTGTTGAAAGTTGCTTCATCCATTCCTTTCAGATCGGGCTTCAGGACGTTCGTGTACTGGGGATAGAGCTTGGCCAGCAACAAGGCAATGTGCTCGTTGGTCAAACTTTCCGCTACTGCCAAGTATCGCCCTTCCGCATTCGGATTTTCCATCGCGAGAATGTGGGCCAATGCAACATCCTCCACGTCCACAAATGCAATGTTGGTGGGAATGATCAGATTATCCTCACGCCTTTCTATGCCTTGGAGGATTCTCAGGACCTCGTTACTGCTCCAATTTACAGTCTCTTGCAACAAGCGTCCGACAACCGTGCATGGCACGATGGAAACCACGTCAAAAGGAGCATCTTTTGCATACTCAAAGGCAGCTCGCTCTGCAATCGTCTTAGCCATATGGTAGTACATTCCAATCTTCAGACAGAACTCAGGGTCAGTCCACCAGCTCTCATCCACTACGTCATCCTCAGATTTGTTGACGAATTTGTCGCTATAAAATACAGCTGCCGTCGACGATGTGTACACCACCCTCTTCACGGTCTTCGATTTCGCAGCAGACTTCAGCACATTCATCGTTCCTTTCACGGCAGGATCCACAATTTCTTTATAGGGATCGACCGCGTCCACAGTTACTCTTGCTGCAGTGTGCATAACACAATCCCCCCCATCGACCACTTCATCATAGTCGCCCTCCGCCATTAACTCTGCTCTGTACAGAACAAGCCTCTCCTGAGCTCCAGGCAATTCGAGCAAGTGGCGCAATTTCTTCACATCCTGAGGATCCCGAACTGTGCCCCGCACATTGTATCCACGCTCCAGCAGCATCTTCACTAGCCAGGACGCAACAAATCCTTCGCCCCGGTAACGACCACCGTTTTACTCACCATGGTTCCGACTGGTAGCACCAAGGGTACGATATCAGTGTATGAGCTGACGGCAATTTGTACAGGCGCCCAGTAACTCGTCGGGGGAACAGGTGCGGACTAGCTCTTCCTCACCCCTCTACCTCCTGAAACGCGGATAGCACCTCTCTTGCATCGATGTCGCATTTATCGAGGAAACTCGCTCCACTCTCAACTGACGTCTCCAAGTTATTCGATGCAGGTTCCAGAAGCCTGTATCCAAGAGGTATATGCTTGATGGGACCACATCAAAATATGAATTGACTGATTGGACCATCAAGTTTCAATTTATATTATGGTACCTTACCTAAGAGTCCACGTCAACTCGTGTTTCAAAGATGAATTTGTCCGCAGCAATTCATGTGCGTAAAACTCTTCATTGTGTCAGTATGGTGTTGTAGATCTATAGGAGCAGAAATTTGATGGTTTGACGAAAGAGCGAGTAAAACTTCCGGCAAAGGTGGAGTTTCCCAAGCTGGGGAGTGCCTACTTTAATCCAATGGATGTAAAATACTGGCGAAGCCGAAAACCAAGTGAGACAATCCTAGAATACACAATCTCCACCATACATTGGAAGCGAAAAAACCCAAAGTAAACATGGACAAAATGACGAGGATTGGCCTCCTTGACAGTTCAAGTCAGGAAACACAGAGTGACCAAAAACTTCCAGTCAGCCTCTGGTGGGTATTGTACCACAATTGTTCCTTCTTCGTATGATTGACCGGCAATCGCAAAGTTGAGAGACTGTTTGGGGTAGTGGGAATTTGAAAACCTAAGGTTCCCTTTATATTTTTTACGGTTAGAAAAGAAAGAAAAGCATACGCGTCGTGTAATGTAGCACCAACGAATATAGCCAGAAGGTGTCCAAAGTTTAGAGAAATGTGTGCTGGAAAGGAAGAGAGAAAACAAATGATCAAATCCCACAATTTGAACGGCAGAGGAGAAATAAGTAATCAATTAGCCGAAATTAGGGTTCCCATGGGAAATAAGGGAGGAGTCACTTGAAAGTGGTCAGTATACCTATTTCGACATGAAGGGGTTTCTTGGTTTGCCATATAAGAGTTCAAATTTTGTTACTAGTGAGAGAGATTGGGAAAAAAACTTTGTCCTAATCAAAATTGAGTGTATAACAATGATAAAATTGAGTCTGCCCAGCCAGGTTCGCAAAATTTTCAAAGTTAATTATAACTTTTCCGATCTGTAATAATAAATCATATATTGGACTGAGTAAACTTGTGATGTTAGAATAAACAAGTATATGCATATTGCCTTGTAATCCCCTTGCATTATGTTAAATTAAGAGATTTGAATTGTTCAAACACTCATAGAGAGTGTTTTTAAACAAAATACATCTATAGATTTAGTTTGATATTGCTTCAAATTGACAGGATTGCACTCTTATATGTATCATTTTTATGAATATTTTTAAATATTGATTTTAATTTTGGAGATGTAAAATTTATATTTATTGAATATCATTGAAATTTATATAAAAAAAATTTACAAACATAATATGAATCATTACAAGAGATTGTAATTTTATAATTTAATATACATATCAACAAGAAAAATAGTAAAGATAAATATTCAAAATTAAATTTATATTGAAGATATAAAAAACATTAAACATGAGGCGTATAACTATATGTTTTTCACTCTAGTGGCTTGATGGGCTTCCCATCGAGCCGTACAAGGACAGAGGGAAGCTTCCAAAAGCTGCGATTCCACAGATTTCTGATTGGATGGTTTTGATTTGTCTACGAAGTTTAAGTACCCAGACAAGACCATAACCATCAGCAGCGACCTAATCCCACCCATGCTATTCAAATTACACCAATTCTTGGTTGGATCTTGACAAACACTTACATCCTTAACATTACTTGTGTCCACCCATGGAAAAATTATGTCACCCAAAACCCATGGGCATGGATATGGGTTTTGGGTGACACTAGTGACGAGGATGGGCGTGGGCATGGGCACCCAATGTTGGGCTCTGCTAAGCGTAGAAGTAATGACGGTCGAAGGAGCTGGGAGATTTTTGTTTTCTCCAAGTCAAAGGAAGAGACACGAGACAAGATCTAACTGGGATGGTCATACGTGATAAGCTTTAACGCGTTGAAGAAACTGTTGTCAAGAATCTTGTTCGAAGGCCCACTTTGTTAGGCCAGATCGCGTTTGTGGACGATTGTTCGAAGGTTTGCTCGACAAATAATCTCACAGTTTGTACAGTCTCCAGTTGAATGGTTCCATTTGGATGGCAGACTTTGCAGACTTTGCTGCTACTGCTCTAGTTTCATGGAAGACTGTCGTTACTCCGGTAATCTGTCGTGAACCTCGCGCGCATTCTGGGACTACACGCCCTTGACTCAATGCGGCGTCTACCCCTGATACGAGAATGGTGATTTGGGGCCTTTTGGTAGTCTTCAGGTCGACCTGTTACTTTTGGACAACTTTGTAGCAGACTCTTAATTTAATCACGTTCACTGCTACGCATGGTATAGGATGAGTTACTGCTCATTTGGTCGATGACGTGCAAATTCTCGTGGAGACTGTACAAACTGTGAGATTTTTTGTCGATTTTTTGTCGAGCAAACCTTCGAACAATCGTCCAATTACGCGAACTGTCACCTCTGTCCACTTCTCTAAACTTTATTTGCAGCCCAGAGGTGTACTATGCGTCGCCAACACGTAACCATTTTTCATACGGTGTATCAGAGCTTCATACCTCTCAAGAGTCAAAGTTCGTGCCTCATGACATTTGATTAGAATCTCATTGAATCTTAGAGATTGTCGTTCTATGATATAGTAATCAGGTCGTCACATCATTTTGTTTGAATACGGTGAGTATAAAGGAGTCAAGTATAGGTATTTGTTAGTGAGAATAAATCCTTGTGAAATAGTGTGTTGCTTAACTATTGTTGCCCGTAGAACAAGATTCACCTAATATATGCTTATGAGAACATTACAACACTAGAAAGCAATTTTTTTTAAGGTCTGGATCTGAGTCAATGGTACAGGTGTTGTAAGATTCTATCTTGTTAGGCTGGGATTTCATAAGTTGGAAACATATGAATTTGTATGTAGATGTATGGAACGTAAGAAAGAAATCTGACATGAGTGTAAGAAACCTTCTCTACCTCCCAGCTTTTAAGCATCTTTTGAAAAAAGCAGAGTCAATACGATATTGTGTTGATGAACTTTTAACTAATTTATCCTGAGTCGATACATAATTTATTTTGAGTAACTATCAGTAATGTTGCAAAGAGACACGAAAAAGAAGTAATGTTGCAAAACTTTCAAAACTATTGATATCAGTTATTACTCTTTATTTATATTTAGTTAGTTGAATTCTCATGCTTACTCTGCTGGTATCAGGAGCTAATATAAAATACATGACTGCTAAGAGTGTTAAAGTTAGTAATGAAGACCTAAATGTAAATAAAAGGAATCTGGTCACCTTAGAGTTTCTAGTTTCACTTTTCTTCTCATATATCTTGGAACTTTGGCCAATAAGATGACTTAGCCAAGTTCTTGAAGGTTTTTTAAAAGTTAAGAAATACTTTACGAGAAACATTTGGCAATTTTCTGAGAGTCTTTAGACTTTGACACAAAGAGTCACAAGTTGACTTTAAAGATGGATGCGAGTGGATGGGTTGACATTGTAATGTGCTGATTTAAATTGACAGAAAATTATTCACTCCTTGGAGATTGTTCGAATATCATATTTTGAACCATCTGTTTTAAGTGTTATATCATTCAAATTTATGTCTGAAGAAATTTTTTAATTGAAGTAGATAGGTATATAATATTTTAAATTTATAAGATTCAACTGGACATTGTAAAAGCTCCATTTTTTTGCATAAAATTTTAGATGTTTATCACTCTAAATATCAATAATTGAAGATCATAAATATAAGAATGAAATTTTCTTGGCCAATTGTACTTTTGAAAATTGAATCTTGGACAAAAAATGTTTACTTCAAATTAAAGCTAGCTCTTGGTACTTGTGATGCATATCATGTACATAATGTTTTGCAATAAAATGCATATTTAGACAAATAATTCAATAAATTAAGGTAGCAGCTAGTTATTCCTCACATTGGTCTAATCATCCCTCTTCCTACTATACGGTTTGTTTAGATTGGGTTTATGGTTTTTTTTTTAATTGTTCTCTCTACGTCAAACGTGTGTCAATCGTACTTCTCTATGCGTCAAACATGGCAGGCGTGAGCCATGTCAAAGTCATTTTGTGATTCCTTTGTAATGTTCTCCTATTTTTTGAAAAAGCATTTTACCTGTCTTCGCGAGCCAATCATCTCTTGGCATGTTTCAAGGGCTCGACATCAAGTCGAATTCGAAGATAGACATCTGAATGTGAAACTCGTTGAGGCAACGTGTTCCTCACAAGCGCTTCCGCTCCATGATTTTTATTGGCGAGCTATGTGCTGTACTTGCTTAGAAGAGAAGGGTTATGTCAAATGCGCCACTTTCTAAGCGCCAGATGACAATGGACTCGTCATCCAACGCTGTCCAACCTCGAGTTTCACAATAAGAGCATATGTTGGAAAAATGCATCATTCACTCCTCTGCTGGATGAACAAAGGAGAATTCGTCTCGTTAAAACTAGAAGCCTGAGCAAAAACCCGAACCGCCGAAACTCTTTCTCCTTGGATTGTCGGGTTCAGGAATGCACTGTAGCACTATTATCTTCCTCGAGAAACGAAAGAGCTCAGAATTTTGCACTGCTGCTCTTCCTTTCACCTATCATCTCCTCGCGACTCATCAGATGTCGTTGAACACACCGTCTCCTCCTGATTTTACAAGCGGACACTGCGATGATGTTTTCCACATGCGAAAAATCGGGCGATCGGTGTTGCAGCGGGGAGATGATGAGCCGGCGCGACGTGCCTCACGTTTGCCACTTTTGACGAAGGGAGTAACAAGAAGAACAACTAGAAGAAACATAAACCCACTCCATTGGCAGCTATTATTTTGACCAATCACAGCAAATCGTATAGTAGGATGAGGGATGATTAGCCCAAAGTGAGGGATAACTAGCTGCTACCTAAATTAAATTGAAAAATCAAGAAGATCATAGAACACTTAGTTGCAAGGTTAAAAATATGTAAACAAGATTTTCCAAGTCATTTGACTTGGAAAATCTTATCCAACTCATTTTCCAAGTCATTTGACCGTGAAGAATTATGGTGTTTCTAATAGCAAAGAGATTATTATGCTACTTGGATACTCATAATATCTTTTTGAAAAAATTGATATGTGATTTAAGAAAGACATTTTTGAGATGTTCATTAGCACTATAGGTAGGCAATCATTTTCTCTTTGCTTACTTTTAGAGTGAACAACGCACGTTTTCTCTCCATGGTAAAACAACAGCTCCCAACATTCAAAGCTCTCTCTAGCTATGGCATGACATGCGTACAGTTTATCACGATGAACTTTTAGGTTGAGAATGCTCTACACTCTTTTTCAATGTATTGGATCATATCTCATACTACTCGGTCTTGTGTGCTCTATCAAAATAATAAACTACAATCTTGAAGATCTTGGCTGCACCATAGTACAATATCATTGTATATATTGAAAATATCATCTTGTTTGAGTAATGATGAAGACGATTTATATTGGATCCACCCATAAGAATCATATTCATAATAACTGAATATCAATCCACAAAAGATTTAAACACAAGTCTAAAGGACAGAAGGAAAACAAACGTGGGTTACTGCAAAAAAAAACGTGGTTTACTGCAGGAAGAACAGTATAGAAAGGTACTAGTATGATGTAAGAGATAAGGCAGCGGACCCTTAAAGGTCAGCTTCAAGGACCCTTAAAGGTCCTTGAAGCTGACAAAGTGCTCGACAGAACAAGAAAGTGGAGACAGAAATGCAGCCCAGTGAAAATGAAAGACCTTTTTTGTGCCCTTTTTGGGATCCTTTTCCACCACCAATTAACCCGATAGTTTGGGATGAACTGGATTGGTTCAGATTCCCTACTGATGCTGGGAATACTAAGCACAATTCAATTGTACAATTCTAGATTTGATCAGGATCACCAGCAGATTTTTTGAAGGAATTTCTGTGAGATTTTAGCGCAATTTCTGTGCATTCTGAAGCTTAAATTTTGGAAAGTGCGCACGAGTTTGGAACACTTCGTGGTGACAATGTGAAGTAAATCTATTGTTCCCACAATGTTCGCTATCTTGTCAAGAGAACTATGAGCAGAATTGAATCTGGGCCGCATTACCGATTCTATTCTATGGAGTTGTGCCATACTTCGGATGAACCAATTGCAGGAGCTGCGGCTCGTTACCCGATGGGTGGTAGGCCTTGAGTGCAACGTAGATCACCCGGGACGACTATTCTGTTCGTACGGTCGTCTAATTGTTCGCTCATCTTCCTTTTCTCCAGAGATCAAATGAATGTCGAGTGGGCGACACCCAAATTTCATTGTGCTTTTGGCCTCCCTCCTGATTTGGACACCTTTGGGCATCGAGTAATATTAACAAGGCAGAGAGAGCGAGTACTCACTCGGGGTAGAGGAAGTCGGCAGACAGCAGGATTCGAAAATTATCCCAGCTGGAATTTTCCTCCACGCCGGACGATCACAGCGTACTCCAAGAAGAAATGTCGTTGAAATCGACTTGTGGTCCTACAATCTGACTCCAGAAACTGTTTGGCGTCAGTTTGGAGTCATGGTTTGCGCTCAGAGACCTCACTCTGCGCACTTCGGCTGCATTCAGCCGCCACAAAGCTATTTCTCGACAGATCCCAAGTGCTGCTCACCCACTAGCATTCAATTGTGCTGTATTCGGTGTGGCACAACGGAGTCGCCTCTGAAGGCACCACCATCTACCGTAGAAGAGACTTCCTTCCAGACTTGTCCGGTGGTACAGAATTGTCCCCCGCATAGAGTCCACTCTTTAGTGGACTCTACGAGTTCCCAGTCTGTGAAACTAAAAGAATGTGGTTCCTGCTGTGGCTTGACCATTGTCGATTCTCAGACCTCCTGTTCATCTGTCACCCAGCTTTTCTCACTGCAATCATCAAAAGCACGTGCCTGCGATCAAGCACAACCATCAAATCCTGGGCCCAGCTCCTGTCGGCGGGCGCTCTTGTTCATCTCCGATCACCTCAAGCGCAGCGAACATTTGCGTCATACATCAGATGCAGGTCCTCCTGGCCACTTGCTCCTCCCTTTGACCGCTCGAGCCCAGCATGTGCACGCACGCACGTGCGTTCGCTCGGTTTTGAGGGACTGTTGGGACTCTTACGGTCCAAATCTTGCACGGAAACAATCTGAATTATTTCGCTGGCATGTGACGAGAGCCTTGAGCTGCAGCTGGCTGGGAATGTGCAACAAGCCCGCCAATAGAAACACAGCAACTGCAAGCGCAAATTCAGAGATACTGTGTCGAAGCCCCATGGCATACCACACAACGAATTCGACGAACAAATGCTTGTATATAAGATCGCATGAACTGCAACTTTTCGCAGACTCAAAACAGAGAAAAAAATTAAGAATTTCAATAGGCGGTTGCTTTTGTGGCAGACAGCAATCATGAACTTATCGAACTCCTGATGATGAGTAGGGGCCGACTCAAGACGAGATTTTGAGGCCTCGGAGCGATTGCATTTATAAGGTGCTAGCCAGCCAGCCAGCCAGCCGGCAAGCGCAGCTCTCGATCAGGCGTTGCCACACACGCGCAGATGGATCGAGGTTCAGAATCTCCGTTGCTAGACGGAGGTCGCTCGACGAGAACGAAGGCCGTGTCGTGGCTGCGCTTGTCGGCAGCGCTTCTCGTGCTGACATCGATTGTAGTCCCGGCCGCGTTGTGGGCGAACAGATCCCATGGGGCTCTGCCTGGAGATGGAGATGGAGCTGGACCGTGTCATTGTAAGGCTTCAGACATGGGAGATCCACCACCAGGCTGCATCACCCGAAGCGAAAACTCAACCTACGACGGCAATCCGCTCGTGGAGCGATTCCGGAGGTACCTGCGGATCAGAACGGACCACCCGGAGCCGAATTACTGCTGCGCCGTGGCTTATCTGCGAGGGATCGCGGAGGACATCGGAGGACTGGAAACGATGGAAGTGAGCTACGGCAAGTCCACGTACAAGCCGTTTCTGATCGTCACGTGGAGAGGAACGGACCCCGGGCTGCCATCGATTCTGCTCAATTCGCACACCGACGTCGTGCAGGCCGACCCGTCGAATTGGAGGCACGATCCCTTCTGTGCATTCATGGAGGAAAACGGAGACATTTTCGCCAGGGGCGCGCAGGATTGCAAGGACTCGGGCATGCATTACCTGGAGGCCATTCGGGAGCTGAAGAGGAAATCTTTCGTTCCGGTGCGCACCATTCACGTCGTCTACACGCCCGACGAAGAAATTGCGGGCGAAGAGGGCTTTGAATCCTTCGTTGCGTCCGAGCAGTTCCGGGGCATGAACGTCGGTGTAGCCATAGACGAAGGAGGAGCCACTCCCGGAGATTCTTTCAGAGTTTTTCGCGGAGAAAAGTAAGCATCCGACCATTCCAGTTGCAGCTGCACGAGTCCCTGAGCATCAACAAGATCGTTCGAGCGACGGAAGTCTTTTCTCGGAGCAGTATTAGTACGCTTGATTATGAAAGACCAGCAGCTACGTTTTGTGAAATTGCTCAACGTAGAGCTCCATTTCATGTTGTGACGACTGCCTGACTGACGAGCGGGCGGTACCTGCGCTGGCAAATTTTCGTTTTCCTGTTTAGGGCTGCTTGGTGGTTGACGATCACGGCGTTCGGGAAATCCTGTCATGGATCGGTGATGCTGCAGAACGGAGCAATAGAAAATCTGATAAAAAGTATGAATTCGATCATGGCATACAGACAAACGCTGTTGGACCTGGTGGCTGCAGGAGTAGACGACTCATCTGTTGCCTCCATCAGTCCCACTTACTTGAGCGCTGGAGTCACTACAGCCACGGTATTAGATCCTCGCACGCAATCGGGATTCGTCTACACTTCGATGCCTCGTTGCTTATTTCACTTTCCCTTCTCGTTCATTTCCATCGAGAAATGACATCACATTTCGAAAAATCGACTTTTTTTCGCTCTAGCAGTACCTCCCTCCTTGTACAGAAGGTCCGGTGTGCCTGCCGCTGGCCTGCCATGAGAGGAACCCAGAATCATTGAACTGCAAACATGTGTGCTCTCCTCTCCTCTCTGAATCTATCTGCTCTTGTCGACGATCCTGATCGAGGTCATGATCGGATCCTGAGCTGAGTGGCTATGCTCAGAGGGCATCGAGGAAGTTATATCTCCTCTGACGTAGAAGCAAGGCAGCGCGTCGTTGAGGTTGCCGGCTTCTGTTCCAATCTCAAATCCAGCTATTTGACAAGCATTCTACTTGACTCCGAAACTAATCCCAGGTTATGAATCAACACACGTGAAAATCAAGCACCTTCGCATAAGGTGTTGACGTGTGCACCAGAAAAGGAATAATTTGGATGATTACACATTCCGGATTCGAGCGTCTCCCCTTCAAGTGCCGTCATTCATCCTGCCGACTACATTCAAGCTCTGATCTGAATGGAGTGTTGCAGCATTAAGAATGTGATTCTGACTGTTGAAAGGCATTGTCTTGTAGGGGTATGTCAGTAACATCCAACCTGAGCAAGCGAGCGCGGGGTTCGATATTCGGATTTCGCCGTTGGCTCCCGAGGAAGGCTCCGACATACTCAATCTCATTAAGACCGAGTGGGCACCCAAAGAGCGAAATATGTCCTACGAGGTGAGACGAATAATTACGATCGGATAGGGAAGAAATGTTAAGCGTTTCCCCGTGGACCTGTTTGAGGCAAGCTGGTGTGGTATTCAGTAAGCCTTGGCTGTTGACATTCCTTTCCTTTCGGGCGAATCTGGAGGACTACGTGAACTCGGTCGTGCCCATCGAATTTCAACGAAGGTCTGAGACGCTTTGTGTGATCAGTTTTTGCAGTTCGGTGAAACGGAGGTGGTTACGGTGGTGGATGACTCGAATCCTTGGTGGAGCCTACTGAAGAACGCTATACTCGAGTCGGGCCACATGCTCCAGGAACCGCTGCTCGCGTCAGCCACTTCTGATAGTCGTAACCTCCGACTGCGGAACATTTCTGCCTTCAATTTCGCAGCTGTGAGCAACACAATCGACAGGGTCCACGGCGTCGATGAGGTACGCTAATTCACGCGGGTTGCTAAGCGTGGCCGGCTGTGGCGGATTATTGCAGTGCAGCGTTTCGCTCAGTGGTCTCAAATTTCTTGAGAACGTGGGAGAAGATTCTCTCGTCGTTCATGCTGCTGCTCCTGCTGCTCCTGCTGACGTTTGCACAAGTTGCTCTGTGGCTGCAGTATTTGAATGCAGGAATCTATCTGGCCGGTGTACCTGTTTTTGAGAATATAATCAAAGCGTTCAGTAGTTTTTCATAGCGGTAAATCGGCACATACTTTCAAGTTTTTAGTCGTGGACAAGGAGGGAGGATCAACCCATTCACTAGTTCGTCTTCCACTTTCCAGTCGCTTTACCTGCAAAGAAAAGTTCTATCACATTTCACCAGGAGCGGTTCACATTTTGGATCTATCTGTCCAATCCTGCATGTCATCCAACACCATTCGATTTCGAGGAAGGAATCCTCTGGCCTTGTGTACATCAGATCTAGACCAGAAGAACATTGCACATCGGACTGCAGCGTATGTCTATGCATAAACTGTACCATTGTAGTTGAGGCAGCAAGTTGCCCCTCTACTGTTAGTGTTGGAGCTCTTTTCGGCCATCTGTAGTTCAAAAAGCTTCAGAGTAACAAATGTGAAATCCTCTAGTTTAATCCAAACTAAAACTACTTTCCCCATTGCGCGGTGTGACATGACGAGACCTGAACGACCTGAGCGATCTGAATTTCCATTGTGTTGTTCTGCGCAATGTATACCATGAAGAGGTTTGGATCATCGTTATACGGAGCTTTTAAGTACATGAATGGTTTGAAACCACCAATCGCCATCTCAACTTCTACAATTGTCCAACTTACGTCATCTGCACAAAGTACTCCCTGAATGCAGAATATGCATCAGAATTGCTCATTTCAAGTGAATCACATGTGTCTTCCGTAGCCCATTGCATCGAAGTCGAGGATTTCCGTTTCGCTGTGTTCATGTGGAGTTTGCCAACTCCAGTTCGGAGCTCGAGTATGTTGGAGCTTTTGTTCAGCAGCTCCACCAAAAGAGAGCTAACGTCTGTTTCGTCTCTGTAATCCATGAGTCTCATCTTTACGCGGGAGTCAAAAGGAGAATTGGCATGGCATCAGATACAATATTTGTCTTCCGAAGGCCCGCGATCGTCATCACGGAGCCGGTCAGTTGAATCATCGAGTGTATATCATCTTCTGCCTTCCCTAACCCACAGTGAAGGAATCGACCTCCCAACCTGGGCGGCCCAAACTAATCGTCGGGCCAGAAAGTTCATCTTGTTTTGAGACTGCATGAAATCTTTATCATACTTATTGATGATAAGGTGACTCGTGAGAAGGTAACCCCGGTGGCTCCTCGTTTAGAAGTAAATGAATTTCAATCTTATGCAATCCTTTGTAAGCAAATTTATTTAAACTGTAGTTTTTTCTTTATGAAAAATAAATACTTGGAATGGAGATTAAATCAAAAGAATACAAAAAAATTGAAATCATTCAAACAAGAGTAAATCATATAAGCATTCATATGTTTCCTACATGAGTGGAACAACAGAACCAAGAAATCTTCATATATGATATAACACGTGTCAAATCGAGATTCGAACTGATTGCACCACGCTTCCAATTCTTGACACTTGTCAACCCCGTTTCAATGCCTCTAGCATTGTTATATCAAACTTTCGGATAATGTTGAATCCAAAGGCGTCTATTCATCAAATCATCCAGCTCCAAAATATTGATTTTAACGAACAAAACAATTTACATACAAATCTCTACAACTCAAGCTTTCCAACCTAAAGTCATATTAAATATCGATAATACATCATCGTCATGATATATCCGTCTATGTGGTCTGCCCGGGCGTGCTATCTGCGCCTACGTGAAGTCTCACGTGTGTGGCTCCATCATGTGTCTACACAAGATTTGACAAAACTACTGATATATAAATCTCTGTAGCTTAGGCTCTCAAACGTCAAGTCCGGCAAATTAATATCGATGATACATCATCATCATGATATAATTGCACTTGTGATTTGCTCAAGCATGCTACTCACGCCTAAGTATCAATTTGAGATTGAACTAAATTACTGAGATACAAATCTCTGTAGTTTATGTTCCCAAAGGTAAAGTTATGCAAGTTAATATTGATGATACATCACCATCGTGATATAATTGCCTGCGTGGCCTGTTTGAACGTGCTAACTGCGTCTATGTGAGATCTTGCATACGGGACTCTATCATGTTTCAACTCAAGATTTGACCAAACTACCGATATTCAAATCTCTGTAGCTTAGACTTTCTAACGTAAATTCAGGCAAGTTAATATCAATGTTACATCATCATCATGATATTATTGTTTGCGTGTCCTACTTGAATGTGCTACACGCGTCTACTTAACGTCTAGCAAATGCGGCTCTAACACGTATCAACTCGATATTCAATCGTTCTACGAATATACAAATCTCTACAGCTCGACGTATATAAGGCAAGTTGATATCAATGATACGTCATCATCATGATATAACTGCCAACGTGATCAGATCGAACTTGCTAACAGCGCATACGTGATATCTCGTATCTGCCACGTTTCAACTTGAGATTCAACCAAATTATCAATATTCAAATTTCTTGTTACAACAAAATGAATGATTGTAAAATTGAAGCATAGATATTGTAAAATTTGGTTTTACACAAATATATGACGTTTTATAGCACAAATCTAATTTTCAATGGTCAAATGATATTTTTTTGAAAATGAAATAAAGTATTTCACAATTATTGCTTTGAACCTTAATTTTGACATTGTGTAATGGGAAGAATATAATATCTTTTGGAATAATTTAGAAAATTTCTTAATCCTAGCTCTATTTTTCAAAGCTTTATGTTCAAGATGTTTTTGCTTTAAAACATCATTATATATCTATAGTTTTTTGAATATATTAATCTAACAAAATAACATTGCAATATACCTCATGTGTTTTTCATTGTGCATCAGTCATTTGTATTGTATTGAAAATTTTATTTCAAATCACATATGCACTTTGATCATATGGATAAAACATTGTTGGACAAAACAAACACAAGGTTAATATTTTTTAAAGATCAATCATCAAAGCAAGCATAGGAAGGAATAACATATTTTGAACCTATATACAAAGTACTTTAGATTTTAATAGACAAATTCAGACATGATTATATTAGTCGGTGGCATAAATGATCTAAATTAGCTTAATTTAGTCACATCAATAAAGTTAATTTAGGCTAAATTAGGCATTCTTTTCTTGCGATGCACTATGATAATTGGAATGTGTTTTTCACTCCAAAATCATCATGGTTTCGGACACTACTACCATAACATCAATTGTTCATGTCCCGTATTGATTTGCATATGGTTGCAATTATTTCCGACCTTTAGCAGTTGTGTTTATTTTCGTTGTGAGTAAGTTCTAGCCTTGACAGCTCAAGGAAGAACAATGTTATGTTACTTTGGTATTAAAACGAATGAGAATTCATGTCAAAATCATATGTGTAGCAAGCATCATGGAGTACTTGTTTGAACACATTTTGACATAAATTTGAGAAGTATGTTGTGTTTGGGATGTATGGACTCTCTGCTGAATATCACGCATATGTCAAGAATTTAATTTAGCAAGTTTTTTTTATCACCGCTTTAAAAATGCTATCTGGTTCAGCAAAAGATTTTGATATTGCAAGGAAGGACAAATAAACATACTAGACTTCAACTATATGCTCATAGGTGCAATTATTCCTCCACACTATACTCCGCACCATAGAAGTACAAGAACTTTGTTTAGAATATAGTTGACGGTGTGACGTTGTTGGAATCGCATCGCATAAATAATATTTGTTAGGTCCCAGAAAGTTTCTTGTGTTATGTAGAGTTCTCATGGAGTAATTTTTTGCTAAAATATCTTGAAGTATTTTTATTTTATTTTTGATTTAAAAGCATTTGTTTGGTACATAGAACCAAAAAAACTGAAGTATTATTTGCGTTATTTCTATTAGAAAATTCTTATTGTTACTATTTTTATTATTGATTTTAACATTCATGAGTTTGAAACACATATTTAGACATTAAAATTTTAAATTTTGAGTTTTTGTATTATGTAATTTCATAAAAAAATTACATATTATTATAATTTTGGTAAATTTTGCATCAATATCTATGATTTTATGTATTCATCATTTATCACAAATAAACATCATGATTATAGAATTAGATGTTCATGTTTTTTATTTGTAAAAATTCAACACAAAATTTCATAACGTAAAAATAAAATACACAATTCATAAATAAAAAAGTCATTTATTCCAATAAAATTATGTCCACATATTCATAAAATATTTCAAAAAATATTTGTTATTGACAATCAAGTTCAATTGCTGATACGATATGATGTAATTGCTAACCAAATTTTTATATCCATATGAAAGACTTACACAATGACAAAATATACTTAATTACTTTTATAAAATAAATTCATTTTGATGAAAAATTAGCAGTAATGAATTATCTCTCAAACTTTATTGATTCAATCATTTTATTGTACAACTTTTGATTACAAAAAGTGTAATTCATGTTATTGTGTTTTCATCTATTGATCATAACTTGATTTTTAACTAAAAATAAAACAATTTGATTATTTGAATAAATGTTATATAATTTTACGTATTAATTTCATTAGATTTTTTACTTTTATTGCAGCTTCATAATCATATTATGTAATGAATTTAGGTTAGTAATTTTGCTAGATTGATTTTTAAATTATGAATTGCTCTTCAAGAATGAATCCAAAATCAATAAAGTAAACACTTGGTGAAGTCCGCATCTCAATTAAGTCCGCACTTCACAACGCAAAATCCTTGGATCAATTGTCAATAGTGTATTTTACAGAAAATCAAATAGAGTCATTTGGCGGCTATTTTTAATTTGCTACCAAGCTATCGCGGATCATCCAATTTGTAAAATGCTACGGACTGTGAATAGTGCTGCCTTGGCCTGATTTATATGGTAAAGATTTTAAGTCACTCATATTGACATCGAGATTGATTCCACTCTCTAAAGCTTTTTGAACAATCGTTTCTCAAGCTGAGAAAACGATGAATGCGAAACGCAAAATGTGGATTTTTAAGTGGCATGGTCAACTCTTTGAACTTTTTCACGAATTTCATCTTTGCTTGCTTTCAATTTCCCAATAACCTTCTCGTCGACATTGTATTGACGAGCAATGCTTCGATTAGTCGGCGGTTTGAATTGCTTCAATACAATGATAATTTCCATTCTCTGACGGTCATTCAGACATTGGCTCTGAACTTTGCGTTTCACCACACGTCCGCTCATCGTTGCAAATGAACTCGAAACTATCTTTCATATGTGCAAACCCTAATCTTCATGTGTATTAACCCTAATCTTCCTTAGGTCCGCATCTCAGTTAAGTCCGCACCAGACCTCCAGGATCAAGTTGAGGACTTAAGCAAGTGTATACTGTAATAGGTTTGTTTTTCCATTCATATATGAAATTTAATAATTTATCAATTCAAACAATGATTTTTTTGGTATAATTTTTCATAATACACAAAGATCACAAAAAGTCAAGATCAATTTGACTTTGAAAGTCCAATTCATAATTTTTCAATGTATTGTATATGAACTAATTATATTTAAAATTATTTTTGTTCATATATTGATTGTCATGTACATAAAAAAACAAATTTTAAATCTCTACTTTATTGTTGGAAATTTTATTTAGCACATTTCTTTTGTAATAGATGGTTGAAATTGATCATGTACATATTTTAATTTAATTTAATTTAATTTAATTTAATTTATTTTAAATCCTAAGGTTGTTTGGATTGTTTTGAAAAAAATGTGTGGTGTCAAGATTATTGTTTTTTGCAACTGATCACATTATTTGTCTGAAATTTTATTTCAATAGCAATTGTTCAATGAACAATATGAACAATGTCAAGCTAATGAAATTAATATAGGATCAAGGGATGAATTCATTTTCACAAACATTACTCAAATTGATGTTTTAATACCAAAAATACTATTCCCCTTTTATTAGTGTAAAAGCTTTTGAGCTTCAAAAACTTGAAGATGTTTATATCTCTTTAGCTATTACAATAGTTTGTAGCATACAACAACAAAAAAATCATGATTCAAATAACTTCTTCAATCATTGAAAATATTTATGTTTGTTTGAAAATTCCACAATGATGTAAGTTATAATACAATATTGCATAACAACTGACCACAACATAATACTACATATACATTAATGAAAGTACATAATAAATGGAAAATTTTTTGTCGATGGTAACTATCAAAATACAGAACACTTGTTGGCACCCAACCAGATTTACTTTATCCCAATGTGACTCTCAATTGGCATTCATCCTCATACTTATTGTCAATCTAATCAATAGGGAAGCTTGTTGCAACTTACAATATTGTGAGCTCATCTCTTGTTTGAGAACTATTTGATATCCGACAAATTGCATTTGTCGATGTTTCATTGGTGGATTTCAAAGTTTCAAACTCTCACTAAGGAGAGTTCAAGTGCGTCTTAGTAGCTTTGTTGTACAAGACTTCCCTCTTTGTTTTTATGTAAGATCATTATAATTTAGTCCCTATATTGGGTTGATTCAACTTAGAACTCGTATTGAAACATGTATGCCAGTGGATTGCATCTGCATAATGCATTGGTTAAAATGAATTGTGTTGAGTACTAACAAGTAATTTTCTTCATACCAACAGATATCCATCTACATGTGTTTATAACCTCTGTCACTCCTACTATTAGACCACCCACATGCCAAAGCTTGTACATGAGGTAGAGCAGTGTACTTGCCACTCATGTAGGATGATTGATAAAGAGCATGTCCTACTAAGACCAAGTTATGGATATCACCACTGTCTCGATGTAGATTCGCAATTCACATCAAATCATGTGGATTCGGCTTTACGCAAACGTAATGACGGTGGCTTGTCGCAGAGCGAAAAGGCTCTTGGGAGAAAAAAAGCGCACTCTCTTTGCGGAGGATAAGTGGGGGCTGGAATCAGGAATATCTGGGGCTCTCCTGCCCTTTGTCCTCTAGTACTAAACCCTAATTTCAGGACGAACACTATCTGTAATGTCTCTTGTCTCCGTCTCTCGCTGCTTGCTCTTGCAGTTATGACTCCGTCTTATACGGTATTGGGCAATTCCTGGACGTGGAGCGAAGGCATTTCTGAAGCCTGATCGGATCGCTTTCCGTTTCGACAGCCGTGCGTTGCGGTGTTTCGCCGGAATGTGTCAGAGGTCTGGGCGCACGGTGCTCTAGCTCGCGAGGGGAGGCAGAAAGGCAGAATTCGCGCTCGGATTGCTGCAGCAGCTTGGGGCCTGGCGGGCAACGACGACGACGGACGGCAGTGGAGTAGGAATCGCGAGCTGAATTTCCAAGCGCACTGATGCATATTGCAATTTGAGGGCTTGGCGCAGGAGGCGAGCAGGTTTAGGAATTGTGGCAGCAGGAGAAGGGAGCAGCAGTGGCAAGGTGCAGAAGTGCGCGCAGTTTTGAGTAGCTAGCCGATTATTGACCGATTAGAAAGCGTGGCTGTATTGAAGGGCAAGGGCGAGGGCAAGGGCGGACGGGAAGCTGTAGGTCATTTGAACGAGCTGGTAAGCGATCTTCGTGACTGAAGATGTCGACGAAGAAAGAGAATGCGGACGCTGCCGCAGCAGCAGCAGATCGCATCAAGGCGGCAGCCTTGAGCGCTGCCAAGGGTTTGAGTCGAGCTCAGGCAGAGAGAGCGGCCGCTGCTGCGGCCAGGAATGTGAACGCCTACGGGCAGAAAGAAGAGGGACCGAGCCGATGGCAGGAGAGGAAGGAGGCCAAGCGGCAGATGTATCTGATGAGTACCGAAAAGGCGGTGAAATTGGGAGTAAGAAAAGACCCGAGGTCGACAGCGGGCCCCGATTTGTCCAAGCAGTGTCAGAAATGCTTCCAGATGGGCCACTGGACTTACGAGTGCAAAAACGAGAGGGTGTACATGTCTCGACCTTCCCGCACCCAACAGCTGAAAAATCCCAAGCTCAGGCCTAAACTGATAGACTCGCTGGATGACATTGCGCCAGCCAATCAAAGGATTACGGAGGAAGAGGTCCCTAGAGAGAAACCCAGCAAGAAATCGGACTCGATGAAGCGCAAGAGAAGGCGCTCCTCCGGCAGCGACAGCAGGGGGAGCAGCGCTGTCGAAGAGTATTCGAGCGATGGCAGCGATCCGTCTTCCTCCACGACCAGCGAATCCAGCAGTGACGCCACGAGCTCTCGATCGAGCGCTTCATCCTCCACATCCACCGGTTCCGACACAGAATCGGAGTCCGAAACCGAAACCGAGTCCGACACAGACTCGGACACCGCCTCAGACTCCGAAACGCGATCGGATTCAGCATCCGAGAGCTCTCACAGGAAAAAACGCCGGCATGTGTCTTACAAGAAACATAACTCTTCCCGCAAAGAAAGCAGTAGGTCTAGCAATCCGAGATCTAGGAGAGAGAGTTCTCATCATGATAGAGACAGAGACAGCCGAAGGAAGCAAAGAGACAGGAGATAGAAATCGCGGACACGCCGCTTAACTGACCTAGAGACAGAAAACAAGTGTTGCCTGGCTGCCTACCCACCTTACTTTTGTGAATTGATCTTGAGGGAATATCTCTCGTTTACTTGCAAGTCTTCTTGCACTTATTGTAAAAGACCTATGAGCTGTGCAGGTGTAGTGTTTTTGTAAGAGTTTCCGGATCTGGTTATTCCTGATCAAATAAAATGGATTTTGTCACCAACAATAGCGGTCTGCCAGTCCTGACCCCTGAGATCTTTCTGAGTCCGAATCTCATTTTCACTTCGCTTCCTCTCGAAAAGGATCCGATTATACATATGTTCCGCCTAAATTGCAGATGCTCGGTGTCCGGTGTGCTACGACTCTTCCGCGACATCTCCCTCGGCCTTACTGCATCCGATGCAATTCGATTGTCGCGTAACAGGGTGGGTGAACTGCTGTGCCGCGCATCGTCGTACCTTTTGACTGCTCAAGAATGTTCCATGTTCCATGTTCCTTTCCTCCCGCAGCTTTTCCACCACTCGCTCCGTATCAGAAATCTCCGAGCCATCACCTGACGCCGACTATATACAACCCCACCCTCCAGGAGCCCCAGGGAGAACCTGGTCAACGCGGCACATCCTGGCGGGCCTCGGACTCGGGTCCAGGTGGAACATTCACATTCACCCTCCACGATCTTCCCTCGGTGCGCACGGCCATGTAGCAGCGACGACTGACTGACGGAGCCAGCCACCGAAATCCTCTCGATTAAATTTGAGCCCTTTAATCTCTCTCTCTCTCTCTCTCTCTCTCTCGTGCCTCTCCTGCATCCGAAATGCTCTTGACAGGCACCCTGCTACCGCATGTGCATGCGTGAGCGCCCGCCCAATCATGAGCACCAGTGATCCAAGCCCGTCGTCAGACAGACAGTCATCACGCCAAAGCTTCCCGAGCTTCAGGAATCTCGCTCGCTCGCTCTGCGACTGAGCGGCTCGAGTTCCTCCGGGAGGACTACGGGATCCGAAAGCAAGCCGTGGTGGGGTTGGACTAATCCAGAGGCTCCTTCTGCAAAGCTTTTCGGACCAGCCCTTTCTGCTCCGTGTTGTGCAGGTTCCCGAAGCCCGTGGCCGTCGCGGCCGACGTCGGCCGACCGACATACTTGATGTCCTCGAACTGCCCGCGCCCGATGTGGCTCATGGTGGTGGCCAGCCGCAACGACACGTACTGGAACGATCCCATGTTCATGGGCTCCTCCTGGCACCACGCGATCTCCGCATCTGCACACACGACAATTCCCCCGCAAGGCCCTCGCTCGTCAGCGCTTTCTATGTCGATGTCCTTTCTCTACTCCTCGATGTTCCACTCGAGCAAGACCCCAGGTTTGTGATGCAGTCACAATCAGAATTATGTTGGCACGATATTCTATCCGAAGCAAAAAGCTCCATCGACTAGCCACAACGCAGATGGTCAAATCACGATCGTTGGAGTCGGCTGATTTGGCTACATGTTCATCTAATTGATGCATCTCTCTTCTTGCAGCTTCTTCAACTGAAATGTTGATCGGCCAAGCACGCCACATGAATCTACTCGACTCACAAATTCCAGTGGGACTTCCCCGAGGCTCTCAATTACGGTAGCAGTAGCATGCTGATTCAATGAAGAGGAGGACTTACTGGGATATCGTCTGAGCTCTCGTTGGACGAGGTCATATGGGAAGGGACAGAGCTGCTCGATCCGACAGATGGCAACATCCGTAGAGGCTAAACGTTGCCTCTCCTCTTCCAGCTCGTAGTAGACCTGTGTTCAACAGGTTGTTCAGAATTTTAAGTAAGAATCTCCACTTCGAAGTGATGGTGTGGGATCTTAGTGTATTACTCATGGAGTGACTTAAACGAAAACTGGGAGAATCAACTGACATGTATAGAGATTTGTAACATCAGACAAGTATCCGTGCGCTAGTTGTTCAATGGTAAAGGAACGAGATCTAGATTGTCACCTTCCCAGAACAAAGAACCAGGCGACGAATACCCGGCTCGTTGTCAGAGTGGTTGCTCTGATCTTTGATGAGGCGTTTGAAACGAGTGCCCTGTTTATCAAATCCAGGGTGCCCCTCCACATCATCGAATTCAGTGAGATTTGACTTGCACGCTTGATGCCTTAGCAGGTTCTTCGGTGACATAACAACCAGAGGTTTTCGGAAATCTCGATGGATCTGCGAACAAAACGCATCAGCAAATCATTGTTTCTGACAAGGGATTATACATTACACTCAAACGCATCAGTCACGAAAGTTGCATTACACAGTGACATTAGCTCACTCTATGAACAATTTCTCGCCATCGAATGATTGTTCAGGTAGTGATGTAAACAGGTTTGGAACACACCTGGCGTCGTAACACATGGAAATAATTGGCTGGTGTGGTCACGTTCACCACTTGCCAATTCACCTCTTGTATCTGTTTCCTGAGACTTGCTTCCACTTCAGGTATTACAAATGGATCGTCATCACTCATCTGCAGTTCGGACCGTGTACCTTAATGAGCATACTCCGATATTCCATCCTGCTTCTATATCAGCCTGCTTTAAGGGGTTGTATACTTCGACAAAAAATAGAATACTCGATCCATCCCGATGACTTGATATCATATTCCTGTCCTTATGAGCCTTAAGGTGTTGTCACCGTTTGAGTGTGATTCCTTAGCCAGGGCATTTTCATAGAAGAAGAGGAAAAAGCCTATCCCATCATCTTCGTCTGAGAGTTTTTCAATCAACTGCCCTACACTAAACCCTGGCTAAAACTTTGGTACCTGGAGAAATCTTTCTAGACGAGCACTTGAATGCTCCGGTCCTTGCCCATCGTACCCATGTGGAAGCAGCACCGTCAGGCCAGTCTGACGCAACCACTTCGCCTCTCCACTGCTCAAGAACTGGTCAAAAATAACTTGAGCTCCGTTGGCAAAATCACCAAATTGTCCCTCCCAGAGTACCAAAGAATTGGGATTCTCCATAGAGTAGCCGAGCTCAAATCCAAGAACACCAAACTCCGAGAGGGAGCTGCATCAGTACAAACCCCGAGATTATCAGTAAACGCCAAATTCCATTTAGGGAGGATAGCTCTGCAGCTGAGATATGCAGCCAGAACGGTCCCCTTTCAAATCATGTTATATTAGTGATACCATTTCATCACCAAAATTCGAGCACATCTCTCGGAAGCATAGTTGACAGAAATGCTAAACTAAAAGAACACAGGGTCGAGAGAGAGGATGTTCGACGACACCGGCCCTTACAGATATCTTGACGTTATAAATCAAAGCTCGCAACTTATATATATGGAGCCCCATGTAGGCTTCACTTTGGCGTACCAGGGTCTAAAGTATCGATTACCTTCTAACCTCTACTCAGAAAGCTGGTTATCATGGGTTCCTGCAGACGTAGTAGGTAGACGATGTGTTTGGCATACGATTCTAGAGCCAAGCACTTTAAGTCGTCCTGAGGTCTGCGTGCGCGCACTTTTGTAAGAAGGATGTAAGAGAACTAAAGCTTGATGTGTTTGAAGAGATATTTTCCTCTGTCCTGATGGACCAAGTAGAACAAAGTGCAGTCAGTGCATGAACTCATTGCAGAGTACATGGTGACGGCTTTCACTGCTGATCTTTGAACTTTGCCTACATCTTGAAGGTAATGAAAGCACCTGTTGCTGACAGTAAACATCTCCTGCGCTTGGTTTTGCACGACATGATGTAGAGGACATAATCGTTCTCCAGTCTTCTGATCATGCAGTACAGCGTGGCGATGACTGAAAGTGCCACGTTCCACATCCTGACCACTCAAGCGTATATGGTTTCCTTCCGCAACCAAAGTTCCGAAAGCCAGCGCTTCTGCAGTAGCCCAGTCCACACCTTGCCCAGTTTCTATCATCTGGAGTCGCTGTTCGTATATCTTTTTGATCGCTCTGTGAGGTGAGAATGTAGATGGAAGGTGAGTGATCTTCTTGCCCACCTCCTTGAGGATGTCGGGGTTCACTCTGTTCAAATGTCAATCCACAGCAGTTAGTTAACAGGTTGTCCCATCAAGAAAATAGATTGTTGGACAACAGATCAAGACACATATGTCATGCTTAATGAGATGTTCAGGCTGAGACGCCTCAAGCCCAGCAGTGTAACTGAGCAGACAGACGAATATTGGAGGAACTCCATCTGAGATTACATCCCCATGCAGCTGGGACGAAACCAGGACACTTTGCTACTGACATGAACGAAATTCTGTGTGAAAATATCACAACCTCATCACCGCCAGGCAGTACCTCTCGTCACGAATTTGTCTGTTGCTCGCGCAGCAAGGGCACAATGCTTTCTAATACTACACATGCTGGATGGTTGCCTACGAACCCAAGACTTGCAAGAATTATTTTAAGGAAAGAACACTCATTCATGAGTAAGCCATGCATTGCATGTTGAGGTTAGTAGTTGCATCAGTATAAGAACCAAAGGTAGGTAAATTATTATGACCGGTCGAAATTCGGATAATTCTCATTATCTGGAAAGGTAGCAAACCCAAACATCCAGGTAGAGGTTGACGTAGTCAGAGGAGAAACATAGAGCAAAGAGAAAAAACGGAGACTACTAAGTAACAGTGCAGTAAACTCTTACAAATTAGACAAAAAAGCAAGAAACAACAACCTTGGGAATCAAAACGCTATCCAAGAACCGACCGCTATGAAGGAGAGAAAAAGTCCTGTCACTCGCCTAGTGAAAGAGATAAATAGCTGTGTCTGTGTTTTCATTGAGTTTCATCTGACTTATGGCCTCAGGAAGTCATTTCGGGATAGAACTGTATGAAATCGAGAGGATACTTCCTCGAGTACTATCTTAGAGAAATTTGAAAAACATCTGTCAGACGAAGCACGATAAAGAATCAGCATCGAGATAGGTTCGTCACCCGGTATTTCGTACTCGTGACAACTGCTCTGGACCTTTGAACCCGGCCCAAAAAGCAGCGAGCCAATCGCGTTTCTTAGGCACGTAGTCCTTGCTATGGTTAAACTCATCGCTAAGTATACTCATCACCCTATCCTGCATGCTTTGTATCATGTCCATTTTTATTTCTCCCGAATCGTTCAGTTTCTTGATGTAAATATCCAGTGAAGGTTTGTGTTTTTTTATCACCTGCATCCATCAAAGTGGTGAGCTGAACATTGCAATCGGAATTTACGGACAAGAAGGGGTTGTTTATTACGGAAGTCGTTACAACAAGCTACTCACCTGATACATTCTGGGTTGGGTGAAGTTGGGCTCGTCGATCTCGTTATGGCCAAATCTGCGATAGCACACTATGTCCACAACGACATCGGCATGAAACTTACACCTCCACTCTGCTGCAAGTTCACAAGCATGAACGACAGCCTCGACATCATCGCCGTTCACATGAATGATAGGGGCACACAGAGCTTTGGCTACATCTGTGCAGTAAGGTGAAGACCGACTATATTTGGGGTCTGTGGTAAATGCCACTTGATTGTTTACTACGATATGGACTGTTCCACCAGTTGAATAATTGATGAGGTCACTTAGGTGCAGAGTCTCATACACTACTCCTTGACCGGAAAAACTTCCATCTCCATGCAGCAGCACAGCCATATGCTTGAGGCGCTTGGTATCCTGCGAATAGTACTGTTTAGCTCTAGTTTTTCCTATCACAACAGGAGCCACGGCCTCCAGATGGCTGGGGTTTGCCACCAAGGAGAGATGGATGGTTTTGCCACTAGTTGTAGGACGGTCGTAAGAAGTACCCAGATGATACTTAACATCTCCACTGCCAGTATACCCTCCTGCCTCTACTTCAGCAGGTTTTATGCCTCCACTAAACTCGTTAAATATCTGCCTCAGAGGCTTGCGCACCACGTTGCCGAGCACATTGAGCCTTCCCCTGTGAGGCATTCCTATAACAACACTTTCTACTCCTAAATCAGCTGCTTTATCAATGAGCTCCTTCATACCTGGAATTAGAGTTTCACAACCTTCCAATCCGAACCTCTTGGCAGCCGTCCACTTTTGAGCGAGAAAGTTCTCAAACTGTGAACTCCATATGAGCCGATCCAAAATCTGGGTCTTCTTCTCCACAGGAAACTTCCGTGGGTTCACTGCTTCTATCCGTTCTCTCAGCCAGTTACACTTGTCACGGTCTGGAATGTGCATGTACTCATAACCAGTCGTTCCACAGTACGCCTGCTCCAGTCTTTGGACAATAGATCTCAAAGTTTGGGGTGGACGGCTTTCTGCCAAGACACCTCCCATTTGCGCAAAACCCAGTGAGAACTCTCGATCCAAATCCCTCTCGCCGAAATTGTTGTAGGCGAGGTCGAGCTCCTGAGGAACGGCCCTGCGGTCCAGCTCTAGTGGATCGAGTTGGGCTTTCATGTGCCCATTCACCTGATATGCTCGGATCAGCAGTAGCAACCGCATGTTTTCCTGAATTGACTCACTCCCAACTACTGCAGGTCCGGCGAACGCTCTCGGCGACGGCTGAGACTGACCTGTGAAGTTTCTGAAAAACACCTGCCAGGATTCATCCACACTATTCGGGTCCTGCTCCCACGCCCTTTGGAGCTCCTCCAGGAAATTACTGCTCGTCCCATCTAGAAAGTTGTCCTTGAGATGAGACAGAGGGACCGACCTGGTCGCAGGGGTAGGGGCAGGGGCAGGGGCAGTTGCAGGTGCTGCTGCTTGAATGGACTTCTGGTCGTTGCTATGAAATTGTTTACTTTGAATGCTTTCCGTGAGTTGCACGTCCACCAGGTTTAAGCGTTTCGTATGCGCTCTGTGCAAGAATTTCGCTTGAACACTCGACAAGGCCGCAATTGCCCTCCATCGTCCACCTGTTGTGCACTGATTCGGTGGAGATAGAAATGTTTGAACGGGATAGGATTTTAAGAACCTTGCAATTATGGAGGCATTTGGTGTAATGAGAGGTCGAATTTCATCCCCAAGTCTCTTAGACGAGAGACAGCAGGTCCTGTACCAGACCATTCCGAGGACACGAGCACTCTTCATCGCTTCCCACTTTCTTAGCTCCCGACAAAATTGATGCGGTACTGGAGGCAAGCCCGCTGCCCACTTGAGTCCTCACACAACCTGCTAACTTGCACAATTCTGAACGGGGGTGGATCATTCCAGACGTGTAGAGCCCACAAGGGATTGCATCGGAGATGCTCTGGGGCCAGTAGCGGCCTTTCATCCAAAATTGAAAACCTATCCATGATCGCAGAATCACAACTGAATCGTCTAATTGAGCCCTTCTGATCATTACCTACAAGCGCCCTCTCTACCTCTAACGCTTCCACATCGCGAGCAGAAATTCTATCTGCTGCTTCGTGCCCTCTTTCTAGAATTGTGCAATTGCTGTTTGACCCTTGAAATCCACGCGCATTGTGCCCTGGAAACCCTCACGCGCTTCTCTTCGTCCATCGAAACTCAACTCGTTACCATCTGGTCGTCGCATGCTTCCTTTCCTTCTCATGGGAACATGTTCATAAAACTGAACCCCCAAAAATTCTACTTAAAGCCGTAATGCCCGCACGCACGGGCATATCACTCTCTTCCGCTCGTAAGACCGAACCCGCAACTCGTAGTAACCAAACAAGGGACTCATTTACGCAATTCAGAGATGGCAGAGGACTCTGCCTCATGCTGGCATTCGCACCCATCCATCGACGACGACGACGACGACGATCACAAAACGGCATGGTGATTTCCGCGGCCCGCGATTGCTGTACACCGCGAGTGAGTGAGAAGAGCACATGGCACGACGGATTTCAACTCGTGGCGATTCCTCCGACTGCCGGAAGACGAAAGAGTAGGAGGGTAGGGTAGATAGAGAGCATCCGCAAGCTCTAGAATGTCGTGAGCAAGTCAGCAACGGCCCAGGTGATCTTGGGAAGCAAGGCAAGTGCCCGCTTTCTCAGGGAAACGTTTGAAGAACGAGCCCTCCCTTTCCACATCTGTCGCTGTTGAAGAAAGCAAGAAGGTCAGAATGTTCATCCCCATGGAGTTCGTTCCACGGCTTATTTTCACAGTCCAAACTCCATAATTTCTGGCCGAAAATTCTTTCTATTCTTCTACCAGCCAACCGATCTCTTCCGGCTCGTTGCATCAATCACCATTTTGCGTTGGTCGGTGTCCGACGATAATTATTACTCACACTTGCTATTTTCGAACCCGACCTCCCACTTCGTAAACCTCACTCACTGCGTGCGCATAATTCTCGATTGCGACCGTCGTCGTCATTCGTCGGGCGTCTGCCAAACGAAGGCGGCATTTCATTCTTCAAATTTACACACGACCTCGATGGGATGCGAAGAAGCATCTTCTGCGTTGACAATGCCTGTGCAAGCGCCAGCATCATCCAGCAACTGGATGATGCTTTTTTCGGCCGCAAATGCAGGCTTCCTCAACTCTTTATGAGCCCAAGGGAGAGTGTGTATTCACTTCTTCAGTTTTTGCAGGGCTATGCTTTTGACACCGTGGAGAGTGGATGGTAGATCCTTCGATTTACTGTACTTCCAAATTCGTGTTGCATGATGTAACGAAATATGAGTGATCTTGTGACTGATGAATTTGGTGAAGGTACCTTGAGCTAATTGTAATTGGTACTGCTTTTAATTGAATCTAGTATTTTCCTTGCATTGGTTCTGGTTAAATCTGGTACGAACATTGTGGACATCTGAATTCAGGCAATCAGTGTGGTTAGAATCTGTGATTCTATATTTAATATGATATCATGTGAAATGTGGTGACCGCGTGTTATGGTTGTGAAATTAGGATATATAAAATTAAGTGACAAGAGCTCTTGTTGCTAGCTACAGCTTTCTATCTACAAATCGATACACTGACTCTTGCATTCACACACAAATTTCGACGTAAGAAAAATGCACAACGACTGTGATTAATCTATTTTGAGATCCATATCATCTTGCTCTTCCTCGAAATTGCGTCCCGGAGCTTCTACCCTCATACTCGCATCCCACTCGTCAAGATGACCTCTCCGAGCCGATTGGATTTTGCATCTTTGTGTGTCTCAAATATCTCGGTACATGTACTCCCAATGATCCACTCAACGCTTTCAATGTTTGTAATTTACTCACTGTACAATAGCCTTCGGTACCTGCAGCGGCGTGTACATGAAATTTGATTTGGCGACTTCCAATCATGAGGCAATCATAGGATTCTCCCAACCTTCGCTCTCACCTCAATTACCTCTTCATCGGGTCATGCTGCTCATTATTTAGTGCTCGCAATGCTCGATTCTTGCAAAGTTGATGTACTCCTATTGAGAAATGAGAGATTTGCTTGATGGGATCCTCCGGAAAGTAATTTGCTTGATGGGAGACCTCACGTTTAGTTTTACCTGATGGGACCTCAACGATGGCGTGCAGTCAGACATAGTTCTTGTAACTACGATTACTACTAGTTACAATGGGTGAATTACAAATAGAGATTAATCCCTGATTATAATTTCTGGTGAATTATCACGGGGATTGTGCTTCAATTCTTCCCATCGCAAAGATTCGCGGATTTCTCTGTTGCCTCACACCTGCACACTCCTTCCGTAACCCTGCGTGGTCCGAGCTCAAGTCTCGCGATCACACATTTGTGGCGAACAAATAAACTCCGGATGAACATTTCATTGCTAGTCTCTTTGGAGAGTGACCGGATACAGAATGACAACATAAAAACAAGTGAATGTGATGGAGTGCAAAGTCCACTCTGTCTACGGGTGCGGTGGACTCGTTGCACTCTCTCTAGTTGTTATTAGAACATGGGTGACGGTGCATCGTTCATGGCATCCCATCATGTAAAATGAAACCTGAAGGGTACCATCAAGCAAATTACTTTAAGCAGTGTTCCCATCAAGCAAATCTCTCATTGAGAAATGGATATATGGATATACTCTAGTCTTATTGAATACTTTCCGTTTGTTAACAACCTTTACTCATTTCAATATGCTCTACGGCCATGAAGGTCTGTTCAAGCCGTGGCTTCATCTCGTTACGAAGTCATACAAGCCATAATCAAACTCCCGTTGCTATTCTTGGTCATTGATTGCGTCACATTTTGACAAGAATATGAAGTTTTTGATGTAAAATGAAAGGAAAACAGAAAATATATTCCAAAAATGTTTGCTAATTCCTACACCCATGAGCTGGAATTCTAATGGAAGATAAAGGGTTAAATCGTAAGGCTCAAGTTCCTTTCATACCAATAAAGTGATAGGACTACAATGAGGAAAACGAAGTCCAAGTTCAGAATGTCGAAGGGAAACCATGAGCTTGGGCAAAATGTCTATCTAGTCCTTCCACCTTAAATATCAGTTGCAAATCAAGAAAATTGCAAAATGACATCAATTTAGTGGACATCAAATGTGCATACTTTATCATGGAAATATTAATTGCAATTACGTAGGCAACGCTCCATAAGTGAGAAAATAATGTGGTAAGTAATAAATGTGATAAATGTTTCCATGTTGCGTCCAGTGACAAAGTGATGCACATTCTTGAACGAAGAAAAACTGAATCTTAAAAGCCTAACATGGTTATATCGCATAAACTCTGAATCAGATCACAGGATATGCAAAGTGTATATACAATGGTGTTTTAATCAGGATATACTCGCAAAAATCATGTGATAGCAAAGAATGAATAAATACCTTTGCACGTAAATGAACGAAAGAAAGGGGTAACATGAGCCACTCCCATCAGGGCAGGCCTCATAAGGCCTGGGAATTCCCATCACTAACGAAATTAACTTAGATTGTGGATTCTATTCGTCTTAATTTTGGAATTCGGTAAGAAATAGAGTTAATACGTACGCTAATACTCGACATTTATTCACTTTCTCAGGTGTGAGTTTCGGAAATTTACGAGAGAGTGATTTCTATACGAAGATAAATAATACAGATCATAATCCTACTTGTGACAAAGGCAAAGTTATAATCATGACGTTCTTAATTCATGCATGACTCGAGATTTAATTTGGTTAATTCTGGGATTTTGTTAACAAATCCCAGAATTTAGGCCAAGAGAAAGGTAAAATGTCTCTCGTGTAAATGTCCCGGGATCGAGTGGATTCGAGTGATCTTGACGAGCATCGAAGTCTGGGCTGCCGAAAGAGTGTCCACGTGGTGGGGATGATGGGCGAGCACGAGCCCCTCGCAGGCCCGTGCCAAAGTGAGCACAGAAACGAGGGAGAGTGTGACAGAGTCCGCCGGATAGACAGTGAGAGAGAGAGCAAGTCTGAGCTATGGCGACATTGAATTTGGCAGTGGCGGGAGCAACAACTCGCGCAGCTGGAGCAAGAGCTTCGCCAATTTCTGACCCGTCGACTTCTCGTGTCTCCGTCTGCTGCTCCTCCTCCTCACCATCATCGACCAGTTGTAGCTTTTCTCCTCTGTCCGCTTCGGCATCCTCCGCATTCTCCTCTCGATCTCGTTCTCTCCGTCAGCTCGTCAGGGAAATCAAGTGCAGGGGCAAGGTCGTCACTCTCGTTACCCCCCGATGTGAAGAAGATGGCAGCAACTCCGACGAGAAGGTGTGATTTCTGCCCTCTGAATTTTTCGGAATTCGACCCCGTGTCCTGATCTTTGATCGATTTTGGTGTGGAGTATCAGGCTTGCTCAACCTTATAGTGTACTAAGATTCCAAAAATGAATTCATTGTCTTTCTGCTGATTTGCTGGAGCTCATATCCTGTCCTTCGATATCTTGAGCATTTCTTCTGGAGTTTCTGGGCTGGCATGCTCGGCACAAGTGATCAACCTTCATTTGTTCAATTTTATTCGAACGGATGGGCTGGCCACTGTCTTACTCACATGAGCTTGTCTGATGTCAGATACCATTCGGCTATACGAGGAAAGATGTGATTCTAATTGGAGTCGGTCTTCTTGGCGTTGGCGTCGGCCTCAAATACGGGCTAGAGGTACAATTTTTATCTCTTGTTCACTGAACTCGTGAATGGCTAATATACGCCGAGATGAGGTCTCATGGCTTCTAATTATTGTACAATTTAAGTGGTTTTTTCGCAATTCAAGCCTCGGAGCCGGAACCGTGGTGGCGTTCAAGTCTGATCTATAATGCATTAGTTCGTAGAAGATGAAATGCTTTCTGCCTTGAGATTGCAATTCGTGGATATGGATGTGGATGATCGAATCTTTGGATGTGGAGGCCATCCACTTCAAAGTCTCTGAAGCAGCTGAATTTGAGTAGTCTCTGGTAGTGACAGATAGGTCATCTACCATTTGGGCCACCTTCACGATGAACTTGGGCCTGCCGAGTGTCTGAATATCCCTCCATCACAGTGAGATGTAATTGTTTTGCGACGACACTGTCTTCGAGGGAAGGAAGCTGACCTTGGCTCGTGTGCCGTTCTTTCACAGGCCTTCGGAGTAGATTCGGCGAGGGCAGGAAATGCAGTGCAGCTGATTATGGTCCTGGGTCTCACAGTAGGCTGGATATCAAGCTATGTCTTCAGGGTCTCCACCAAGGAAATGACTTATGCTAAGCAACTGAAAGACTACGAGAACAAAGTGATGCAGGTATGGATTTCTTTCCTTGCCTTGTCACCCATCCGACGATCAGGGACAAGGCTGTTTTGATTTCTGTCGCCCCCGTGCAGCACCACCGCATAAATCCAATCGTCCGCACAGATTGTTTCCTCGGATGTGATTATTAAAATGAGATTCTATATTCCGTTTCAAACTCTGACAATCTCGTTTGATCTGTTTCTTCAGAAACGCTTGGAGGAGTTGCCTGAAGCAGAGCTGGAGTCAATGTTGGCCCAGATAGAAGAGGAGAAGAAGATTTTGAAGGAAAGTCGCAAGAATATGAACTAGGATATGGCAAATGTGTCAAAAGTGCTAGACCCAAACGCCGCTGGCTAGTTTATACGTACCATCGAGGTACCAAGTAGAAGTGACGTCGATTACACAGTATACTCTTTCCTTCATGTAAATTCACAGACATTGTTCACTTGGACAAACGCTTAGTTCGGATCGAAGGTTGATTTGTATTTTAGGATGACTGATTATGAAGTTTTCTTTCTTGTTCCCAAAAGGCTTGCCTGCCTGCCTCAATACTGAAAGATCTAATGATCTAATGATGAAGAGATCGCGTGTGCTATACTGCAAACTTGATGAGCGATCGTAGTCCGATGGAACCCAGGTCTCACATCACTCAATCCAATTGCCCAGATAATCCAGACGATCACAAGCGACTGCAGTCCAATGAACTTTTCTCTGCTAGCACGAGCCCACGGAACGACTCGTTCAACAAACACCGGATTCCCCAGTTCTCCTCGTTTTTTAAAGCCAAACGCAGATTGTGCTCCTTGGCTGTCACATTCCATAAGGTTGGCATGTCACGAGGTCATACTCAAAGCGAATAACTTTGTTCTTATTCATCATAATAAACATTTTTCCATATCTGTACACAATGGACGGCACCGACACCTCATGTACTCAGGGCTACTTGTAAGCCCTTCCACAGCGGCTTCTGAGTTTCTAAGTCCATAGCCACGATCAAGAAAATCCTCATTCTGTTACGCGCGATTCAATGGCAGTAGAGTCAGTATCGTGAGAGGATCTGCGACGCCAGGTGGACTGCGCGCAAGTCTGTATCTCCCGTAGGATCTGCTTCTGAACCCCTTGTTCACGACCAAGCACACGTCGTACATCACAGACACGCGCTTTTCTGTGTCCGAAGAAGCTTGGCTGCTCTTGGCGTATACGCGTGCATAAGTTCAGAGAATTTGGGGTAATGGGTTTGTCAGCTGGCATGGCAGTGCAGTTTGGAGGATGTTGCTAGCACACTGGGAGAAGACGTTCTTGAGAACGAGGTTGAGAGAGAGAGAGAGGGAGACTGAGGCGCTGGGAAGTGTCAACAGACGGTCGCTGGCAGGAACCTTGCTGATCTTGTCGACGATTCGAGTTGTGGACCGGCCCCGATGACGATGAGGAGGAGTTGTAGCCTGCAGCAAATACGTCGGATGATCACAGTATCGCGCCCGTGCGTTCCTGTCCCTCGCCTTCCAGTATAATTGTGCAATCAGTTCTTTCGGGCAGATGTACTCGCAGATTTTTGGTGACCTCATGATCCAACTACAATTCGAACATGGTATCCCTGTCAACATGTAGAATTGGCGTCAGCAGCGGCTGTTTGGCCAATTGCGATGGTCGCTGCCAGTTCTGGAATGAAGCATGCGCATAAGATTGTCCTGAGTATGGGAACTCAGGACTATCTTATGCGACTAGCGACGAGTCCGAGTTGTAAGCGGAATGTGTACATGTGAGCGATGTTCCTTCGCGGCAGAACCGTTCTTAAAAGATGAGAATACAAGCAGTCTTGAACCTCGGGAGTCTAATGAGCATTCTGCTTGCTCTGCAGAACATTATTTGATGTTGTGAATCCTGCAACGGGAAAGACCATTGCCGAGCTCCCTGATGATTCTCCACAAGACGTGAGTGAAAACCATGGGCTTAATTTCACTCGAGCTATCGAGAAACTCTGAAAGCAAGAATTTTGTCGGTGAAGTGACATTATAAATCGCCTCGTAGCTCGAAGGTATTTTGGCTTAGTTAACTGTATATCGCAGAGTTTTCACTCAGTATTGTACAATCTCGCGCCTCGGTGCTGCAGGTCGCTGAAAAGTTTCAAAGGCTATCAGGAGGTCAGAGGAGATGGAACGATGTACCTGTCTTTGAGCGTAGGGTAAGGGGTTGTCTTACGTGAGTAGTACGGTCCCAGAAATTCTTCTCACATGGCGAATCTTACTTTCTGCTAACTTGCAGTCGTCTACAAGACACGGAAGATTTCGGAGCCTTTTGGAATTGAACTTAACTTTTGCATCTGGTAATGCTCTTTTCAGGAAACGCTGGAGAGATTTAACGAGCTCCTGAGACTGAACATGGTCTGCTCCAGCAAATGCTCAATACTGCAACCTTTCCTCTCTTCGCAAGCGTAGTTACAGCTGTTGGCTTGTAAACTTCATATGCTTCTTGCCAAATGTTTAAGTGGCGACCCGTAACGTGTGTGTCATGTTTGCAGAACAGTTTGGCCCAGATTTTGACTTCAGAAATGGGAAAACCCATCAAGCAATCTAAGAACGAAATTAGAGCGACCGTAGATCGTGTTAAGTTCTACCTCACCCACTACGAAAAGGTTTGTGGTCTGTCTCTGGCTTGCAAACCAATTGGAGTTGACTCCACTATTAGCCTTGGAGATTATCGAAGTTTCTTAGGAAAAGTGCACCCTTGGATTCGCTTTCTGCAGAGTTTCACAATAAACGTTCGTGTTGTGAGTTACTTTCGCAGGTTCTTCGAGAGCATACTGTTCTGGAAACAGCGAGGCTCAAGGAAAAAGTCGTTTACGAGCCTCTAGGAGTGGTAGGGACTTTATTGTTATCGTCGAGTACCATCAATTTGTGGACCACCTTCCATCAGCAGAATCTATAATGATGAAAGACCTAGAGTGCAGTTGCAGTCCCATAGTTAGTGGTATCGCTTTCAATGCGTATGTCCAAAGTTATAACGTGGCTTCTGACAGCTCCTTCATTTTGCAATGTTTATGCCTATGTCCACACTAAATAATCTTCAGTTGTTTCCAGAACATTTGTCACCCAAGGCTTAGATTGTACTGATCACCTTGAATTACTACAATAAAAATCCGTGGGCCTCTGCTTGGAGGGAAGGGTTGCAGATTGCCAACATATCAGCCTGGAATTATCCGTACTTCGTTTCGGCGAATGTTTTCGCTGCAGCATTGCTAACTGGCAACACTGTGCTTTACAAGCCCAGTGAATACGCTTCCCTCTCTGGCCAGGAAATCACGCGTCTTCTCCATGAGGTATGGTGGCATTATTGCTGGTCTTGCTTGTCGCTCTCTCGAAACAGACGACAGACTGCTCCTCAGTTTTATTAAGTGTAATCGAACAAACGGAAGAATGACCAACGGAGCCTGTTCTCCTGATGCGCCAGACTGTGGATACCTCATATCTCGAGGCCCTATTAGTATCTTCTCTTTTTAGTTTCAAGCGTTGAAGGATGTATTCTTTAGAAGCAATTCAGGAACGCTGATGGAGTACCATAGAATGAGAAAGACTTATGGTCAGAGAAGTTTAGGTGCACAGACGTTGGGTGATTGTTTCCCCAGATTAGTCACACGTACTTGAAAGCTGCGGCTAAGTCTACACGTCAGGGCTTCAGAGAAACGATACTGATTATCTGCGCGTAGAATGATGCCTGAGTGACGCTGATCTTATTGAGTAGCTCTCTCGCAGGCAGGTGTTCCCAAGGATGCTTTCATGCTTTGTACTGGGAAGGGAGAGACTGGCTCGGCTGTTTCTTCGCTAGAAGGACTCGGTGGTATTTTCTTCACAGGATCTTTTAAGACTGGTTTGGAGATAGCTAAGACTGCAGCACCTAACCTTGTCAAGGTATCATGACGTTTCACTTCTCCTTTAGGTGCTTGTGTCTTGTTTTAAAGGATGTTTCAGTGGGTGAGCGGTATTCAGATCTTAGGGCTCTCAACCAACTCAAAACATATGGAGGTGTCTATATTTCAGGGATCTTGCTTTTAAGCATTAAAGTTCGCCGCAAAGTATGAGATTTGTAACACCATAATAATCGTACCAGCTTTTCCTCATCAGGTCCAGCTGGAGCTTGGAGGCAAAGACCCCGTGTATGTAAGACATGACGTCCCTAATGTTGCTTCAGCAGCAGCCTCCATTGCTGATGGTGCCTTCTACAATTGTGGACAGGTACTGGCAACTTTGACGTCACCACACATAAAAGCGAGATCTGAGAGGAAATCCCCAATGAATTAAATCACGTTTAGGCTCTTGGCAATTCAACTTAGTCGAAGCAGCGATATTATCGTGCAGTCATGCCCTCTGCCTTTATTAGCGAGGTCTTAGATCTATGGACTGTATACATACAGAATATTTAAGGACCTGATTTCGATCTAGTCCACTCCTTTCTTTCGTCTTCTCTTAGGTGTTAGTAAGGAAAGCGCTGTTTGTTATACACAATAGAACAGGCTATGGTCAGCAAATACCAGGGAAGTAAAATAGTTTGAATAAGATTAACCACTCCCTTGGTGAGCTCAGATGAGTTCACAGAACCGCGTACTTTTGGAGGTTAAGCAACCGGACGCTTTCTGTGATTGGATACAGTGAATAGTCCGAACTTGCATGTTCAGCCAACTATTTAAGCCGTACAGTTTTGTGAGTCTTGAAGCCCTGACTAGATCTTCATTGTGCTATCATGATGGTTCATTGTGTCTAGTATATGTGGTTATTATGGTGGCAACCTGCAGAGCTGCTGCTCAGTGGAGAGGATTTATGTTGACAAGAAAATATATCCTGAATTTGTGGAGAACTTCGTCAAGACTGTGAAGTCTTTCAAGGTCAACCACCAAGCTGCAAACTGAGATGCTGCATCTAATTCTAAAAAACAGTAAATTCGGAAAGGTGCTTTTGATCATCAAGTTTGTATTGAAGGCAGTTGATTGTCCGTTTAGATTTTGCCAATGTTTTGCAAAACTTAGCAGTGTTGATTAAACGAAGGGTACTGTTGTTTCTGAAAACACAGATGGGAGATCCTTTGAGTGACGAGACGTACATTGGGCCTGTGGCTCGGAAACCACAAATCCCTTTTCTTGCATCTCAGGTCAGTAAGAACACCATGCTGAATAGCAACAAACGAAAATGGCTTTTATAGTTAGTGTTCCGCTGAACTTTTATACGCTTGTTGTTCGGCCTTTAAGACTCTTTATCTACTAACTATTGAAACCCTTCTTTTCCATTTTCCTGACAAGGTCATAGATGCTCTTCGAAAAGGCGCAAGTGCTGCCGTGGGTGGTGACATGACTAACGTTGAAGATATTCCTCGAGCAGGCTTCTGGTTTCCCCCCACGGTGGGTGAATTCTCCAACATCTAGCTTAACGACTCGCATGTAACCTTGAGTGGACACCACTTCAAACAGCGTTGAAGGCTTTCACCTTGGAATCTGCGTTTATGTATTTCCAATACATATTGTGAAAACATGTTGCTCCCTACGAAGGGTATAGTCGTGTTGGCGTAAATACATCTGATTGATTAAACTTGTGGCGAACAGGTCTTGACGGATGTCAATCACACCATGAACGTGATGCGGGAGGAGTCCTTCGGTCCTTTAATTGGAATTCAGGTTTGAGAAAGGAGAGGCTTTTTGCCCTAGAGTGTCCGTATTTAATTTTCAAACACATTTGCTGGTTGCCACCAAAAGGAGTCATCGCTGATACTCTAGAGAACCTAACGTTTATCAACAACCTGGACTGCTCCTTTAGATGGTCGACGGTGATGCGGAAGCCTTGAACTTGATGAGGGACACCCCCTACGGCCTCACAGCAAGCGTTTTTTGCAAATCCAGCAGTGATGCGGAAGCTATACTACGAGGTTCGGATTCAAACGAGTTTTCACCTTGCTATGATTCTCTTCTTGCTAATTGAGTATACTCCTGGCACATTTCTCATATCAATTTAATAAACACCGTCAGTGCGTAAGGAGGATGTTGACCACGATGCTCGAGGCTAGTGAAATGTAGCTGCTCGCCTAAACCTTTCTGAAGCTCTGCAGATCATCTAGCTTTTGTAATCCTTCAAATGTCCAGGGCGTACTAACGTTGAACTTGAAACGCCGAAAATTTATTTTACTGATAGGAAAATAGTCGACGGGCACTCGGGCCTATTAATCCACTCGCTATATCTAAAAGTGTCAAATAATGGAAATCTGTGAGATGTAGATGTTTGGTTCTTCACAGGCTACCGATGACTGCAGCAATAGTTGTGGTGAACCGTGAAAAAAAACGCGAAAGTCGCGGGCACTATTTCACCTCTTGATCTCATCTGGTTATGCTGGTGCAGAGCTAGAAGTTGGGACAGGCTACTGGAACTGCTGCGATAGAGTTTCACCGCGACTGCCTTGGTCAATTCTTCCACTTCAATTTTATTTTTTTCATGACTAAGTTCCAGGAATCCGTTGATACGTCGGTGGACAATCAGTTCACTTTACAGCGCCGTCAAATGTCAAACGTGACGAATGAGCTTGCTGTTGCTTGCAGGTCAGGGAGAAAAGCTTCTGGCATTGGCGCAACTCTGGGAATGGATGGTCTGCGATCCTTCGTTCAACCGAAGGGATTCTTCCTGCAGCGGCCTTGTTAAGCGGGAACCTGTCGAAGTAATTTGGTGTCTTAGGGACTACTGGCACATGAAGAGATCTGAGTATCAGATCACAGACTTGTGCTCAACTACTTGGAAGGCTAAGTCTGAATCTGGTCATTGCATGTCATGGATATGCAGCTGGAGTGCCAACTGGAGTGATGTCGTCTTCATGGGGTCCTCGTTGATTACTATGTTATTTCTGGTGAGAGAAGTGTCATTGAAGTGAATGGGATAGAACTTTTCATCACTTTTCACGATACATTGATAGCATCGTCGGATGAGGCAACTTCATCTTCGTCCACGGTTGTAATCCTGTATATTTTCCACCCTTTTTCCCCGATATGCGAGTTTATGCCTTGTACCAAAGCCTTGAGTTCTTCATTTCTTTCAATTGTATTCTACAAATTGCTTTTAGTTAGATATAATGCCGTACAATTTTTTTCTATTTCTGCTTGTAATCATTTGGAACATACTATGTTTTTGTCAAGAGGACATTGAAAGTCTCAAAACTCGACCCGCTTCAACATGTCATGAGACGTTTCGCGAATTACCCTATCGAAAGACCATAAACTTATATGCAGGACAGGTTTATATTCTTAAGTGAATGTGCTGAAGATCTCTGCGATGAATTTTTTTAAGGAAATTGGCCGTGGGAAAGAGAGTGTGCAAAGGAATATCACGATCACAGTCCCAAACGTTTATGTACATTACACATTTTTTAAAAATGTATCATAAGTCAAGTTACTATTAAGACTTTTCCCGTCATAATAAGCGAGCCAAGTTTCACGTGTGGTACTTTTTCTTTTCGTGCGTGGATATTTTATTTTGTTGTAATAGCCAGCTATACCAGCCATACATCTTCAGAAAAACAAATGCATAGTTTTGATTACCTTGGCTTCAGCACATGAGCGGAGGGTGTTAGAGCTTCGCCCGTATGTCGAATCTTAAACATGTTCTTGTCGTAAATTTTGTCTAAAATGTGTGTGAACATTTTGAATATGTGTTGCCAGTAAATGCTATTAGCATGGACTTTCTTTGCTTCTTACAAATCTATGCTAAATCAAACCATACACTATGAGTGTGCTAATTTTGGATAGTATGAATCCTACACACACAAATATATATATATATCAGACTCCAAATAAATATGCGAAATGTGAGATAACTATCGGTTTAAGATTACAAGGTTAATATATAAACCTTAACGAATTTTAAAGAAAATAGTACTTTGATGGTCCAAATTCTTTTTAGACAGTGAAAATTGAGACAGTGAATATAATTCTTTATTATCCTTTTATGAAAAGAGCAAGATAAAAATAGATCCACTTGATAACAATGTTACATGACGCGTACAAGTGAAAAATGTATGAGTATAGTAGAGTTGCTTGTTTTATGAATGTAATGCAAAATCACAACACTATGTTTCGGAACTTTCATCCCTCATGATGACAACTACGCTGCCTGACAACCCAATGTCAAAGTAAGTTCTCCCCAATTTGAGAGGCTTTGGTCGTCTTTCTTCCAGTGATGTCGTCTATGAGGAAGACGACCTGTCGACATGAAGGTCTGTACGTTAAGGAGAAATACAAAAGTAGGAAGGCGGTCTGATCGCTCGATTCGACAGTTTGGGTATTATAGCACATGGTTGTATGTAATTCCTCGTCGTCCGTCGGTAGAGCTCGGCTAAGAACAGAGAGGACGGCAAGTTGCAGAACAGTACGCCCAGAGCCATGTATGCGATCGCGTATACGGCGCATGGAACGCGGCTGGCCGCGCGGAGGGGCACGGCTGTCGTTGTCAGGCTGGCAGGCCAGTTGGCGGTCCTCGCAGTGCCCACTCACTGGACCGGCGGGCTGGCCTGGCAGCTGGAGGAGACCTGAAAAGCGCCAGCGTCGATTTGTCAGTCTCGCTCGTGGTGCTGATTCCTCGCCCGCGTAGAGTAGGAAGGAAGGAAGGAAGGAAATATTCCGCCACGCTGCATATCCGATGTCCACGTAGTCGCTGCTGCTGCTGCTGCTGCTGCTGATGCTGGCCTCTCTTCTTCGTCTTCTTCTTCTTTCTTCGTCTTCAGCTTTTGGTCGGGCCCGTTGAGCCTGGCGCGTCTGTTTGAATAAGAAGCTCGTTGGCACAGGCGCCAGCAGCCCTCGTGCGCTCCCGGAGGTGACTTCGTCCGTCGCCGTGATTGGGTCGGGGGCAGCGACGGGACGGGCAGGCAGGCTGACGGATCACCACGACCACGACCGCGACAGCGACCGCCATCGCCATCGAACGAATGCATGAACGAACGAAGGACGAGGAGCTCTCTTGCGTTGCGAGGGCGGTCCTGGCGCTGGCGAAGGTGCAGGTGCAGGTGCAGGTGCCGGGCAGTGATTTCAAGCGGTGAGATTGGTGGTCGTCGAATGGATGATTGATTGATTGAATGAATGAATGAATGAATGAATGACGAGGAGGAGGAATGGAAGTGAGCCGATGACGAACAGATTATGGTAGCGGCAGATGTTGGTGTGGGGAGTTTTCCTCAGGTCGGCTGGCCCCGGGTCGTTTCGGGCGCAGGCGAGCTTCTCTGAAGCTCTAGATCAGCGGCTTGTGGGTTGTGTCGAGGACCTCGAATTCGTTGTGTACAGGGTGGGTCGGCCTTTCTCCGGTCAGACGGGCAACATGCACGCGTCGGAAGGATCTTTTGCGGAACGGAAGGAAATTGAAAACGAGGGAATTGTTTGGTTGTGAATTCTGATCGGTGTTGCGTGCGCGGCCCTGCTTCTTGTCGCTGCGGTGGTGGTTCTTGGTGGCGTTAGTTGTACAGCGAAGTGAGGGATGGCGTTGTTATGTGGCAGTCGAGCGCGTCTGGGATTGGCCGATTGTGAAAGCGAATGTGGAAATTAGAAGGGACGATAGCTGGTGGCTTAGCGGACAGGTTTTGTGGAGCAGATTGAAAGTTGGCAGAGATTTATACTTTTAGAGATTGGAGACTACGCCATGGCTGGAGTCATATTCGCGGGGAATAATACACTTGCCGGGGATGGGTCAATATTCCCGTCTTTTCCCATGTGGCAGCTACTTGTTATCATGGGTGTGATCACTTGGATCTATTTGGCCCGTATTTCGTTGATATCTGTTAGATTGCGGTCAATGGTGCAACCCTTCGTCGTCAAACATGTTGAAAGTAGCGTACCGTTCATGATCCGGGTTCAGGTACGGCGTCTAGACCATGAAATCGAGATTACACTGAAGGAAAATTGAAATTCCAAATTCCAAATTCCAAATTCCAAATTTTGACCTGACATGGGGTGCCCTTGTGTGCCAGAAAGTACACAATCCGACGCTGGATGTTGTCCTTGCATCTCTTTCCTACTTAGTCTCGGTTGAGTTCTACACTGCGTTTCTGCCGCTGGTCTTTTGGGTAATTTCTGCTCCTTCACATGAGAATGCTGCATATTTTTGGCCAACATTCAAGCAATAGGGCCTGCTCTATTCATATTTGTAAGATAAACGGGGATTGTTTCTTCATTTTTTCTGTTGGCGTTACTTGTCTCTTGAAACAAGCCCTCGAGGAAGTTTACATAATGATTCTCACAAAGTTGTACTGTGTGGATAGAGTGGTCATGCGAGGCTCGCCAGCCACATGACGTTGCTGATGGCCCTCTGCCTATACCTCGGAAATTGCGTCAAGGTTGGTTCACTCTCAATTCACGTCAGTTCTGGTCCAACATTCGAGCAGTTTGTTCACCCGACCTCTTTCGTGACTTAGGGTTACAAAGCAAAGCAGCATGTTAGAAAAATATACTGAACGTGGCTGGAACTTCTCTTGTTGTTTTTCTAGTGTCCGATGTACGAGATCGTTTTATACACCCCAATGTTGTTGTTTTATCTTCAATTTCAGGATCTCTAACACATGCAGTTGCAAACCTCCTGTTGCTTCAGGATGTAGTCTCAGCTCCTAGGCCTCCTTCACCGCCCGTGAGGAAACTACTGGCGACCGGCACAGAGAAAGACTCCGCCCAGGAATACGGGCTACCGTCGTCTCACACCATAAACACGCTATGTTTAGCAGGGTAAGCATGATAACTGTAAAGTATGTCAAGAGCTATATCTCGTCAATTCGAATTTGGTGGAGATAAATACAGCTGCTTCAGTTATGTTTATGGCTACAAGTACTTATAGCACACAAACGTTATCCTGCCACAGGTATCTGCTCTATTACATTGAAGCGCATTGGGGCGAAGAGAATCGATTGCTTCTGTGTTTCATTGCAGGTTGTTTTGGACTTCTGATTACGGGTGTTGTCTATGGTGAGTTAACGTCACTCGTCCTAATCCTAAGTCCTAAGACAGTATAGCGAATTTCTTCTGGTATTAACTTATTTAAGTAAAATCAACTTTTTGATCTGCATCTGAAGTTTGGCAAGATGTTGTTTACCAAATTGAAGACAAGTAACGTCATCACACTTTCTTGTATACCAGACTTATTGGTCTATGTTCCCTTTCTCCTTCCGTGTAACTGATTATAGTTGTACATTTGAGCAGGTCGACTATACCTAGGTATGCATAGTCCAATCGACCTCGTAGCTGGAGCTGTCATGGGCGCCTGCATATTGGCCTTCTGGTTGGTCATTGAGAATCATGTGGAAGCCTTTATCTCTCATGGAGAGAATGGTGAGTCTGAAAATTTCCTCGTTCGGTGAACTTCATATAAATACTAATTATTGCAGGTCTTGACAATTGTGACTATGGAAATCTGTGGTTATATTGTGTAGTGGTGACCAATGTCTCCACGCAATTTAGAAGAAAGAGTTTTGTTTCTTAATACAAAGCACTTTTCTGTATGCTGACGGCTTTATTATTTGGATCTTCACGTCCAATGGATTTCGAGGTATTCTAAGTGACGAGATCCTAGTTTGGGGCTACATAATGATGCGTTAAGTAAAGACATCTCATTTTCTTCAGTTCTTGTAATTGTGCAGTCATTTCTTTCTGGGCTACCATGGCAGTTTTGCTTCTTTTTGCCTATCCATCACCCGAGCAGCGCACGCCCAGCTACGAATTTCATACGGCCTTCAATGGCGTTGCTCTCGGAGTGGTAAACATCCTAACCTTATTTTGCATTGACTTTCAAGTCGTGGTTCATACGTCTGCTCCGTTGCTGGAATTGTCTCAATCGTGCGCGGCTATAGAGAAGTAATGCTCTAGATCGAATTTTTCATTGGTTTTTTAATTTCAACCACTGTAGAATTTGTCACACTGATCTTTTCTTGATAATTTCTTAATAGTTTTACACACTGATCGAATTTTTAGATTTCTATGAGACACAAGAGACAGGGCAGAAAGTGGTGGAGTAGCTTGTGAGGACAGTTCATTATCATGAATTTATGCATTCCGCGAAACGTCGCTGCAGCTTTGGAGTGATAGATAGAAGGCGAATCACCGAAGTGTGTCCTTCTGCCGACTTACAAATGGAGAAGGATATGAAACATGATTTAGCTGTCACAATGTATACGTCATTGTCTCAAAAGATTAATGGTCGAAGACTGACCAATCAATTGCCTTATTCTTGCAGGTAACCGGAATTCACAGAACGTTCTATATGTCCCACCCTTGCAGTGCTCTTGCCCATTCGTTAACCACAGTGGGGGGTGCATCTGTATTATTGATGCGCCTTCTTGTGGGATTACCTGTGTGTCTGGCGGTAAAAGCTGTCAGCAAGGCGTTGGCAATAAGAATGCTCCCGTCGTTTTGCAATTTGCTGGGTGTACAGGTCCAATCTAGCGGTTATGTCCAAGCGGTACAGGCACAGGAAATGGCCCTGAAAATCAAACGAAACAACAGCGAAGGCAACTCCAAGAAGGTAGATGGGCGTAGGGTGGGCTTAATACCCAAGTTTTTGCAGAGTTTGGAGGACGAGGTTCTGGATGTCGACACTGGCATAAGGCTGATCCAGTACGCAGGGCTCGGTTGGTCAGTCGTGGAGCTTGCCCCTCTCATTCACAACTTTTTGAACCTTTGAGGTCAAATAAACACGAGGTGACCATATTTCATTTTGACCGACTTGCCCCGTTACCCAGGCGAAGATTTAACTGCACATTGCGGTCTCATCCCACTTCGTCCATCAGTAGCATTCGTTTAATGCTTGGTTCCTGAAGACTCTGGTGAGTACTACCCACGTCTACAGAGTCGTATCTTGAGGGTTAAGGTTAGGAACACAGATATACATCGTGCATGACTGAGGTCAGCGCATGTTATAACACTTAGCGTTCTGAGTCGGCCGATTGACACGATGATTATGCTTATACGTGACCTTTAAGACCCTAAGAAGGCAAGAGCAATCCGTTCTAGACGGGAAAGCCTGTGAGTTCCACATAAAGAATGTAGCATCGCCAGTGCGAACAGAACCCGTCACTGAGTGGTACGGATTCGGAGTTTTACCAGAATCATCATGTGTATTATACTAGTTTTGGTCAATGCGGCCTTGTACCATTACATATGAAAGAAATTGATCGTATGGAGAATCTTCCAATTTTGTTCCTTTTCACACCCATTGTTTGAAGAATGCTCTCTTGCAGCTAAGAAAGGGAATTTGAACGGTAGTCCAGAAGTTTACCAAATACTCAAGTCGGATACTGGTGTGTTTGAATGGTCGCTTACGGGTTTCTAGAGCTCCTAGGAAGGACAATCATAACGCGCTTGTCTGTCCCGATCAAAGTATCTAGATGAGTTGTCTGTCCAAGGACATCGGTTTGTGGTCCGACAGTATTCTGGGGTTGGAACATCTTTCTCGCTTTAGATGGTAAGAGTTGGCTGCGTGCGGCGACGTGTCGTGGCATGTCTTAAATCAAATTGTACTGGTGAGTCAGGTATTGATTGGGCTTAAATTTTAGAGCGAGAAATGGGTAATCAATTGTCACTTTATGATTTCATGAGCATTTGAATTAATCTTAATTTGTCAAAATTTATGTTAAAATAGTCTGTCAAAACTTTATTGCAACACAAGCTAAAAGATACTCAAGAGCTTCTCTTATTTTTGTTTTGAAAACAGATATAGTAAGACATAGTAAATCATGAAGACAGGAGCATTAAATCATTAAATCATAGTGACCAATTTGTCCAAGTGAAGAAACAAAAGCTTAGTATATTAAGCTTAGAAGTTTAGTATATTCCCGCGAAGCATACAAAATCCAAATTTTCTCAAATTATCAGGAGCCAAAATGATCTCATTGTATCTTTGGTCAAAACATGCATTATGATTATTGCATCCAAGGTTGTCAATTAGTAATCATGTCATTCAAAATAGCAAAACTGAATACCAAAGAATTTTTCGTTTCAAATAAACACAGTATAAACAGTGAGTTAGATGTATGTGTAAACTAGACTTTCATCATTCCTAACTCAAATTATAACATATATACTGAAGATACTGCATGTGACAAATTTTAAAACAATATGATTATCCATTTTTCTAGATGTACAATAAGCGTGAAATTTACATTCATTATGTACATTTATTTTTTTTCACATTAAAATAAGATTTTCATCCGTGTAACATTAAATTTATATGGATGTAAATTGTGTGAAACTCTTGAAAGAGAGAACTTCTTGACATTTTTGTGGTATATTGAAGAATCAAATATTATGTATTTTATGAATCATACTTCAATGAATGAAAATACATGTATCTATAGATTGAAACAAAACGTTAATTAAAGATTCAAAAAATATCGTACATAAACAATCACATTGAGATATAATTACATTTATGTCATTTGAATATTTTAAACATGATGTTGAACATTGAGAAATCAAACACTTTTAAACCCATTTGATCACATTGGTACCTGGGTATGGATATTGTGTACTTTTTTTTTAGAGGTTTGATGGTGAATGAGTTAGAGTACTGACCTCATTTGAACGTAATATGAGGATGCTTTTATGGGGAAATCTTTACGAACATTGCTCAGAGGTTGACACGATCGCTGCATCGGATACAGCGCAAATATGCAGAATGAATGCATGGGAATTAGAGACTAAGATCCTTGTCCGCACGCACTAACGTCTCGAGGGAGGGAGAGCAGGAGCAGACTGTTTTTATTTTGTAGCTTCGTGTCCAATCGAGCATGACATTTTCGCTATGGAAGAAAAGTATCAGCGACCAAATTTTCTGGGACTGCACTGTACGCCCCATGCATGCACCGACAGATGCGTGCCAGAAGATAGAATCTCAGATCGAAATGGGCCTCGACGTACAAGGATGGTGGCTGCATGCTCTGTCTGCAGTGCAGTCACTGCAGTCACTGTGTAGGAGAGTATCCCAGCAGCGAGTGTCTTTATGAATTTCTGACCACAACCAGCTTCTGATTTTCAAGGATTATTCCATAGATTCCATTTAGAAAGGAGATGGCTGTTATGGATCTTGACAAATCGATTATCTGTTTACGTGGGATCTATTATCGTCACTGCAAAAGGCCATCTCATAAGTGATAAATGTTAATCCGGAATAGAATAAAATAATTCATCATAGGATCTGTCTCTAGTGAAAATGCCATTGATTATTGGTTCACACCGACCCGGAATTTAAGAAGAAAATTCGATAAATGCCAGACGAATTTGCTTTTCTTTGGTTCACTGGGAGAATTACAGATGGCGTAGAGCAAAATTGTACTCTCACGATTATGAGCATGAGCTCCCTGCGCGAGATGATTACTGATGATCACAGGGCTGTCCTGCTCCAGTCCCTTCCCCTCGAGCAGATCCGACTCTGCCTTCGTTCGCGCGGGCGAGGGTCACGGGTTCCTCTCTCGCCATTGTCCATTTGAAGGCCGGGCCACGAGCAGAGCATTGCATCGCATTGCATTGCAGGGGAGGGTGGGGCTCATTCGCGTTTCGATTTCGATTCTCTGTCGCAGCCGCTCGTCCCTTGCGGTCGAAGATGTTGGATACGAAAGTGGCGGACGGAGTGGCTTCGAGATGGGGGTTGCATCACAAATCAGCCCTCGTCACGGGAGGCACCAAGGGAATCGGGTCAGTGACGGAATGAATTTCTGAATTCTAGAGTGTGTGTGTCTCGCGGGGCTCTGCTCCTTCTGAGCTCAGCTGGTCATGCGGAGAATTTGTTTCTCTATTGAATTACGTTCGAGAAATTTCTTACTGCACGTACTTCCAGTCTCTGTCATCACGATGGTCGAGTAGTTCCCACTCCACCACCATCACTTCGACATTCTCGAGACCTCCCGCATCTTTGTGCTGCGTTCGTTCGTTCCATCTGATGCGAGAATTGGTTTCGTCATACCCCGTGCCAGCATTCTCTCTCTCTCTCTCTCTCTCTCTCTCTCTCTCTCTCTCTCTCTCTCTCTCTCTCTCTCTCTCTCTCTCTCTCTCTCTCTCTCTCTCTCTCTCTCTCTCTCTCTCTCTCTCTCTCTCTCTCTCATATATATATTCTGGATCTCAGCATTGCTGCATTTCGCTAGCCTTCAATGTCACTGTCCTTTGTGCCAAACGCAGCAGCTCGAGTGTCATCTCTCTTCAGCCTTGCAGAACCTCGTGCTGAGAGCTGAGCTGCCTTGGCCCTGAGGACCCGCCTGATCCCAATCCCAGCAGACCGAGTCCGAAGATGTGCTGCAATCACAGACAGCCTTTGAAGTCTTGCTACAGCATCTGAGCCAGCACAGACTGTATGTGTGTGTTCATGCGGCTCCCTGTGCAATCCCTAGCGAGGACAGATTGTGTGTTCGTTTGATGAGTGCTCCATCTGGAGTAAAGTGATGAAGTTACCCAAGCTCATCGAGTGAATGGGTTTCATTCACTCGATGGATTCATTCAGAGGATAGTATTCTGATGGGCCGGAACTTCGTGCATTTCGTCGCTTGCAGGAAGGCCGTGGTGGATGAGCTTCTGGGCCTAGGAGCATCAGTGTTCGTCTGTGCGCGTTCAGAAGAAGGCTTGCAGGACTCTCTGAAAGAATGGAAGGCGGCTGGACTGCCTGTTCAAGGCGCTACATGTGATGTCTCATCAGCTGAATCTCGACAAGGTCTCATGGAGAAAGTCAGTGAGGCCTTCAATGGCAAGCTGGACATTTTGGTGAATCACTAACTCTGTGCATCATCACGATCTTTTCTGCATGCACGCCTGATTATGATTCATCTGCAGTCTAAGCTTTCCTGCCTGTCAGATTCAGATTGTTGTTGTGTGACGAGTCGATGCGAGTTCAGAATATTTGATTTGCCAGTTGCGAGTTTTATCATTTGTGGTGACAAGGTTGAGAAACTCATGCAGGTGAACAATGCTGGCACCAACCGCAGAAAAGCCATGACGGACTTTACAACTGAGGATTATCAAGTGATCATGAATACGAACCTCGAGTCCGCTTTCCACCTCAGTCAACTAGCTCTCCCCCTGTTGAAGAATTCCGGGAACGCTTGCATCGTCAATGTTTCGTCGGTAGCTGGCATCATAGCAATCAACTCTGGCTGTATCTACGCAATGACGAAAGGTAAGTGCCTTCTTCCCAGACTGAATTGAAGTGGAGAGCGAGGAGAAGCATTGCTCTTCTCTCGTTGCCCTTGACTTCTTACAAGTTTCACTCGTATCGGGAGTTATGGTTTCTGGAAGGCAGTAGATGATATTGTGCTCTGTGAGAACTGTGAGCACCACAATCGAGCGAATTGGGCCTTGTTGGGCATGTGAAAGCTCCTACGACGCACCTGTGAACATCGAGTGCATTGCTAACGATGTCAGCTTTGCGTGGACCGTGCAGCTGCTATGAATCAGTTGACGAAAAGCTTGTGCTGTGAGTGGGCCAAATTCGGTATTCGCGTGAATTCTGTATCGCCGTGGTACATCAAAACTCCTCTGGCTAATCAGGTACCCTCCTGATTTACCTCCCACCTGTCTGGCCTCACGAGCCTTTTCTACATGAACATCCACGTCCTGCTGGGCTCCTTGTGCTCTGTACTGTGAAATTGTATTCATCGAGCGAATCTCCGATCACTTTGTCAGAAACCTGCACACTGTCACGATGCTTTGCTCGGAGGATGATCACAGTCTGCCGAGGGCTGTAGATTGTAGAGATCCTTGCTTGTTGGTCGAACACGAGTGGAAAGACTTCGTATACAGCCGAGCCGAGCTCAGCACAAGTGGATGGAACCAACATCGTCTGTGTCGTGTTCTGCAGGTGTTGCAGAACGAAGCTTTCGCCGCTGATGTCCTGAGCAGGACTCCAATGCGGCGAGTCGGAGAACCTCACGAGGTTGCCAGCGCCGTGGCGTTTCTGTGCTTGCCAGCCAGCGCCTACATCACAGGCCAGAATATCACCATCGACGGAGGCTTCACAGTCGCTGGTTTCTTCCCGCTCCAGGACTGATCGATCTCTCGTGCAAATTGCCACTCAACCACCATCACCACCAACCAACCAATTAGCCAGCCAGCCACATATTCATCGATCTGACAATCTCTCCCGCATACAGAAGGCCGGACTAACTCGAACCATAAAGTGAACAGAATCCAAGCAAGTGATTTGCATGAACATCGGGACGTATCATGGAGGCATGGAGGTGCAATCTGTCCCGAACGATGGACATGCAGCTTTGATTACTCTGTGTTCCCGTTTCGGTAAACCTGATAGGATTCTCCCGATAGCAGTGGCAGCACCTTTTTAGTCTTGCTTTCAACTTCACGACACCTCGTGGTGTCAGCTCAAATGGCAACCTACTGAACATGCTGGCATAAAACAGAAGGTGCACTGTAAATGAAGATTCAAGCATGAATACAAAGTCCACTTGTACGTAAAAATCTCAGCTCTCGGTGTGATCTTGTGGGAGAGGTTGTGTTGAAGAGAGTCCAAGCCCCTCGTTTTTGAAGTGGGGGTGAGTTTCAGATGATGCTCTGAGGTGCATAAATGGATGAGCCGAATGAGCAGACTCGACGATTGTAGAACAAAACTCACGCTGGGAATTGAAGAAAAACCATCGTCAGTGACGATGCTTTGATCGTGTCTTCAATTGACCAGAGCCACGGGTTCAGGAGACATGCAACACTCTCGTCCAGAGAGAGATCGATAGGCGTCAACACAAACTAGAAGCGCTTTCCCCGATGTCCATTGTACGTCTACGTCGTTAGGGTTCGGAAACAGAACAAACGAGCCTGTCGACGGAACGGATTCGAGAAGGACAAGAGCGAGCGAGCTTAATGAACCAGAGATTGGAATTCTGGAAGGCGAGCCATTGCAATCATTCGTGGGCAGGAGGTGAAATTGAAGGTGGCAAGGATGAGCTACTTACTGCCCAACGTCACGACGAAGGAAGGGGTCGATGAGCTGATACTCAACACCATCGATGCAGTTCTCGTGCTGCGAGTGGGCCGGGCTTCGGATGCGGTGTGCTTGCAGCTGGACGACATTCTGTCGAAAGCCGTGCGAGAGGTGTCCAAGTTCGCCAAGATCGCGCTGGTCGATGTCGATTCCGAAGAGATTCAAGTGTACGTCAAGTACTTCGACATCACGCTCATACCCGCGACTCTCTTCTTCTTCAACGCCGAGCACATGAAAATGGACTCGGGTACTCCCGATCACACGAAATGGATCGGGGCCTTCCACAGCAAGCAGGACTTCATCGACGTCGTGGAGACGATCTACCGAGGAGCTATGAAAGGCAAAATGATCGTCACTTGCCCTCTGCCTCCCGAGAGGATTCCCAAGTTCCAGCTTCTCTATAAAGAGATTTGACACATTTCTGGCTTTGTCTCGCTTCACGAGGAAACGAAATCGAGAGTGTTCGAACAAATTCCGAAAGACTGTGCGAAGGATTGAGACGGAGGACATCACGGGCAAGAGTTAGTCGATCTCATACGAAGGCCGAGTTCACCGAGAGGATCTGTCGAATACGTTCAAATGCTTGTTAGCAGGTTGAGGTGATGTTCTGACAGCCTGAAAACGCCTTCACAGTACAGCCCTAGAGGTGAACTGCAACGAGGATGCCTGTGACAGAGGTGCGGGATCTGCGAACCGATGTCAGTCCTGGGAAAGCTCTCTTGGCATCAACTACTTCTACAGAATCTCATCAGTAGATAGAAGACCAAGTCATTTCAGCACACAGGTGAGCAAAGATAGAGATCATGACGGAGCAGTGGAACATCCTCGAAAGATTTAAACCGCGAAGGATGATAGCTCCTGGATGTGAGTGTGATTTTCAGTGCAATAAATACAAGTTGTGGCACTATTTTGCTTAGAGCTAAATTGGCAGTTTTCTCTAGAAAGAATGTGCATGGGCTACGACCTCTGTTGAGTCCCGGCAATCTCATCCAGTGCCAACGAAGTACATCACCTGCTCATCCGCTTCATTGCCTTCGTCGACATCGTCGACGCTTTAATCAGTGCATGGGCTCGAAGTTGACTGAGGGAGCTCTATTGGAGCTTCATGAATATAGGTCAGGGACTAGGAGACCATCAGTGACTGTGACCTTTGCTTCGATCTCTTCAATCAAACACGATTTGACCACGCTAGGACGACAGTTTCCACATATGGTTGTTAGAAAATTAGCGTTATTTGCAGATGGGATGGTAAGGATGTAACCACTTCGACCATGTCTTAACCTCATCCCAAGGACTTGACCATCGCAAGGCATGTTAGTATAGGTTTGCATTGGGCTTTTTGAGAATGCTTCATCTCGTAGGCCACTGTGACTTGGATCCCTCTGAATTTATAAATATCATTGCGGAACAGCCCGTGACCACCTCCCGAAGGAAAACTTCATATGGCGTAATCAACTTCACCTGACGCAGCAAATCAGCGATCTGATTGATTTGAAAGTTCCAATGCCTTTGTACGCAATTCCGTGTCCAGTACTAATGCAAACACCCACACAAAGGCTTGAATTGAAAAGAAAACCGTGCCGAATTTCACCGCTGTAGATTAGACCGGATTGGATATTGTTTACAGAAACGCACGACCGACTGTCAATCCATACATTTACATCGGCCACCTCACTCCGAAAAGAACTGCGAACATAGAGAGATTGAAGCACTCTTGGACGCGCTTGATTTTCAATTGAAGCCCCTGTGACTGGGTTACAAGTGGTAATCAGAAAGGCTTAACTTTATTTGGTCCTTGAACAGAGAAAAGTGCTGAGCACCCTGTTGTCCTGTAAGATGCAGATATCAGAGTGCTCCATGGAACATGCTCAAAATTCCTACAAAACCGTGATGATTCTACCTCCTAGATCTCCTAACCAGTTCTTAGTCACATGAACACGAAGTAAACTAAGGACAACTACTAACCCGCCGGTCTCTTTTCTCGATTTTGATTCTAGTCAGGAACACTTCGTGACGTTTAAGACACCCAGTTTACATTTGGTGAAGTTGGCCAGAATCTGCACGGAGCATTACAAGTAAATTTCGTGGAAACTCCTATCAACTTTCAAACTTGCTTCTCACCAGAGGAATGATAAGGAGATGGCCTCACAGTAGCAAAATGAATATTCATTCAAACCCTGGGTAAGACTAACCCTGAAACTGCAACTGACCTTCAGCGTAAAGCCTCGTTATATGTTGTTTCTCTGCCGTATCGATGAAGCTTCTTCTAAACTGGGGTGCATCAACTTCTAAACGGAAGTCGATGGGCATGAATTGTACGTTACAACCTTTCGGCAGTCCTGGATAGCAAGGAGGATTATCAGAAACTAGAGGACATAAGTACTATGAGAGTAGTTCAAAAATAGATTAGTGTATGCACTCCGCTTGAATCTACGTGTGCATATCGAATAGTCACCTCTACTCCTGAGGTTACTATGAAAAGGAAAGTTCGATCTGCTTATGAACACTTAAGGGGACAAGTAATGCTAGATCAAAGTATCAAAGTCGTGCAAAATGTCAAGAGAGAAGTCAGATGAAGACACCCACGAAAAACGCTCGCACTGAAAGCAAAAAACCCAACACTGTCCTTCTAAATCTCAGCTTAATTTCGACAAGAGAAGGAGATCGAACCAACAAAATACCTTGAAATTATTTCAAGGCTGCTCTTGAAATTAAAGATGCCGCCGCAGTAGCTGCTGTCGGCACAACTCCGGTAAAAACGCCTGGCTTTGACAGATGTAGTAATCTGCGAGTTTAAATAATCATTCACACTACTTCTGTGACAGAATGCAAACGAGCATCTACATTTACAGCTAAAAGCATTTTGGATCACACATAATCTTAGGACTAGACAAAGAGTGATCAACTTGCAAATGTTACGCTTTGCAAACAGCAGATCTGCTGGGTATATGGTTTGGACATACGGAGCCAAAAATTCGGCAAAAGACGATATTGCAGCAACCACTTCGGCATAGTTGTCGGCTGAAGCAGGTGCAAACACCTCCACCAAATAGAGAGTGGGCGTGACCGGTACTGCCTCGTCAATAGCATGCAGCTTAGGAAGTCGACAAATGCACGATACTTTTACAGTGATGGGCACTACTCTTTGGAAACAAAAGGAAAATCCAGTGCGTAGAATCTCGTAGTCCAGCTTGTATCCCAAAGCATATAAAAAGCGGAGTCCGTTGTTGCTGATATCTGCTTCAAAAATACTACGTACAAGAGCAGACAGCTGATCTGAAGCTGCGCCTCTCATAGGACCCCCAACGTGTCTCACAGTCCTGTGTTTTTTTGAAAAAAATCAGAATAGACTAATGTGAAACCTTTCGTAATGCCGAGCTCGTACCAACGAGGACGTTTACTCAAAAATGTAATCCGCTTGTTCTAAAGTTCAATGCTTTGTTCTAGGGATATATAGAAAACTTTAGCTTCCAAGGAACATGAATTTTCTCGTATTGTTCTTCTCAAGGCTCCTCCTAAGTTTCAAAATTTCTATGTATTGACTGCACCCTTTGTCGACTGAGAGCGCATATCTGAACCAAATGACTTAAAATCAACCTAGAAGCTGATATATTCGATCCAATTTTCAACACTTGGCATAGGCGAAAGTACAGCTCTACCCACAGCTTCCCTACTGACTTCGTAACCGAATGAACATTGGGGAACGCACCAGACTCTTCTGACTCCGAATTAGCTTGAAAGCACAAAAGCGAGAGAAGGCAACTCACCATACGGGCTGTGGTCCAGAAAGGGAGCAGCAAAGATTGAGTTCCGAACTGACAGAACCTGTTTACATATTACCTACTTAAGTCAAGGAAGGTATCGAATAATCAAAACCTGCTAAAGTCAGAAGTGACTGCTCCCACTAGTTCGTTCCGAACTGAAGAACAAAGCAAGGGTTCCCACTAATGCAGTGCTTATTGACGATGGTCTGAAATGTTCGGTTCAAATCGGAAGGGCGTACTGAAAGTAAGTAGCACCTAATAGTAAGTAGCACCTGACTCAACAGACAAGGATTCAACAAAAATAAGTGGTCAAAATGTAGCGTGAAGCATACCCATATTGTTTCCGCTTTTTAGATAAAATTCATGAACCTTGAGTGTTTCCCGGAGGCCTCCGCAGAGCCCTTGCAGCAAAACCTCCAGTGCATCTACGTACTGATTCGTGAATCCCACAAAATGAGCAGGATCAGTATACCAGTCAAGGATCACGGTCGTGTATAACCATACATGATAAGGATACAATATAGCAGATAAGCTCTGCTTATCGGGACGCATTTCCTTTCGCAACCTCATAGGCTGTTCGAACACCCTAGCCTTCAACTAATCATAGCGTAGAGCTTGAGGTCAAATAATACAAATTACGTATTAAATAAGATGACGGTAAATAAAATTTAGCTTGGCCTTGTCATTATAAAACGGTTGGTCTTCTGCCCTCGCTCAAAGACTTGTCTAATTACTTAAGAAAATCAACCAAAAAAAATCAGATTTCCACAAAAGTTGGACAAACATTACCTGCGTTTCCAAGATACCCTGTACTATACATTCCATGATGAAACTGAATTGACAGTGTCACTCGTCAAGCTCTGCGTCACAAGTCATGTCCTTATGTGTCAGCTCCCAGACCAACAACGACCCAAGGTTTTATCACTCAATGCTCCTTTATTCACTCGAGACACGGGAGGAATCGCCTCTAGTCTGAATACATTTGGTCACTCTTGATTACTTCACTCAAACTGATAATGATGAAACTGAATTCCAATGTACAAAACATTGATCAAAAGCAGATACAATCTCAATCTTAATCATTCTCAAAGTCTTGAAACGAGCTGTAATTCGATTGTCGAGCAAGAATTGCGTAATTCGATTGAGAAGAAGCTTGACCACACTCTTCCAGCTCTAAAAGTAACCAAGACAAACTTTTTCCTGCCCTAATGGTGCGGTGCGAGCGGTAACATGTTCAAGCATACAGTACACATGACAAAACATCTCCTAACTACTGAGTGGCCTCACCGTCTCGAAGTCTTCCCAGAGCTTCTCTGCAGCACAATCGTCGTGACAACCTGCGACCGATTATTTCCAGTTGCAGAATTCGACGTGAGCGTTAGGCGTTTCCTGTCCGCAGTTCAAATTCACGTGCGTGGGAACATCGAACCAGAACCATAAATTGATGCTCCCGACCGAAACAAGCCTAGGCCATACTTTTCGTCTGCCGCATGCAGAATACCAACCCTCGGCCGCGGGAAGCCCTACTGCTCTTGCTCACTTCACCCAGAAAGAAAAAATTTCTCTAAAGCCCAACTTCTAGACTGCACTGCCGTTCAATCTTGCTGCGCGTATCTAGTCAGCGATATTCTGAGCCTTCGTAGAATACCGATCATAGTCACGCGGACTGCCGACAGTCATCCCCAACTGCAATTACCGATGCTGACCAGCTGAACGAAGATTCCGTCCCTCCAATGACAAATGTCGGAGACTTTGTTCTTTTGTTCGAAGACGTACTGTACACTTCCGCGCCCTCTCTGTTGCCGTACCAGCGTCAGTACCTCTGATACGGGCTGGCCTAAATTTCACCGTAACAGTCACAATCCTTTCCAGACGCACGTCTGTTTCTTGGTGGTCTTGTTGTTGTACCGCAGAGTACAGTACGTCTGATTGGATATGGTAGATGCAGTTTCCGGCCGTCGAGAGAGGAGAGGAACCAAGGCACCGTACTCTGGATCTCGGAGGCGGTGAAGCCGAATCAATCTTGTGAAGGATTTGAAGCGACACAGGCTTGGAAATGGCCACATGTGCCGACGGAAAACTTGCCAGCGACTTTGCTAGAATTGCTTGGGTACGAAAAAGTCAACCAACTTAGAACTACGTCTGGAGTCATAATAGAAGTGAAATATCATTTTCGCACCCCTATACTGATCTTGTGGGATCATCAGTTGCAGACGGGCACCAGATTTTTGCAAAAGTCCCGTGTTTTGTTCTCGTCGGCAATTTGAGGCTGTATACTTGTTCTCAAGCAGTTTTGTTGCAAGGTGTTCGATTTGGCGAGTGGTGACTTCGTGCTTAATACTTCAAGAACTCCCACCTACAATTTATGGGAATCTCGTTTCGCTCAGGAGACTCTAAACTTGGCGGGACGCCTTTACAAGATTTTCTTGATTCTAAAGATATCCCACGTCGGTCATTGCAACTTTATTCGTTGTGATGACATGAGAATGTATAATACAAAATACGCCGAAAGCCATGCAGTGGAAATACACACGTGGGTTTCGATCAAGATTTTCCCACTCATCCTGCGCTCACTTAAACGTAATGGACTTTTCTCAAATGAGAGAAGTCCATTACGCATCTTAAACCGAGCTTAATTCGAGTAAAGTCGTCACGATCTCAGTCCCAATCGAAGGTATTCATTTCTTTCAACCTCACACGGATCTCGAATGCAGTCGAAACCATGCACTGACGAATGAACCATAAATCAAGGGTAGCAAGATCGAACTAACGTCCTGAAAGAGAGAAGTACTCTGAAGGCGCACTCGATAGGTAAATGCTCGAGTAGACCTAGGGAAACCACAGCTGACAATGCGAGAACGAGCAAAAAAAGCAATCCACGTAAAGAAAGAGAGAGAGAGAGAGAGAGAGAGATCATATTATCATAGAGATAAAGATGTGTGCGAAGTGCGCCTACCAATCCCAACATAGCAAAGTGACATCCATCCTCGCACGAAAATTTGGGCGAAAGGACTTTTTCTTCCAGCTTCACACGGCGGGGCAGCAGTAATCACGCCAGTGGGATGATTCGAACGAGAATTACGATTCGTGTGAGCTGATCGACATGATCAAGATTCTAATGCGCCATCAGTCGGGACAGCAGCAGTTGTCATCAACTCACTCACTGCTCGTTCGTGGTTCCCTCGCACTCGATCCGTTCTGGATTCGACCTTCTTAAGGACGATCTCGTCCTTCCCAGGGCCGCCCCACGTCCCTTATCGGCGAACGACGAAGGCCGGTTCGGACCTGCCCCGTCCCGGGCAAGATCGCGACGATACCCAGCCCTCCCTGCGACCCGTCCTCAAAGACGCCAGGCAAGAGCACTTTACGTTTGACGCTACGCTCACCGTCGGATCCCGATCTGACAGTGAACCGAAAGGGGAGAAGATTCCGAAGATTCCGATCTCCTCTGACTCGCAGTAACGTCTGTGAAGGCGGCCGATCCGCCGGCCAATCGGAATCCTCCGATTCAAATGGCTCGTCCTCTCGGAGCCGCAAGATGACAGCCGCGCCGGGGATGCCCACATCAGAAGAATTGAAAGAGTAGGCGTTATAATAAAGGGATTGTTAAATTCAGAATTTAACAATCCTTCTTTATAACGCCTTTAATTTAAGTTGATTTTGATAGTTTAATTTTTATTCTAATCTCCTGAGTATCAGTTTCGGACTCTATTTTTCATTTCCCCTGCGCACAAGCTACTGCAAGTGGTGACCCTTCCTATGCATATGGAGGAAACATCTCGGTGAAAGATTTATACTGTCAGTGGTGATCTTTTATATGCATATGGAGGAAGCACTCGGCTTGTGATATCTCACAATTATCTAGTCAAAAGTGTTATACTATGTTTCTGAAGATGATCTTTATATGCATATGGAGGAAACACTCAATTTGTACTGTCTTGCAAATATCTAGTCAAAAGAATTATATTATGTTTCTAAAGTCATTTGCATGGTGTATTGGTGCAGGAAATAATAGTGTTTGAATTTGGAAGATACCTGATTAAATTTAGAAGAGAGCGATAAAACATGTTACTTTGTAACGCAAAATAACATAACGTGTTCAAAAATTATTTTTAAATTGAACAGTATTGTTTCCAAGACAACTTGCGCTAATAATTTAACAACTCCCCTATAATAATCAAATCTTGAATTCGGATATCCAAGATGCTGCGCCGCGCGCCTGTGGAGGCAGGCAGGCCGGCAAGGCAGGGAGGGACTCGGGACGGAGACAGGACCTGGGACGGCTTCGGACCGGGCCAGCGTGGGGGATCGGAGCACGCGTGTGCACGAAGGCGGTCCCAACGGTGCCCGGCGCACGTCTGGCAGAGTGGGCGTCGCGCATGATCGGCCGACGATGCGACTTTCGCCGTGCGTAAGTAGCCCCGAGCCCCGGCAGCAGGCCCAGCATCGCACTCTCAGCAGCAGCAGCAGCAGCAGAGCAGAGCAGAGCAGCAGAGAGGCCGAAGAGAGAGGGAGAGAGAGAGCGCATCGGAGCTCTCGGAGGGGGCCTCGTCTGCCATTGCATCTGCCTTTGTTTCAGTCGCAGCTGCGTGAACTCCGAGGTCGTCGAGGTTTGTTCGATCGAGAGGGTTGGAGATATGGCAGCCGCGAAGGTGGTGGAGCCTGCTCCGTCGGTGATCGATCCCACGCTCAGAGATGAGCTGGACATTGTGATTCCCACCATCCGGAATTTGGACTTTCTGGAAATGTGGAGGCCGTTTTTCGAGAACTACCACCTGATTATCGTTCAGGACGGTGATCCCACCAAGACCATCCACGTGCCCGAAGGTTTCGATTACGAGCTGTACAATCGGAATGACATCAACAGAATTCTCGGCCCCAAGGCCTCGTGCATCTCGTTCAAGGACAGCGCCTGCCGTTGCTTCGGGTTTATGGTTTCTAAGAAGAAGTACATCTTCACAATTGACGATGACTGCTTCGTAAGTTTTGTTTCCTTCCTTTCTCGTTTTCTTTCGTGTCGAGGTCAATCAATCGAAGTTTGATCTTATCTGTTTTGATTTTTTCCTCGAGAGCATTTATGTGTTGACGGTGAGGAGACGGATGGGTCAAAGTCTGTCATCCTGGTTAGATTTGGCAGCGACTGGTGCCGAGCATAGATCCCACATCGCCGGCTGTCCCGAGAAGTTTCGCACCGCTTCTGCACTGTGCTTTAATTGCGGGCATTATCTGGTCTTGGCAGGTCGCCAAGGATCCCACCGGCAAGGACATTAATGCCCTCGAGCAGCACATCAAAAATCTGCTGACCCCATCGACCCCGTACTTCTTCAACACGCTGTACGATCCCTTCCGTGATGGCGCTGACTTCGTCCGAGGTTACCCCTTCAGTCTGCGTGAGGGAGCACCTACCGCCATCTCCCACGGATTGTGGCTTAACATCCCCGACTACGATGCCCCGACCCAGCTCGTGAAGCCGGCCGAACGGAACAAGAGGTAAACGAACTGCTTTCCGAATTGTGGATTACAACTGTGTACATTTTCTGGGCTTTGATGCATGAGCGCTAGAACCGGTTTTACGTCGTCGTGGATCATTTGACTTTCTGCCTGTTCTGTTGCTGTGTTCCTTCTGATTTGGTCTTGTAGGTTTCAGATCACTTTCATTACTGAAAGATGTTCTCTAAAGTGTTTGGGCTGACTGCAGGTATGTTGATGCTGTCATGACGATTCCCAAGGGCTCTCTGTTCCCCATGTGCGGCATGAACCTTGGCTTCAACAAGGACCTGATCGGGCCGGCAATGTACTTCGGTCTTATGGGAGATGGTCAACCCATCGGGCGATACGACGACATGTGGGCAGGATGGTGCTGCAAGGTCTCCCTTCGACTCCTTCTTTCATGACTTGAATCAATTAAATTTCCACAACTTCAGTTACTTCATGTCCATTAGCTGCATCCATCAGAGATCAGAGTATGCTTAGGTAGTCGTATCTCCTCTTAAACGGGACTCCTTTTGTTCACTTGGATCAGTTGGAGTCTCTCCTCGAGCTCGGTATCGGAGGTGTTCCATTTTTACAGAATTCCTTGTTCATGTTTTTGCTCGATCGTTTCGGATCTAGACGGAGTCTTGAACCAACCATAGCAGAGGAGCACAAGGAATGTCAATTTCGGTTATGGAAACGAAGATTTCTGAAAATTGTTGCTTTGACAATGCAGGTCATTTGCGACCATCTTGGTTACGGTGTGAAGACCGGTTTGCCGTACATCTGGCACAGCAAGGCCAGCAACCCTTTCGTTAACCTGAAGAAGGAATACAAGGGCATCTTCTGGCAGGAGGAGATCATCCCCTTCTTCCAGGCCGTCACTCTCCCCAAGGAAGCGACGACGGTAGAGCAATGCTACATCGAGCTGTCCAAGCAGGTGAATGAGAAATTGACAGGAATTGACCCATACTTCACAAAGTTGTCGGAAGCTATGGTCACGTGGATTGAGGCTTGGGGAGAGCTGAACGCCCCTGACAGAGTTTCCACTGATGGACCCTCCAAGACCGGTACCAGAGTAGCAAAGTGAACGATATGACGACACCTCCTAACTTCAGCACGTAAACTTCTGAAAGCGTTCTTATCTATCATTGAAGGTGGACTCGAATGTGCAGCTCGTAATACTTGAACAGAAGCAGCGCAGGAATGATTCAGAATCTTCACCCTTTTACATGGGCCGTGCTTTTTTTACTCACAGGTGGTCACCACTTTAGATAAAGTAGTAGTTCAGAAATCCAGCCCAGTTCCTTGCTGTCGGGAATCAGCCGATAGGGCAATTAGCGCTCTCCCTTTGCAGCTGCGAGATAAGACAGTACATACCACCTGATTGCTTGTGCCACAAAATCTTGCTTAGAATGCACGTGGCGCACCGATCTAATTTCTGCATGGTAAATGCCATTCTTTCTTTGCTTACAGAATTCAATAAAAAATTCATTTCGTCTACCCGGCCCGTCTTTGTAGATTCAGCAGGGATTGGTCTTTCTAGTCATCATTCACACCAATTGCGGAGTCCGAGGCGGACTTGTGACCCTTTATCTAGGATACTTTTGCAACGCAAGCTACCACTTTGACAGTATTAGCCTTTCTAGAGGGCATTGAAAACGGGGAAGGACGGATGCAAATTTATTACTAGCAGGGTACCAACTTCAGCACGTGCAGTGAGACTCTGCATCAGATCGTCGCAGATGAATTTACTGAGAAGGGAGCTGCGCCTACTTCCCTCTCAATAATTGCTGAAGCTGGACACAGATCCTGGATGGACTGGACCACAGGCGGTCGGCTATGTTGAGAAGGACAAAAGGCGATTCGAGCAGGTAAGCTCTTCGAGATCGACTCCGGCCCAAACCCGCGAACGATGCCAAGACGACTGCGTTATCGTATAACTCCTCTTGTTTAGGGGATATGTCCATGATCTCACAGCTTCACAGAATGTCATTGGTCAGCTCTGAGTCTCGATATCCGGACCAACGATTGTCAACGTGCCAAGTGCTCAAGGCGGACAGGACGGGAATAATGTACAGGGTTCGCATCCACTCCAAGATTACACAACAGTTTCTAAGAAGCAAATGGTTCTCATGTTGTGAAAAGTGCTCTCTGGGGCCAGTATATAGAAGCGCGTGCTGTAACAGGAAGACACGAAGTGCTTTCGATGCAGGCGTTAATTCAGACTCAGCGTAGCAAAGGTATTGTCACGTCTTAGTGGCCCAGAAGACCTGTCTCCCTGCTGTTCCGGGCCACTTAAGTACTAGTACTCACATCTCCCAAAACTCCTCCACTCTTCGATGGACGTTCGAACTGCTGCGTGACTCACCAGCCATTATGTTCGTATAGAAGCTGTCTGTCTCAGCAATTTGTGCAACACAGGAAAAGGTTTCCACAGCAGCTATAAGGATTTGGCAATTCTGTTTCCTGCGACAGCAGATGTTTGGGCAATAGAGACACTATGGAAAACACCCAATCATCTCTAACTCTAGGAGAAGCAAGAACTTGGACACGGATATCGAGGAGAGACGTCCATTTACACCGAGGATTTAAGCAACTACTGGGAGTGTTCCGAAGTCCCAGGTGAGATGCGTGCCATGCGCCGAAAACTCATGCCTGCAACATTTGCTTGGGCGAAGTCGAGTTTCATCCGCCAAACGCGATGCGTAGTATCACCTGTGAGTGAACATGCGGAAGGAAAAAAGGCCATATATCAGATTTGGATCTGAAGACACCAGATCCAGAATGGTGGTCGTGATCAGCTGGCAGTGAGGTTGGCAGCTGTGTAAGATTCTGTGGGTCCAGGTTCGTTTATCTGCCCGCACAGTCTCCAGGGCGAGGACCTTCTGTGATACAGGTACAGTAATAAGTAAGTAGTGATTGCCATCGTTGCGTCTATACCATGCCTTGCCTCTTCCAAGATCCTGTAAAAAGGATTTGCCGTTTAGGAGGATGCGCTTAAGTCCGTTTTGCGTTCTGAAGAGAGGATGCGCTGTAGTCAATCGTGCCTGCTCTACCTGGCAGACCAGCTCTGTCTGATCAGGGCTCCAACGTGAGCTTGAATCAGATTCTCTCACGCTTAATACGTCAAATTCAGTCAGTGGCTGCAATCGTTATATTAGCATGTTGAGAACTCTGCATTATACCGAGGACATTCGAGGCTACAGAAGACACAGAAGCAAACATAGGTTGAACAAAGCTTCTTACAGCTAGATGGCGAGCGAAAAGAGAGTATGGGCCAATCTTGGTGGCAATAAGAAACACTACATCCACCGCAAGTAGAGTAAAGAATGCAGTCAATCGAAAGGAGCTTTGACAATTCTTTGGACGGGGAGCTTCGATGAGTTAAAAAAGCTTCATTCGTTGGCCCCAGACCAGTTCATGAATACAGTTAAAAGGCATGGAGATGCTGTTCTTTTCCAAGCAGCGAGTGCCGACATTGTGATGACGTATTCAAAGCTTTAGACTGAACTTTTGCCTCTAGTGCCGCTTGTGTGCTGCCTTCGTGGGATCATATCGCTGCCAGAGAGCCTCATGGATCCAAAGGAATGTTCTGTGAATTTGCCATCAAGTCCATCTTCTTTCCAGTTACTGCATGCGCGCTCTCTCGCTTGCTGTTTCGTGCTGTACTGATATCAGCCTGACCCATGACTTCCTAGCCTGAGACCTGGGACTTGAGCTAGCAGCGATGGCATTTACAGCACCCTTGGAATCGCTCAATGCTTGCCTGGCAGTTCCAGTCTGGAGAAGGTCTTCATTAAGATGCGAAGAATTAGAGAGCCAGCCAGTACTAGGGATCTATGAAACTTTGCGTGTTGAGATATGGGCATCGTACACGTGCGTCGCTACGAGACAGGTGCATGGCTCGTTGAGAGACGGGGAGCTGAAATAAGTCAATCAGGGCATGATAGTCTGCACATGTCTGGGAACTTATAATTCTTCTTTATAGGAGACGCCGGTCAACTGATAGCATGCTTGAAACTTGGGCTTGGGAGGGCAGAGACGGAAGAGAAGGGGAGAGGAGGGGAGGCTCATCAGCTGTTGCATGAGCTTCCTTCACGTCGTTTGTGTGGGGAGACGATGTCTAAAAGAAGTTCAACGACGACCGCCCACACTAGATCACTCATTGAAACTTTTGCATACATCGATAGAAGGATAATGATCTACAGTAATTTAGTGTGTTGCATTGCCATATGGGCTAATTAAGTTCTTGCCAAGGTGCCTGCATTGTTCCCCCTGCACTTTTAAAACAGTGAAAATTATACAGAATATGTACAGAATCAGTGAATATAATTGATCGAACCCAAGAAGAGCATCCTCGTTCATCGATTCCCACATGATTGCTGTCTCCGCCCAGGGTGAAGTTGAGATTCAGCAATCGCGACGAGGGGAGGCGCTGGCACTGGAAGAACCTTTCCTTGACATGCATAAAGATATACGCTAACTTCCTTTTGCTAAAAGGACAGACCACTTTCCTACTCGCTTATATCGTGGAGCGGATATAGGCACCAACAAGCAATCCGTGAACCAATCAAGCACTCATCCTGGCACTCACGGGATCTTTGATCTATACCTTTACTAGGGCCCTTCACTTGTGTTCAGGAATTAGATCACCCGAGCAGCTGTCGTCTACCCCTGCGATCTATGAAAACCTTGATTGGTGAATCCATGACGTGATGTGAAGTACTTGCTATAGCAAGTACTTCACATCACGGATGTAATGAAAGAGCAAGTTTTCATGGCGATTGTAGGACTGTCAAACTTGCAGGGGATAGTATACCTCCAACCTAAGTCCTCGATGACCAAACATCAAGCTCCAATGGAACACGACATTTCCTTCTTTTCTCTGTGGATGGAAACCCGCCAGAAGTTGACACCATGGCAGCCTGTTGGTTGGCCTACAATAGGATACTTATTGTCGCGTTACTCTCTTCCCATATATTGAGGACAAATAACGACTCTTCGATGAGCGACGAAATGAATTTAAATCCTCCGAACTGGCCTTCATCTCAAGTAAGGATGTCACAATCTAGTACTTGACTCTGGTAGCTCAGTATAGTTAGGCTTCAATAAGAGAGTAGTTAAAAATGTTGTCGAAGTCAAATCACGCTGTCTAGATATTTCGTTCTATCATTCAGAGGACAGGCTGCTCAGACTTGAGTTTGTCTCATGCCGCACTGATTTCCACCTACCTGCACAATGCTGCTGTCACCCCGGCGCTAGACGCTAGATTGCCTTGCCAAACAAAACAGGCACAAGCTGTTCGCTCCATGGTCGTACACAAGCCTGACGAACAATACGCAAGAGGACGGTTGCTGCAGAGGAGCACATAATGGTCACTTGATGCGACCGACGACCAGGAGATTCAGGACAAGGCTTCTGATGCTTATCAAGGTGATGACTAAAACACAACAGATGGTCTTAAGTGGCAAGCAACCTTAACCAGTTGAACTGCTCTGAACGTGCTACCCAGCCCAAGATGACGAAAGCTTTAGGGCAATCATCAGTCATCACGTGGATCAGCATCAGCTGACTGCATTAACACTGTGAGTATTAAAGCCTCTCTTGCACCTGAGATTATACCGACATTGCGGTGGCCAAACTACACTGAAAATTCTCTGCTGCCTCTTTTGGACCTGGATCGTTACTACTAGCAAACCAATTGCAGTTCTGGGAACTCGAGAAACAAATGGCAAGAACGATGACGGTCGTGTAGTAAGGCTGCTAATGGAGTTATGGCCTGGAAAAGAGTTTCTTCCATACCAACTACGACGAAGAGAACATAAAGAAGATGCCGTCATTGTCCCGAATTCGTCGACCATTACAGTCTTCTCATCGTGCATGACTGTTTGCAAGTGATCACGTTTCCGGGCGAAAAACCACAGGGAACTGAGATGAAGTCGCCCATTCAGCGTAGTGGCTTATGTCAAATGGTCTCGCCGGAAATGTGAAATGGCTGTTCTATGTTCAAGTGAAGAAACCTGCTCAAGCCAGTTCCGAACGCAGCCTCGCACCGTAAATTTTCTTCCTGCTGACCGCTCGACAATGAAGAGAGAAGAGGAGTCCAGATGTACACGAGCTCCACGTCAAACGGTCACAGCAAGTAAGCAAAACCGTTGTCAAAAGATACGGCTTGGTGCACGCAGCTTCATGCAAAGCTAAATTTTGGAAAACTAAGTAAGCTCACTGTGTGTTCATGACTCACTTTCAATGGACATTCCTCGACTAAATTTCGATGCTAGAGAATCGACGTCTCATTTCTCAGCGTCCAAATTCCTCTTGAAGAATAATGACGGTACATGCCAATAAAACCCGATAGTAGGAAAAGACATTTAAAGCTAGCATCCAAGCTGTAAGAACACCTTGTGCTTTCGATGTCCAGCACAGATCTGAGTTCCCTATACAGAGTCAGGAAATATAACTACGGTAGATGTCCAAAACCCTCAGGATGAACCATATTGACTGTGCGTTCCCTGCAACAGCCTTGCAGATGGGACCAGTGTAGATTAAATAATTGAGGAAGCCACGAGAAATCCATACCTGTAGCTCGGAACCGGCACCGCCTTCAACAGATTCGAGCTGTATCGGGCCAGAAAGAAACATGAAGATCTATCTTCTCGCCTTGACTCGGTGCTGCTAAAGTATTATCCTTCAAGGTTTCTGCGATGTTGGAAAGCGGAATTCACCTTACCATCTGCCATTCACCTCATTTTTGGATCTGCCAATCTAGAGACACTACAAGAACATCTCCAGGAAGAGAATCACACTGTAGAATGGAGATTCCAGAAGTTTTTTATTAAATCTGTGAGGGAAGAAATAATGGCGTCTACCATGCATCGGAGTAGATCAATGCCCCACGGACATAGTAAGAATTAATCTTCTTAACGCAATGAATCAGCTGCTATGTACTCTCTTATCTCACAGCCTCGTGGGGGAGCCTAACTCCCCCGGCCAGCTGCTTTCGACAGCAACGAACTAATATGGTATCCTGACCTACTTAAAAACTAGAATATCGACCATCTGCGAGTAAGCGCATTGCCCATCTCTTTGGTAAATAAGTGACTGGTAGCCTTTCTTAAGCTGCTTTTGTGACTCTAATTCGAGCTGCAAAATCGGGTCACGAACAGAATGACAAGACTTTCTACCAGAGTTAAGTGCTAAAGTTAGGTGTCATTGCTCTCAAGCGGAAGCGGCTGCTAATTTCTTGCCGACCTTTGAGGGTCCCATATCAGCGCCAGCCTTATCAGGGGCGTTAAGCTCTCCCCATGCCTCAATCCAAGTAACCATAGCTTCAGACAATTTGGTGAAGTAGGGATCGATCGTGCTCAGCTTCTCCTTGACTTGTTTGGAGAGCTCCAAGTAGCATTGTTCAACTGTTAATGCCTCCTTGGGAAGAACGACCTGCTGGAAGAAAGGAATGATTTCCTCCTGCCAGAAAATTCCCTTGTATTCCTTCTTCAAGTTGACGAATGGGTTACTGGCCTTACTATGCCAGATGTATGGCAGACCAGTCTTTACACCTAATCCGAGGTGGTCACAGATAACCTGCGGATTTTCAAAGATCAGGTCAGATACATATTCTCAACTAGATCTGAACCAAACCGAATCTAATTCGACAGATCGTCGATCCTTTCTACAGCTCTCACATACATTTCTAGAGACGAGCCAAAATGCAGTTGCTCAGCATGGACCATTTTCACCAATCACAGTGAACGATACTAGAAGGTCAAGCGGGCACCGTAATAGTCACAGGTTACAAGCACGAAGGTGTGGTCAAACAGATCGTTCCACTTGATCTCATAAAATACGAGGGAATTAACTCGTTCGCACGACATCATGACCAGCTATGGCAATTGACTATCTTCAATTTCAAGGAGGAGCAAACAGGAAGGGGCAAATACCTTAACACACCATCCGGCCCACATGTCGTCGTAACGCCCGATTGGCTGACCGTCTCCCATAAGACCGAAGTACATTGCCGGCCCAATGAGATCCTTGTTAAAGCCAAGGTTCATTCCGCACATGGGGAACAGGGACCCCTTGGGGATAGTCATGACAGCGTCCACGTATCTGCATTCGTAAAGCGATACATACTTATCAGAGATGAATTCTTGCTGGTGACCTTCCACCAGATCCATTTGCAGAAGTGACAAATTAGAGCCGATTTAGGGACTCGCATCTTCTTACCGTTTGTTCCTCTCAGATGGCTTCACCAGCTGAGTGGGTGCATCGTAATCGGGGATGTTCAGCCACAGGCCGTGGGAAACGGCTGTAGGGGCTCCCTCGCGCATGCTGAAGGGGTAGCCACGGACGAAGTCAGCACCTTCGCGGTAGGGGTCGTACAAGGTGTTGTAGAAGAACGGTGTCGAAGGAGACAACAAGTTCTTGATATGCTGTTCGAGAGCGTTAATATCGTTTCCTGATGGATCCTTGGCGACCTGCGAGGATCAAACACGAAGCATTATCTACTGCGATACTCCGGTCCCTCGTAGCATTGATGAAATATCATGGAACGAGACCTCCATGTCCACATCAAATGCCGGACGGCAGATTAGCTCTTTTGACCGACTAAGAAACAGATGGGGCAGCAGATCTCAGCACATTTTGATCACAAGAACGGAGACGAGGAGATAAGAAAGAAGGCTTCGTCTGCGCCGAACAAGTCGTATCCGGCCAGCTGACAAACAAACAAACAGCAGGAGTGTAGAGTGGCAATGCAGAGTGGCGGAGAGAAAGCTACTCACGAAGCAATCGTCGTCGATGGTGTAGATGTACTTCTTCTTGGAGACCATGAACCCGAAGCAGCGGCAAGCGCTGTCCTTGAAACTGATGCACGAAGCCTTGGGGCCCAGAATTCTGTTAATGTCGTTCCGATTGTACAACTCGTAGTCGAATCCCTCGGGGACCTTGATGACCTTGGTGGGATCACCGTCCTGAACGATAATCAGGTGGTAATTCTCGAAAAACGGCCTCCACATTTCCAGAAAATCCAAGTTCCGGATGGTCGGAATCACAATGTCCAGCTGATCCCTCAGAGTGGGATCAATCACCGATGGCTCCACCGCGGCCATCATTGCCGCTCTCCCTCGATGCGACTCCGATCTGTTCCTCGGTCGAGAGAGCAAATCCCTCTGAGCTGCGCTGCGCAGGGCACGGCAGAGCGGAGCAGAGCAGATCACAGAAGAGCGCTGCAGCGATGCGGGGCGCGGACCAGATGATGAAGCGAGCAGGCGCCTCGAGCGTCTCGGCCGGACGACGACGACTAACGTTCCGCGGCCCGGTCGGCTGTCCCGCTGGCTGGCTGGCTGGCGGCCTGTCCCGCTGCTGCTGTCCCTCTGCGGGGCTGGCCGGGCTCTCTTCAGAGAGAGCAGAGCAGATGGAGATGGAGAACACGAGAAGCTGTCTGCTGCTTCCGGCCGCTCGGTCTCTACTTACGCTCTTTCCTTCGTTTCCTCCTCCTGCTCCTGCTCCTCCTCCTCCTCGCCTCTCCGCTCCACTACCTGGGAACTGTTCCCTGGCGGGTCTCCCTCCGGCGACAGGACCGACCGACCGACCTCGTCACCGACGTCGGCACCAGCCGGTTCTGCCCGGGATTCCACCAAAACCCGGCCGGCTCTGCAGCAGCCCCTCGCGGGCCCTGAGTCAACCTCCTCTCCACTACCTGGACGGACTCCGGAGACGAAAGGTTCATCGCACTGTGAGTCTGGACTGCATTAATGACCGAGTTCGGATGTTGACCGTGAGCCCCGATCACCGAGAGCACTGAATAAGAGCAGGAAACTGCGCTGCCGTTCTGCGAGGCAGGTGATCCGAGTTTGGATGAATATGGTCTCGCTTAATTTGGAGCATGGTGAATATGATTTGCGCCATGGACCGACGACTGATCTTCACTCCATTGTTCGATTCGGTCTTCCGTGATATCTTGACCCTCACTAGTTTGCTTTTCCGGGCTCTTGTTTCGACGATCAACATCTTATCCTACGGATTCGGTCGATGCGAGGCAGTCAAATGATGTAAATAGTCCATGGCCTTCTTGCCTTCTTCTCGGCAATCAATTGTAATACATCTAGATATAGAGAATGCCTTCGACACTACTCTAGCAATCTTATATATCCTATCGTTGGATTCAAAATTTCTCTTAGCGTGATGTCTACCTTTTTAGTCGGGTCTCTTTACTCCTCCAGCATGTTGTTTCTGAAATTATTATTTTCACATGGAATAGACAGGATGACCCTTCGGTGTTCCTCCCTTTGCCATAGTTCACTAGCAAGGATTTCCAACAATAGACCTAGCGTAAGACTGATTACGGTATTTAGTGTGTTGCACATTAAATTCTGTGATCATTTGTTTTTATCATGAGTACCTAGCATGTTCATACCCTCTTGACATGTTCGCACGCACATTCTGCGCCCACTTAATCGGTAACAGACGAGTCCAAGTAGAAATTACTTGTTAGAGATTCCAAGTGTAGAGAATCGTCACCATCAGATTTTCCATCGTCATTTGTAGGCAAACGGGTTACACATTCTTGGAGTGCCAGTAGAGCCCAAGGATTTCTTTACGTAAATAAGGGGAAAATAAAGTATATTGTATCTAAAAACTTATCATTATTGATTTATCCTCTTTTTCATTCTTTTTTCCCAATTTTTTTTAATCTTGCTAAACTAAGGGATCCGCAGTTTGCATCTGATACAGTGCTCTATAATATTTCATATATTTCCTTATATGCCTACTTTTCATGATTCTTTCTTCACTGACACTGTTTCTTGTTGGATAGACTTCGTTAGATTAAGATTATATTAGTTATTTTTAAATGATATCATCATGTATCTTGAACAATCGATTACCAAAAATGGAATTTGGAAACATTAAAAGTTTGTCATTTTGATTTGAAAAGATACTCTTATTCTCCATGAGAGATAACATGCGTGTAGCATTATTGGTTTGTTGGGTGTCTTCTACACTTCGTTTTCTTACTTGCTTCTGAATATCGTTATCTCTATTTGAAAAAAAATTGAAGCTAAAATTCAATGTATCTCTACATAGAGTTTTAGCTAATGTATCCCATAAAAAGGATTCACAATTAGGTTAAAATTATTTTAATCTTTGTATGATACGAATTAGTTGAATTTGATAAAACTGATTGTTGAATGCAATATGACATGATCTAAAAGTGAAATATCAGATGCAATATGTGACGACATTGGGGATAGCCCTCTTGATTTCGTTTATGTATCACCAGATGAGGACTAATTGTCCTTCTGCATCATCACACTACTTTGTCTCCCTGCAAGTTAAATATTATCACGTCCGTCCGGTCGTGAGTCGTGACTCGTCCGGTAAAAGTAGAGGCGATACCGGTACCTGGGAGAGGAACCTGGCTAGCCGGTATCTAGCGCAATGGCCTGCAAACACTTCAGAAGTGATGCACTTTGCGGGAACTGCAGCCATAAATCTCAACCACGTGATACAATCGGAGGACTATTAGCAGAATAGCAATACGTGTTTTCCTCTGTTCGCCTATTTTCGATGTTAGATGGGAACTGACCAGCAGAATTAACTGTATCTTGTCTAAAGCAAGGGAAACAGTCCTTCAAGTGATCGTTCGCATGACATTGAACACTGCGGAGCTTCAGTTTAAATGGTAGAAAAATCACCACTTCTTCAAGGATTCTCTTGAATGGAAAAATTTATTGGATTCAAGCAAATCCAAACACATTTCATTTGTAATTTCAGTACTTTAGTCATCAGGAATTGCGAAGGTCTTTGAAGTCAAACCATTGAAAAGCTCTAAATACGAGATCATTCTGTACATAAATACAGCAACTACCAGCTTGTTCCAAGTACTCAGCCTTATGAAAGTCCTCAGCCAACAAGATGGCGATTTGGCCATGAATTTCCTGCTTAAAAATGAGAGAAAACTCGAGTCAAATGAAGAATAAAAAACGCTTTAAAGAGTTCCAACAGTGAACCCTAACTTTAGATTAAGTTGACACAATGAAAGGGGTCATCCAGATGAAGGGCCCTTGGTAGCGGGCAACCATCACATGTGCACACAGAATATTAGCCTAGCAGGCTGTGAATGCAAAAACATGCATGTCATGGACAGCATGATCTGCTAGTGAAGCATCTTTCCAAAGTCTGGGCCCATCTTCATTCCGATGGCTGGTTTGTATATTTGTGACCTTGGTGGATTTCACCAGAATTCTGGAAAACGACAAGGTTTCCCAATTTCACTTTTTCTCTCCATTATTGTGTAAGTTAGTTCATAAGTTACTCTTGATGCCTTTTGCACGTATTAGAGACTGGACTCTCTAGGTGGAGTAACGATGCATCTCTACGCTCCTGGCTCAAGGAACATACTCATGTTTTTTCGGCAATCGTAGAGCAATCATGTAGCAAATCATCCCCAAGACATTCATGGTAGAGGTATTATTTTACAATAAAATTTATATAAAAAGTCTTCAACTTTAATTTTCAAATAATTAGTAGCATCACATATAAATGAAGAAAAGTGAGGTGAGAAGAAACATAACTACTACTACAATAAAACAATGATTAGTCAACATTGTCAAATATCAGTCTCTCCCCAAATATCTGCTGTGCTGAAGTTGTAATTGAGGTTAAAACATGATTATGCACGTAATTGTGTCATTCCTGAGAAAATTATTAATCCGGGAGTAAACATCATCGGTTCTATAACAGGAGTGTTTTTAAGATCGACGATATAGCATATTTATTCAGGGATACTTTAGGTATTTGGAAATTTTTGGCTGGTTGGTATTGCGTGCAGATTATGAAGGAAATGGTTTCCACGGTTACATCATATTCAAAAAAATTCACTCACTGTCAAAGGGTCATGACGTCCATTCGCATTAGTCTTCAAAGTAAATTATTATCCTTAGTCTGATTTCGACAGCAGGCGTGAAACTCTTATGCGATGTGCGGTCGACGAAACATCGAAAAGAGAATTTTTAAACCAGACGAGTGTAACCATTCTTACACGGAATCAAAGTTATCCACGGGATCATGCGCATATTACAAGGTCGCCGCCTTCCAGTCCAGAGAACATTGGATACTCGTAATACACCAGAAATGCCCTCGGGACCCTGGGTCGGGTTTCTTCGATCCGTGATTACCCTAGCGGTAGGAACCTTTGCTCTACGCTGGAACCTCCGAACTTATTCGCGGCACTTATTCGTCGGAAGGTCTTCCTTCTCCGATCAAGGCCTCAACATGTGAACCTGCCCAGTGGGTTCCAGAGTCCCGGCACCCCACGGAAGTAAAGGGTTTTAACCGCGGAGGTGAAGATTCTGATACATGGTACAGCACTTTACACCCTTTTTAGTCGACGCAGTAGTAGTCTTCCACCTTCAAGTTGCACGCAGAACTATGTTCGTGGCGTCGCCTGGCACCCCGCACTGATCTCAGTTTATTATAGCTATAGATTTTTTAATTCTTATTTAAAGACTACTTAAATAAAAAAATTCAAAAAATTTAAAATTCTTTGTAAATATAAAGTTAAACCAGAATGAATTTACCATTATCAATAACTTTCATACCCCGCCCTTATTCCATCTGTGGCACTCATAGCAAAAGCTCTTACATTGTTATTTCCTAACAATGGTTGAACTTCAAAAGTAAAGTGCCTATTATTTGGAAAGTACTTCTTCCAAGAATTTCTGCTTAGACTGGGGTCGCTGTCTCCGTGTCTGGATCGAGAGGGTACCGACGTGCAGCTGCAGTCACAATCCACGACTCGTTTCTGTAGACATGAAGACATGGGAACATCTCGTCGCACCACAACCACGACGCTCTTCCTGGATCTGTCAAGTCTCGGTCTCCCGGCAGCTGAAACAGCTCCCTGAAACCACTGGAGCTTGGGAAAAAATTCCGCTCCGCACTAAGATCCACGTGGACCTGTCTCCAGATAAGCGGTCCATGTAAGCGGCTCCACTGGGAGGCAGCGAGAGGAATCCTTTGGGAAGGTGTTAACTGCAAGAACTCCAGCCGTGCCAGGTCTACCTCGGTGCCTCGCTGTACTCGCAGCTTCTCACCCACAGTTTGCGGCTGCCGGCCGGCAATGACGCTGGTTTCCCTTTACCTCGTGAGACTGGTGCCTCTGGTCTGAACTGGACTCGACCCACCATGTCCACCCAAACGCAGGTCGAGCTGGCTGTAGCCTGGACGCTACAGTCCAACAGCGACGACTACGACAACGCCTCGGCAGTAGTGTACTGTATGATAAAGTTGAGCCCTTCTGTACATACTTTGTGAACATTGTATATAACAGTGGTCTCCATTGACTCAAGTTCACAATCTGGCCTTCGGCTCGTGTCAAATGGACACTGCAGTGCAGTATATGGGTCAAATGTCCATCCGTCACCCTCTTTCTCTGGTCAACTGTCAATGAACGAAAAATATTGATGCCGCGAAATAGACCTCTGATAGCTTTGTCTCAGATCGACTGAGTTCGCGTTTCTGAGGTGATGCTCCTGTGGGAGGGATCAACCAGAAGTGTAGGGGCTTATAATCTGGTTGTATGTATAGCCAGGGGCGGTAGGAGTTCACCCAGTGGATCGATGATCACAATCAAAACTCCTACTAGAGAACTTTTGATTCACTCCTTCAGGTTCTGTGGTAGTTTCGTTTGCAAATTAAGCTTACCATGTAACCAGAATCCCTTGAAGTCACATGTATTACTTTGTTACCTCCGATCTCATTTGCTGAAGTACAAGAGGAAATTCTCCTTTTACACACCTATTATCTTCTGTCTGAGCTAATAGAGTCTACCAAACCACTTGACACACACACAAAGATATATATATACCAAAGTTGTAGTTTTATACTCATGTCTTGCCTTACGATATTCATTTTATTCCAATTGTGTTGACGAGTTATTTTTCGGGCTGCATCGCTTTATGGTTGCTGGTCAGCGATGAATTTTGACCATGTGATGAGAGTATGAGATAGACCTATTACAGTCGATTCCTACTCGCATATTGACTGTGCATTGCCTCGTACTGCTACTGTACATGTGCTTTACTGTAGTGATTCAGTGGTTAAATTCGGAGTTGATGACGTACTTATTTCTTGTCCCTGAAACTTGGTGGGAATATCTTCAGCTGACAGTAAGGAAGGACACCCATTGTTCGTACCTCTTCAGACTTGAAGTTGATGGATGATGATCTTTGATATGCACTCGTACCGTACCTGTCGAAGGCGTCGAAGGACTGGCAGAGGTCAAAGACGATATGGGGTTAGGACTTGCGTTGACTGTCGTCATTGCGAACACACGCCTCAGAACACGAATGCAAATTTCTTGCTGTGGAAAGGGCATGAATGCCTTAATCTGGTTTGCAAGAGGTGTAGGTGAAGTAGCACATACAGTTTGACATGAGGAGAGAACCACTTCTCATAAGATAATCCATTTTATGTTAACTGTGGACAGTTGCACGGTTCTTGAGACAGTGCCACAGGCATTGAACTGATGCCTGATGTGGAAAAACAATCTGTGAATGTTTTATTACAGCATTGTCGTGGGATCTCACTTATCGGGTCACAGAAATCTCTACCGGGAGTCTTTAGATTGCTGCCACATACAATGTACTTTTGACGAATATGAGACTGTCAGATTTGATAGGTTGATGGGAGCCTTTGGAACTTCAAAATTCCACACATTCTTTCAACATTATTATTTTTTATCGTATGACAATCCGTTAGATCTGCTGCAAAATCGTACCGACCACTCTGTGCTAAAGACCAAAAAGTTGCTAAAGCAAGAATGTCCTACTTTCTGTGTAGTTTCGTTGCCTTTAATTCCTTCTCAAATTTTCTACAGACTTCAGAAACAGAACTTTGAAGGTAGCTTCGTTTGACATGACACTGATTTAGTAACACCAAGTATCTCCCCTCGTGATGCGCTTTAGAAGAGTGCTCCTCTCCTTTAAAAAGTGCTTCGGTTCCAGTTGTCTACAATTCTAAGTGAAGGCTTTTCACCGACAACTGAACAACTCTGTCTTATTGCTTCATTAGAGTTTTACGCACGATATTGTTCCTTCGTTCATTTCTTTATACAGTTCGTTGCTCCCTTTTCTAATTCTTATCCCAAAGATAAAATAATCGCCTCAGCTTTGCAATCAACCTGTGACTCGCCGATGTCCAATCGGTGTCTCTCTCCTTCAGAGATCCGTCGTTCAGAGGAATCGTTTATAGGACTGACGGTAGTTTGTCATAGGAAGCAAATTCGATTATGGTTACTTGATCTTTGGTGATAACTGGTAGACTTGGTAGACTAATACTAATGGATCAACCCGTGAAGTTTACACTTTCTTGTCAGTAGTCACCATATACCATACGTGAAGTGCTCTTCAAGATATTTCGTCCCTAGATATACAGAACCAGCCACAATAAAAGATTATAAAAACCGTCTTCCTGTTTGTCATCACAATAGCTGCAACAGCTTTCAGCCGCATTGGGAGAGAGGATGTTCAGACACTGTGTTTGTTAGCACACAAGCTGAAAGTACAGCATGGGAATATTTCTGGATGGGCGAAGGGTCCTCATTTAAGGGGATTCTTACATGAACACATCACATTCTTCTCATGCGACGTGATCCCACCGACTGAAGTAAACCAAAATTGGCGAATCAGTATGCAAAACCTACCGAGTTTCTCATTTCGTTGGTTCAAGATTTGTCAATACCTCCCTTCCTTACCCTCAGCTGAACGCCATGGGAAGGATCGATTGTTTCTTAGTGAGAAGCAGGCGACATAGTTAGGATTTGAATTCTAGATCCGCGAGTATGTTCTACATACAAGGGTGAATTTGGCAATGTCTTTAGCGGGGTAAAAAAGATAGATGCTCAAGAGTCAAGATGTGGACTTAAGATGGATTTAGAGGACATTACTGCAATCTCAACTCCGTATCATATTCACAAACTATTTATTGTATTGAATTAGCAACAGGAACCTCCCCGGGCAAAGGAGCTAGTTCATTTCTTGCAAATCTTTCTACGTCATAAAAACTGGCTCGCACAACTCTTCCTCCAAAAAACCGTCCATCCAGATCTACCAAAGCTTTTGTGGCCTGCTCTGCACGCTCAAATTGCACAAAAATTCTTACAGCCTCCGTGACTGGAAAATCAGGTTCTGTAATTTCGAAAATAAGAACTCGTGTAACTGTTCCATATTTTGTGCACTCTGATGCAACCTCGTCTTCTAGCTCGCCGTCGACTTCTCCAGGACCAACCTGCACATTTTGTAAGTAATTAGAAATTAAGTGATAAATGCCAGTCTATTAACCGTCATCACATCACATCTTACTCCTTCGAAATGTAGGTGAACCTTGGTTTCAGGAATTTCACAATAAAATATTGCTAGCAAAAACATATTACAGTATGCTCTTACAGCCGGAGAACACTCGTCATCTTCATACCATTAATTGTTGTGTAGAATGTGTGTTAATTTGAGCATCTACTTCAACTGTTCCAACCACTTTGAAAAACGAAAACAAAGATAAAAACTGCTAAATTTTCTTACATTCATTCTTTTCTGGGACTTCAATAAAGAATGTACGTTGAGCAAAGACGAAAGAAACAGTTTCAACGAGAGAGTACAGTAGAAGAAGCAAGATAGACACGGAAAGGCCTCCCTCTTGGAAGTGATCAGTTGTGGGAACAACTAATAAGAAGCACTGAAACGTAGAATGAGTGCCTGTAATCAAATTCGATTGATCCACACGGGCAAGCAAATGAGAATTCAGATTCATGCTTAGCTTTCAAGCATAACATAGAGAATCTGAGTAGGATCTCATGCTGATGGCCAGTATGATTCAGATAAGCCATTGACGATAAGTTCACGCCTACTATCTCCACTCACGAGTCTGGTAGAAGAAAAACAAATGAGAAGCTCGTAACATACCATGTTCCTTAGTAAGACCACTCGTGTTGGGGGTCCAGAGATGGAAACCCCAACTTTGAGCTTCTTTTCTTGTTGTTGTTGTTGTTGTTGTTGTTGTTGCAATTGCTGCTGTTGTTGCTGTTGAGCTTTAACCTCACCGGCATTGACAATAACTCCTGCACGCTTATCTGTTTTACGGGCCATAAGTGGGGTTGTAATTCCCTGCTCTTGCTTGCCCAGTCCTTGGCCTTCTTTCCATCCCATTCTTGCCATCATTCTCTGAGCAGCTGTCATTTGCCCCCCTGCGCCTACACCTAATCCTCCTGTAGTGGCTTTTCCCATGCTAAAACCCTCCGCATTTCTTGGAGGAGATGGAGATCTGGGCCTCGCGGGGCTAGCATCCGCTGAGCTAGCACCTCCACCACCACCACCACCTCGACCTGCAGCAGCACTTGCACTCAACATCGCTCTCCTCTTCCATGCTTCCTCCCCACTGATGTGCAAAGCTGCCGCTCTCTCAGGCCCAGACTCTTTTTCCCTCTCAATTTCTCTCTCCCTCTCGAGTTCCCGCTGCCGCTGCACTTCTTTTTCTCGCTCCCTCTCCCTATCTTCCTCCTCTATCCTTCTCCTTTCTACCTCCCTCCTCATCTCCTCCTCCATCTTCCGCCTCCTTCGATCTCTACAATATTCGTCGTAATCATTTGGCCTTGCAGGATCATACTCTTCCAAAACTGCAGCACTAGCTCCAACAAGCGCCGGTTGCGTAGCTGGAGACAGAGGTCTGAAATCTCTCTCCACATCCACAGCGCTAACAACGAGAGGACTGGCATTTCCGTCCAGCACCCACCTGCCCACTTTACTCTGAGGCGTTCCGATGACAGCACTAGGCGCTGGAAGCGCTGCTTTCGGCTTCGATGCCGATTGATTTCTCAAAACAGACGGAGGTGGAGCAAAGAGAGAGGGTTTACGCACCGTGGGCGGAGCCATTTTGGCACTGCTCCCAGACCACATTGAAGATCCTCCTCCCCCATCTTCGTCGGACGACGGGGGCGGTAAATCTCCATACAAACCTCCTAGCATTTCTAAGACTTAGAGTTGATGGAGCTTCCGATCTACCTCCACCAATGTTCGAGCTACACTCAAAAGTCACAAGCTCTTCGCCAGAATCCGACCATATTCTGTGCCACGCCTCTTCCTCCGTCTGCAGGATGTCATCGCGAACTCATGATGTTGAACCACTCATTCCTCACAATTTTCGCAAGACCTCTTCTGCCACTTCTCTACAACCTCGATCCCGCGCCAATCCACAATCCTTTCGCTGACCAGGTTCACTTTTGACGACGAATTACTGACCCCGTCTGCTTCGACTTCGTGATTTGCAATTATAACCTTCTTTCGTAATACGATGAAATGTGGGAAGAATCCCGTTTAGGGTAAGCTCGGCTCAGCTGGGCTCGTCAACCCACTACTGTACCGAACTGCCTTCTCTCATGGCTCCCGTTATGGAGCCGAAGCTGTGCATCAGTGTTCTCCAACATCACTTTCCTTCGCGTTACTAGAGCAAGCAGCAAGAAAATGTGTCCCTCCAATTCAAATTCGTGTCATCGCAAGCCTGAAGAGCTTCTTATCTGACGTTCTGAATTCCACTACTGTATTGTTACACTTCATCCTGGTGTGGGGGAGACATCTATCGTGACCATATCAATATTATTCTTATACACGCACATTAAAGTTCTCGTTATGATATGTTGTCGGTTAAAATCCATGAAAGGCTGGAACAAATGAATCAATCAAGCTAATATCCTCGAATAATAGTATGAAATTGAATCCTTTTAATTGGTAATTTCTACTACTTGTTGCATGAAAAGGACGCTGAACAATATGTTTACAAAAATATGATCATTTGTAACATATATTTTCATAGACAACTTCAAAAACAAAAACATGTGTGGCCATGTTCTATGTTGCCACACCCCAAAGTTTCCGATTCCACTCCACAAACATTGCTGAACAACCTCTCAACACACCATGCAAAGATTGTGACAATAAGCTCCCTTTGGAGTATCGTGGTGCATCTGCAACAAGTAGTGCTGCCAGATTAGGTGACAGAGTTTAAGGCGGATGACACACGTGCTCTAACTTGATTTGAGCACACTCCGTAAGAACATTGAGAGATGTGTTCGATCCTTCGTAAGGAAGTCAGTCAACTAGAAAAACTGACTTAAAATCCATGTCCTCACGTGACGATTAGGATCAGACTCCTCGTGATACAAAGTCTTTGATCTCTACGGATGAACTGCAGCATGGCTTCAGTTTTCAGATCGAACAACCACCCCGTGCTGCACGACCTCAACTTCTGGGAAGCTTGACGAATGCTGGTATGATAAACAGCTTGTAGTAAAAGTCGGTATGAAGCTAAATATCATGGCCACCATGTACTCTTCTTATCTGTGAGTGTTTGACTTGGAATGTACATGGGTCAAACACACGACAGTAGATGTACTTCCTGGTAAGATTTCAGCTTCATGCTGAACTGTCATGTTATATGTGTCTTCTATATCTTAACCGTCCCGTACATCCACAACCGTCCTTTCAATTTGGTACAGAAGCCCAACGGAACTATCGAGAGAGCTTTTATTCGGATATTCAAGGTCTCGTGAGACGACATCATACAAGACTCACATCCTTGGCTCATCCTGGAATCTGGACACCATCTTCTAGAACTGAATAGGAATGAGAACATTTGCACCATTCGCCGATACTGGCAGCTACATATTAACAAAGATAATCCAATCGTTACATAGAGCTCATTATACTGTTATTTTTTACGCACATGTTATGAGCATCTTCCAAGCTGCGAATATTCATGATCACTGAGTCATCGTGTTCTACTTGCAATATTTACCATGACATCCAATCACATTTGAATCTTATTACTCTACCATGAACACACTCAATCAAACATCCATCCTTGTCTTTAAACAGAGACCGATGTCATGTCAGATGCTGAAACTGAAAATAAAGTACTGACTTTATGAATTGGAAGCACCTTCAGGTGTAGCTAACTAATCACTTCTAAGCTCAGTTCTTTCCTCGCGAAATCCGAGAAATGGTTTTTCTACACGGCAATCTCATGTGGCTTCAATTCAAGCGAGTTTTGCGACTGATGCTTAGATGTCATAGATTGTCATCCCCGGCTTGGCAAATTGCTTGAACTCCTCGAAAAGCCAAATCTTCAACTACATAACCTTGACCTTGCCTTTTGATCTGACATGGTGAAGGTCACACTGAAGCCTGAGTTCCAGAAGCGTGGAGTCTAAACGGTTGTGCATATTGTGTTTACATCGCCCTCTCTTGCTCGCTCCGATTTGGGCACGGGAATTCCATAAACTGCGTACAATGGACGGTGCACTCTGTTTCCCTCTGGTTCAGGATTTAGAACATGAGCAACAGGCTCTCGAAATTGTACGCGTCGTCGAGAGCTGCGTCTAGGCCAGATCCAGCTGAACAATGTCAGAAACCTCCGGAAAAGTACCGATGCACGCTGAAGAATCGAACGTACAATGCTTGGCAGAGGACAACTCGGGTTCGCAGAGACGTCTCCCATGATGCGAATCTGGCTGTCACGACGGTTTGCCCCCATTTCAGACGGTGTTATTGTCTTCTTCGTGGACGTCTACAACTTGAACGGAGTCGGAGACAGTCTGAGACTCTGATTTCACTACTACTGTACACGTCCAATTCTCCAGAGGATTGCACACATTCGGCCTCGCACGTGATGATAACTTCGATTCAGCGCAGTGTGAGGCATGCGTATGCAATTGACCCTCTGAGAACGCGACGAGCGAATTCTTTGCAAGTGTAACGATGAGCTACGATCTCATCATCATCGGAGCTCACTGCACCCTCGGCAAGCTTGCTTGAACTCTGACCCATATACAGATTATCACTCTCGACAGCTTCGGTCGATGAGCATGTGTCCGTTAGAAACATTGCAACGGTAGAGGTTCCAAGAAAGCTCATTGTCTCAGATCTCCCAGTTCAAGATTCGAATTGAAGCGCTGAGAATTTCGATTTGCAAGACAACCGCTCAGCGGTCGCTGCATCGCCGTGTGCGCCGCGGCCGTCGTCGTCACAATTCATTGCAGGTTGCGAAGCTTCTGAATAATCGGTAGGAAGCTTGGACCAGGAAAGAGGCAATATTGTAATCCATGCCGAACCTACACAACTTGCACAACTTCGATATCATTGAAGTTGTGCGCTGGGAAATCCACGGCGCTCGGTAAGCTGAATTGAGCTTACCGAGCGAAACTTGATGGTACCGAGCTGCTGTATTACGAATCAGAGCACCCTCAGGCTTTAGCCTCTGACACCCATTCTGCTCTCTTCGAACTCGGTGACTCTGAGATTTGACACAATCTTGGAGCCCTGTCTTGAGAGCAGTCGACTCCAATGTGGTTGGCTGTACAGCACCAGCCTGGGCGATTTCAGTGTCATCGGAACGGACGTTCATGGCGCATAGTGATAGCTCCTGCTGGTGGTTAACGCGGGCTGATTTTGTAGCGACGGGCTTATCGACGTCCTTCCAACTATTCGCATCGCTGACGGTTTTGAGCTCCTGAGTTGCACCTCCATATCGGGGTTGCGTGGTCAACCTAAGCAAGTGGTGGGCATTCCCAACCATGGGGATGGAACGCTGGGGTTGGGAATGCCCACTGCTTGCTAAGCTTGACCAGACAACGCAGAACCTGAATTTGTGTGGTTTTTACATCTCGATGCTTTCAGGCTCCCTACTTCGCAGGCTTCTGCATCGGGTCCATGCGAATAGATGATAGTGTTACAGACGATGCGAGGGCAAGCCGATAACTTCTGATTGATTCAGCAGCGCAGCTGACAAGTTGGAAATCTCAAGAGTTGACTCGGGACTTGGTTCTTGCCGGACCTGGGAAGACTTAAATGAGAACGACATTGCTTGCCAAATTTTTAGCTACAAACTTGCTGTGAAGGATGCTCCCTTAGTGCAGAGGCGGTGATCTTGCGGATTCAGAATTCTCCTCCTTGTGCTTTTATGCACTCGGATAGAAGAAAAGAGTAAGCTGCCTTCTTTCCTTTCGACACTACAACGATTACTCGCCCCATCACGCAGAGTGGGCGAGTCAGTGACAGATTTGTTCATTAGTGTGAATGTCTACTTTCAATACTCATGTTCTGTACACAAGTCAGGAGCCTTGCCTGTACATTACATTTCTGGGAACATTGAAAGCACACGATTCGACTGTGACCCACATCGGTCAATCTTCGACATAATGGAAAATATAATGTCCTTCTCCGACAATGCCAGAGCACTTGTGAATTATAGCAAGTATATATTTATTAAATCACTTGCAAGTATCAACAGATATCTGTTAACCATTTACCATCCGTGTACTACTTCTGAAAAATGCATGGTTTGAGCACTCAGGGGGGAAAGCGGCTGTGACCGGAGACAATTCAATTCGCACTTGATAATTAGTTTCTGTCCCATTTCCGAGTGAAGGAATGGGCGGCCAACTTCTCATATGAGGATCATGTTTGGATTTTGGTCAAAAGATTTTGACAATTTGTGACATTTGACTCATTTAGTTAGTATGTTTGTTGAGACTGACACTTGAGCAATCCGTGAAGTTGTTGAACTCATAGTCAATGTCATCCATTTAGTATTAATGACATGGATGGTGATAATAAGGTCTTATTTTTTTATTGTTAGTATATATCTGCACCCAAAAAAAAAAAATATAATCATTTTATGTATTTAACATTTTCACAATTCTTTATCATTTTGGAATCATCTTCTCTCTCAAGTACTCATCTTCACAGTTCTTTTCATTTATGAGTCATCTACTCATGTCATGGTGTTGCACTTGAGCTACTTTTTAAAAAATTGGAGAGAGTTCTACTACTAGAAAAAATTATGGCGCATCTATGATGGCTAATTTACGTGGTTCATTCTTGAAGTTAACATATTTATACATCTCCTCCTTATGACAAAAAAAAAATTTTAAAGTTGGAAATTGAACTTAATCTTTTTTTATGTTCGATAACATTTTTGAAGTAATGTTCTAACAAGAAATTCTCAAACTCAAGTTAAATATGTCTACCATAGTATCAGAGTTTGACTTGAATTTGCTTGCAATTAATTGCTAGTAGTCAGTTAGAATTAGTCTAGACCTCAATCTCAAATTTCAATCATTATGTATGTATAACGTAATAACAAAGATAATAAAAACTATCTTCTTGTCATTTTGTGTAACATTCAAATGTATCTATTCAAAATTTTAGAGGTATATTTAATAGAATTTACTTGTCATTAATAGCTATCAAACACTTTGTGTTAGATTTTTCACTCGATAACTAAAGTTCAAATATTGATTTTTTTCCCTTAGTTTATAGCACCCAAAAAAAGTTCAGTTAAAGAAAAATGTTTTTACCATTGTTTTCAATTTTGTATAGGATTCAACTTTCATAAATCTTTATCAATCATTGCAATGTTGGATTCGTAAATAAGACCTCAGTTTCAAATATTTTGTGTGTATAACAGAAGAATGGAAACAATAATGTTATTTTCTTCTAATTATTACATCATTTGAGTTTTAATAAAAATAAATTGATATTAATCAATTCAACCTTGGACATTTCTTTCAATTATATATATATTTTTAATTCCAGAATAATAAAAATAATCAAACATATTATGTTTGAATAAACTATAGAAATGGAAGATAAATAGAAATCAGCTTTTTAGCAATCGCTATCTATCACCTTAGCATTGGAATTCTTAATAAGTACTTCATTCTTTATTTTAAATGTAGTATAAGTATAAATATTGAATAATTTTTTAATTTAATATATTATAGTACTAGAATTTGAAACTCTACTATTGTAAATCGAAGTAGACTAGTAAGAAGCTATGTTATTCTAGGATAATATGTCAGAACACGGAAACTTGTTTATCTTCCCGTGGAGAAGAAAACAAGCCTATATTCGTCCTATTCGTGTGACTTCGAGTACCATTCCGAGGATTCATTAGTGTAAGGTCTGAAAACTGTTCATAATCATACTATCATATTCTATTTCGTTCTCTTTTTTTTAATGACAAACATAGATCGGTTAGAGATCACTTCACAACTAACCTAAAATATTCTGGCTAACAGGTTACACAAGTGAGCACTTTTAGATGCGTGAGGCTACAATGACAAACCAATTTGGTCCGTGAGAGCTAGGTTTTGGCGATCCCTGGACTACAAGTTCCAATTCCGAATCTGCTCTATTTCACTGTAGACAAAAAATTTTCACAAGTTCAAGTGAGCCAAACTTGAGTATACCTCAATCAGCTCTAACCTTACATACGGTGTTTCCCTGTGAGTATTAGAAAACCGGAACATGACGCTTCAACTTCCACGACACACTAGCAAATCCACTGCCCAATCTCGGAGTCTAGATTGATCCGAATTTTGACTTACAGCTTCCATCACCTTCACATCTGGTCTACAATGGAGTTTCACTTCTCTCAGATCGACAACACTCAGATAGGAAGCCAGAGGTACATCAACGTAGAAAAGCACGACACTGTAAACTGATAGGGAATCTAGGAAGAAAACATGTAAGAACGAAGACCCGGTGATACCCGCAAGCTCCACTTAAATAAGCAGAAATCACACAAAACCAACGGCGCCGAAAGCCCACTAAAAAAAACCCTAATTATAAACCTTTTCCAATACTATCCCGGCGAGAAATCAGTATCTCAGATCATATTTTTACTCGAGTTAATCCAAAAATCACGTCTGTATCACCTACTTGATCGTCGGCTGCGACTCCATTTTCTCTTATTCTTGTCCCTGAATTCGTGGCTGACTTTTCTCGGTTGACTTTTCGGGACCGAAGAGATGACAGATACTTAACACTTTTAACTAATACTACTGATATTGTTTTGTCTAACTAACTAAGCGGATCATTTCTAGCATACTTAAAACTCCTTAACTAAACAAATGAAAACTACTAGAATTCTTAGTTTCGGTTTTAGGCTAATCTAGAAATTTTAGTCTTTGTAGATCTCACATAGTCATCAGTCAACAATGATATATCACAGTCAATTGCTTCAGCAAAGTTCTCAATATCATTAACATCTTGTAAGGATTTTTGCTTGAAATAAATTTGGTTTATACACATTGTATGAATTTTATTCTACAACTTAATGATTCAAACATGATTTATATTTTGTTGAATGCAGTATTTTTTTCTTTTGTCAGATTGGAATTTGATTGGAACAATGATAAATTCAAGCAATTCGGCATTGTTGAATGTGAATCAAGAAAACAAAGCTTCATTAGCTCTTCTTCAAGTTTACATTTGCACTGGTTATAGCATGGTATGGCATTGTTCACACATGTTTTATCAGAATTCAAAGACATTAATCATATAAATGAGCTATGGCATACAAAATGTCCTATACTATGCAGTTGCCACCACAAAACTTATCGCCAAAGGTTTAGAAATGTATGTTTTTTCTCTCAAATACTTTATTGGCTTAGACGAAGGAGTTAACAATTGGATATAGAATAAAGACTAAGTAGTAACTTCAAGGTTACTTGATAGATGGTACTTTATTGTATTGAATATGAAATAAGACAGATGATATGCTCTGTAATTTTCAAAAAAATTAGTAAAAACTTCTATTTTTTATGAAAATATTTGAAGTTATTTCAATCTTTCAACTTAAAGATTCACTAAGTGACATCTTGCACAATAAATACACATCTTGTTTCACTTATAACTCTCTCCAAAGACTTTGGAATGTCTCTATTGCGTCTCAAATGCTTAACAAGACTAGATGGAGAAGTCAACCAAATTTACTTGATAGATTGTATAGAACAGAGATTAAATAATAAAGTGATTTTTTTTAAATATATGACAAGTTATCATATAAAATAAGAAGTATGATGTACTTTGTAAGTTTCAAGAGAGTTAGCAAAACTTCTCTTCATATATGAAAAAATTTAAAGATATTTAAATTTTTCAATTTAGATATCTTGTATTTCTTCATTGATGCGTTTGGTGGGTTGTTTATTGGCATGATCAATGCTTTCTGTGCGCGTAGTGAAACGCGGTGTCCAAGTTGATAATTTTCTTGTTACAATGATCCATATCAAGATCTTCGTTTAGTTTTGACTGTATCTGCCTCCATGTACTTGAGTTAGTACTCGCATAATTAATTAGACATGAGAATATCCCTAATCACATCATATCATGAATCAATATTCACATCAAACATCATATTACACAAATTTTCATACATCATCACAAATGTAACATAATAATACTTTTACTTTCACATTGTTGATTAGATCACAAGACTTATTAGTATATCATAAAATAATTTTCAATTGAAATCCAATCAATTTCATTATATGATTCAAAAACTATGTTTTTTTATACTATACATTTTTCACCATAGATTTATTTTTTAAGGATTCACCTTCTAAAAAAGGCATTAGAATCTTCAATTCAAATCAAATATTTAGCTTAAATTATGTCAATAGCAATTTTTAAATAAACTACATTTTTGTAAGAGTGCAAATGATCTTAAATGCTATATTGACTCTTAAAGTTGTATTGATTCTTGCACATGATTATCCATTTTCAAAAAAATATTATATAGATTATTAACATTAACTGTTGATATTAACTCTGGTTCAGGAGTTAACT